ATTCGGGGAGACGCGGAGGATCCCTGGAATTCCCGACCGACCGATTATTCATCTCAGAGAGGTGACCCAGCTCATTGCTAGTCTACAATTAGTCTTGAGTCATTGTACGATTGATCGAGGAAGCCATATTCCATGGAGGAAACGGCACTGTGACACATGTTCAGGTCGAAACCTTACATTCTCAGATATACGGTGATCTCTTTGGGGGACGCGAGCTCCCCCCCTTCGCGAGATAAGGGGAGACGTGGGGGAGAAAACTTTGAGAACCGCTGCTCTACACCACGATTTTCCGAACGGTGCTCCATGGACCAACCGTGGTCCATGATCAAATTTTCGGTGATCTACGGATTTTGGAGTGATCAAATTCGCTGAGATTGAACTTGAGATGGGAACCGACTCCGATGAAATCATCCCGAGCAACAGAACAAGAGCTCACACCCTTCACTAGACATGGTTGAGTCTTGTGTTTTGTGTTTGTCAACCAGGGTTGAAAACAAATCAAGTCTCCGTTCACTCAAAGAAAACAGCTTCTTAGGCTTCCTCAGTCGGTCGTCTTCTCCCTGATGGTGGTCCAGGACGGGGTTTTGTCCCGCAATCTGGTCCACGGGGGACCGTGATTGGGAACCTTTGCTCTACACAACTCCATAATCATTCCCGAATTTCGAGTACCGGTAAGCTCCTTGATTTGGTGGTGTGATTTGAGAGCATGTGGAGCGACTCGTCATGAGGGAGGAGGGGAAGAGGAAACATTCCCAACACGATGACTCTGAATCGTGGGCATGGGGAGTTCGACATGGCTAGCGGCCCTGTCCGCATCCGAGATTTGCTCGCCGCATGCGACGACCCCGATCTGAACAATTCGAATCAGGCGATTCGCTTCATTCCCATCGAATTATATTCTGCAGGGCTGATAGCTCGCTGTCAGCCCGAGGCCATGAGCTAAATGTCTGCATGGCTTCTCCGACATCGCGGCTTTTCGCGATAAGGCGTGTTCGTATCATTCCACCATGAGTTCACTGGGATTGGATATATGGCATCTTCAGAGAGCATTACGCAGTTGTACACTATACTCGGAAAGGAGAAATGGGGCGACGCGCGTTGAATCCGTAAGCATTTGGGTGAATCATCGCTTGGCCCCTGCCAGAGATCCGGAAGTATGGCCGACCCTCGGACGCGCGAGATCCATGGTCACATGGGCGTTCGAAACGTCTGCCGAGAGAGCCACTGGTTTCGAGCAGAAGATTACTAGCGGTTCGCTCATCCGCGATGGCAGCGGGATAAATGGCGAAGAAACCCCTCCAAGGACCTCTGAACGGATCATGCTCTTTCCGAGTGAGACATTCTCGGAAATAGACGAGAATACTGTACCCGAATCTTCGGCGATAATTAGACAGCCGTCGTTCCAGTCATTTGTTCGGTGCCTTTGAGGAAACGCCAATCTCTCGAGAAAGTCTTCGGTTCTCCGTCATTCACATCACAGCGAGTAGCGGACATCCCCCTGCCGCGGCAAAGTAAGAGACACTCCTCGTGCCGAGCCTGAATGAAAGGAAGAAAAAGAGGAGTCCACACGGACTCCGACTCAAGTGACTATGCCTCAACGTTTCTGTCCGAACGTAAAGGAAGAATGGAGCGCTTGGGAGAGATTGCATTGGTATCGGTGTTTATTCATTTTCGTTTTTTCATTCTTGGAGGGTTTCTGCTGTGTGCATGAGAAAAAATGGCTGGCCGGCGGACTGACCCGGACGAACGGACGGGCGGGTTCCGAGCGGAGGAGGACGGTAAGAGGGAACAGCTCTCCAGCCAGGAGGGGACAACCAGACACCATTTCGCATGACGCCCCAACCCCAGGACAGGAGGAGTGAAAGACATGATCGAAGCTGATACCTGTTGCTTGGCGGCGCCTCCGGATCCTTCTAGGCATCGGGGCTCACAACGACGCGGCGGCGTCGCCGGCATCCATTGCTGTAGTGGACTGAATGAATCTTGGACCTGTCAGAATCTTCGTCATCGAGAGCGTAGCCGTCGAGTATTACAGTAGCGATCCGGAGGAGTCTACCCTGAAACATGCAAGCAGAGTAAAGCCGCTCGAAATCGTTTCTCGGTTCCATACGCCACACAAAGAGGAGCAGACTAACGAGAAAGGGAGCGAAAGAAAAATGTTGGTTCGAGGAGCGCCTGACGACGCTCTTCACGATGCCAGCCATGGTTTGGAACTAGGTAGCTCGCGAGCTCAGGGAACTCGTACAAATCTTCGGCAGTCTCAGCATCCGCCGGCCCCGGAAAGTTTCCAGGTCGGCGCCTCAGTAAAACGAGCACTCTCGCCGAGAGTGACAATATAAATGGCGTGGAACAAGCGAACTCAGGTCACGAGAACGTCGACAGAAGACAAATTGGAACGCACTTTCATAGCGAGGTTGCGGGGAAGGAACGAGGAATTGAAGTAGCCCGCGGGAACTTGGAGGGGAACAGACATTCCGAGTTCTATCCTGTCTAAGCGTGCGCTCCCAGCAGTTCCTGCCGAGACCTGTGCCGAGACCTGCACGCTCGACTAGATGGCACTGGCAGACCCCCGACGTCGATGGAAGCCATCCACTTTTGTTCCAGTCAGAGTGAGCTTTAGAAGTCTGACGAAAATTGGTCTAATGACGATTAGCAGCGATTTCAAAGTCTAGGGCGGGGACTGACCCCTCTAGGGATCGTCGGATTCTTCCATCGTTTTCTAGGAATGTCGCGAAATCTCGGCAAAAAGACCGCAACAAGTTCGGATCGCCCGAATTCCGGAGATACGCGGGAGCCAAACTCGAGGGTCTGATGTTCGATCCCTTACAGACCTACTCTTACATGTGTTTCCATCGACTAATGCACCCTCGAAGATTGATCACTCGCTGGCTAGCTCGTGTCTCGTGGAGCATGATCATGTATCATTACGCACGTAACGAGCTTAAAACTCCTTTTCCGGGCGGGACTTCCGCCCGAGGGCTTGAGAAGTCCAATCAATGAGAGGCAGATTGTAATCGCCGATGGCTATCGAAATTATTCACCGAGAGCTGCGCTGGAAGTGATGACTCGGTGGAGCCGTTTTTCAGTCTAGTCGTCTGTGCGTCTATGAATACCGCTTACCAAGCAGAAAGTCCCCCTGCTCCACTTGCTCACGTGGTTATGATAACTGACGTCGAGGTGATGCTCAGGGCGGAGGACGTGATGGCTATGCCCAAAGGGGTGACGCAAGAATGGAGAGGGGGCTCTCAGGGAAACAGCAACGAGCTCGCCCTCGGCCTGAAACTCGGGAGTCGTCTCAGATGGCCGCCTACAGAGAGGTGAGGTTGGGTGGAAACTGGAAAATCATGACATTGAGAGGCGACCTAATCCTTACGAGGAGGAAAGTAGGTAACCACTGCTATTAGGCTGCAAGGTGCATAATTATTGCGTTTTGTGAGACAAGACCCAGGCTTTGACCGTCTCAGCTAGATTGCTCCACAGCTCGCTCTCATTGTGCTATCGTATTGGCTTTGTTTTTCCATTATTTCGGCCCACAACTACTTATTCGCACGCTCAGCAGTGCAATTATTTAGGGCATGCGCTCCATTGAGGGTGCCGGGCCAGTCAAGGTGCCCAGCCGGGATTGATCCGGAACGAAGGTCATAAGTTCCTGAACTTAACTTACTAGTCCGACGATTGATGATGAACTCAGAAGCCGTCGGATGCTTTACCGCGGATCCCGTTTGGAGTCCACGGCGTGCTGCTCCGAAATCGTTTACGGAGCAGCAACCACCCGAGGATTCCTTGTGAGTATATTCCAGGTGCCGTATCTGAGATAATCCTAGGTTCTTGGCGCAGTGTCTGTTCCTGTCGAACAAATCCAATTTGATCCATCCATCTATTAGAGTCAAATATCATCCAAACTCTCGTCGGTGTAAATTCCTCCTCCGGGTATCGGGCAGCTGATGTCAGATCCGACTCATTTGCTCGCGCAGTCTTCCATCCAATTAGTTTTCGCCGAGTTCGTCATTGGCCCGCTCGATTTCCAGCTCACTAGGTATTCAATCCAGTTTGTTTCTGTCCTCAATCCCTGTACCACCGACGGCTTGATACTTGCATGGATCACCAGTCCTGCCGATCATTGGTAGATCGTGATACTCTAAGGATCGGAATCCCCTACTAGGCCTTCTCACACGCTCCAAAGCTGCACAGACGTCCTCTCCGTAAGATTTAATGTTGGATTTGGCCAATAGACTGAAAAATCCTGGATATCAGCAGCTCTTGAAAGAGACCACTCCGGAGCCCCTTGAGACACTCGAGGCTCGAAGGATCGCCGAGGAGCCACGAATTAGGCCCCTCGCTATCCGACACGAGTGCCGAGAACGACGCGAGTCTCTTCCTATAATCCCGTTTCCTGGTCGGGGTGAACCGACGTATGTACGATCTGCCTAGCTCGATCAAACAGTGGGGCTTGGAGTTGACAGCGAAGCCCTGGCAAACGTCCAAGCTGTGGGTTTTTCTCCGAGTCCGTCGACTTCCGATTGCACTCCGAGGAGGCGAGCACTTTCCTTCATGGAAAGGAATTTCAACCTATCCGAGCGATCCGGCTCGGATTTCGAGTTTATACGGCTCCTGACTCCATCCCGAAGGAAAAGATGGAGGATACAGGAATCACAGGCTCGTGGACGTATCGCTAGTCAACGGCACGAGAGGACTCCAGTTCGCAGTTAGCTCCGCATGCGCTTGCCCGTAGATCTTATTTGGGTCGGATGGTGTCAAGTCTGAATGGAACCATCACCTTTTTTACGACCCTGACCTGCCGCCTCTGAATGCGACTGGATTCTATGAACGACTCATTCATTTCTTGATTGTCGGTGCATCTAAAGGACTATGTGTACATTATGACCCGATCATCCCGAGATTGGTTTTATCTGCTCATTATTCGTCGGAGCGTGGTATCCGAAGCTGAGATGTTCGGGTCCCCGTTCATAAAAGCACGGCTCTCAGAGAGATTCTCAAACATGGAGAGAATCGTCGAAGACTTCACGGGCGTCCTGAACATGAGCGGGGACGGTGCTTTGAAAACAAGTCGTGCCCTAGAGGTCACAGGACTGGATCTCCACATCAAACAGAACACTTCTAGCCATCGGACGGATCGATTCGCCATAACGAGATGCGGCGACAACTCTAGCCTCGTTGTCCGCCGCGGTCAACCCATGAAGCTAAGCTTCAGTTTCAATCGGATAGTCGACTGGAGCGTGGACGACATCAGCGTCGTTTTCATTGCGCAAGGTATCGGTCCAAGCGAGTTCGTCCTGCCGGTGAGCCAGCAGATATTGGACGTCGATCATCTTCAACAGGTCGACAACGGTTGGTTCATAGGCACATTGTATGATACGGAAGGCATTCTCTCGCTCGCTGTGTTGTGCGCGCCCGATGCTCCTGTGGGTCTCTACAAGATTCGTTATAAAGTGACCAACAAGAAGACCAATGTACAACGTGAGACCAATCTTCAGGATTCAATCTATGTTCTCTTCAACCCGTGGCATCCGGACGACGACGTCTTCATGCCCGATGAGGATCTTCGAGCAGAGTACGTTTTGAACGACTATGGGAAAGTCTATCAAGGGACTCACGATTATCCTGTTGGCAAAGTTTGGCACTTCGGACAATTCGATCACATCATTCTTCCAACAATAAGCTATCTCGTTGACCTGGGAAAAATTTCTGTGAGTGATCTACGTTCGCCGATACGTATGGCTCGGCACATTTCTGCGCTGGTCGACCAAACCGACGACGAAGGAATCTTGCGCGGCCGATGGGATGGCGACTACAGTGACGGTGTTTCTCCCATGACTTGGAGTTCGACGACATCAATCCTCGAAATGTACATGCGGAGAGGCGGAGCGCCTGTTTTCTACGGCCAGTGTTGGGTTTATGCGGCCGTTGTCACTACGATTTGTAGGGCTCTGGGCATACCGTGCCGTCCCATCACCAACTTCGAGTCAGCGCACGACACTGACGGCAACATGAATGTCGATTCATTTTCGGATGAGAACGGGATGCCACTCGACGCAGCCAACAAAGATTCGTCGTGGAATTTCCATTTGTGGAATGAGGGCTGGATGAGAAGGCCTGACCTCGGGCCCGAGTTCGATGGATGGCAAGCGTTTGACGGGACTCCGCAGGAGAAGAGCGAGGGTCGCTTCCAAACGGGACCATGTCCCGTGAAAGCGATCCAGGCTGGCAGAGTCGACGTGAATTACGATGCCCGTTTCGTTTTCGCCGAAACTAACGCACTATTCTACGATTGGGTTCGAGATCGAAGCGAGCCCTCGGGCTGGAAAGTGGTCTTCACAAATCGTGAAGCTGGAATGTTGGTGTTGACGAAACAGCCGGGCGTTCTGAGACAGAACGACTCGGCTGACGACGCCATGGCGATAACTTCCTCCTATAAATGTAACAACCTCGAGGCCCGCCAGCAGCTCCTCAGACACGGGGAGGCAGCCAGCAGCGAAGACGTTCAGTACGAGCTGGTTAAACTTAAACGTGTCAAAGCCGGGGATGCATTCGATGTTATCGTGAACATAAAAAACCTGAGCTCCGCTATCCGGACTGTTGACCTCGTGATTTCAGTGGCCTCACTCGAATACACTGGCTCTATCAGTAAGTACGTGAAGCGACAGAAAATCCATGGAGTCCAGATGGAACCTCACAGGTCGATGCCGTGTGCTATACAAATCCTGCTTGAAGACTACCAGGCTAAAATAACCAATTTTGGTCTGCTCAAAGTGATGGCTGGGGCCAAAACACTCGAGACTCAGAAAACATGGGCTGGTCATTTCGCTCTTAAACTGGAGATGCCGCGCTTAGAGGTGGCGGCCGCAAGGGACGCAACAATGCAAAGCGAGATTCATTATAGCGTGAGCTTCCTGAATCCCCTCTTCATTCCGCTCACCAACTGCGAGCTGGTGATAACCGTTCCTGGTCTGATTAATCATCAGGTTGTGAGGGATCTGCCTGTGATCCCTGGCGGAGGGAGCTTCAAGTGGCGCGGCAAAGCAATCTCCACCAGAAGCGACGAGAAAAACTTCATCATCACTTTCAACTCCAACCAAATCTCCGGCGTTGAAGGCTCGTTGACAGTCGTGATTTAGGGGGATCTTGCTCTCTCTACCGCTCGGAATCGTAATTTTTTCTTTCACTCCTGTCAATGCGAATAAACTCTGCACTGCAATCTTACAAAACGATCTTTCCCTGGCTCGGAGCTTCGCTCCGCTTGTGACAAAGAGCTCCTATCCCGGAGCTTCCCGATGGACGACAACCCTTCTCCAACAGAGGAAAGGGAGAACCTCTGATAATTGGGTCCTCTGAAAAAATTCCTGTCCTGGCGATCAGCAAAGCTCGCTCTCCATGGGTGAAGTCATCTGTTCATTCCTGGCTAGCGCGGAATCACGCTCTTCTTTTACCGTCTTAAGTTCTTAATGCACAGTGCGGATTCAGGCAGCGGATAGCGCTCGCTTCAGGAAGGTGACTTCTGATGATATCCATGCTAGGTGGGTGGTTCCGCTCCATCGCTCCAACGGATCCCCTATTTCCGACCGGAACGACCAATTTCGATAAGATCCGGTAAAGCTGGAGGAGTGACGCTAAGGAGCAGACTCGACTGGTAGCCAAGCCACGGTCGAAGGACGAGGACCGGGCCCGAGACGAAGGCGACGCAATGATAGTGACGAAACCATGCTTGAGGAGGAGGGTGCCGATACTACAATACTGTTGCGAAGAATGGCGGCGGCGGCAGCAGCGGCGGTTCTGAGTGACGGCCGCCGCGAGAACGACACCGCGCGGCTTCCCATACCCCTAAAAAATTTTTTTTATGATGAGCGCCAGCCATCGCTCCCACTACAGCTATCGCTCGTTTTGGATGGATAAATTGATGGACATCATCAGAAGCCAGTGCACGTGCTTCGTGAAACATGTAGATGTCAGAGCCCTCGAATTCGGTTTTGGAGTCTGTTTGATTCTCCTGAATTCTGGCTCTCGTGGGAAGGCCTCTCGGTCTGGATGTGCTATCGTTTCATTTGATCTAGCCCGGCAGTCTGTGTAGTGCACTGATCCAAGGTCACAACACCTTCGAAGAAAACTTGTTTCGGGAATTATCTCCCTACCAGCTGCTGAGTTTCCCCCAAGCCTCCGATAACTGTATAGTCCACCTCGCGTCTAGAGTACAGCTATCCCGTTTTGAACTTTGATCGTGCCCAGTTTTCGTCGAGAAAGTCCCGCAGAGAGGCCAGGTCAGAGGAAAAAGAATGAACAAAGGATCGGGGCTCGCTCCTCGCAGTTTTTTTTCTCGCCGCAATGCCCCATGCAGACACGAAGACGCAATCTGCGACGGAGCGAGCTTTTCTTGCGCGAGGTTGCGTCGAGGGAAAGGGACTGTTCCGGGAAGGGTCGGACCTCACTCAGTGGAACCCCTCCTCGACGCCGATTTCCTCTCGAGACTTCCCGCCTCCCATACTCTTACCTCTTACACGTGCTATGTATTGCAGCTTCTTCGATAGTGCTCCAACTTGTGACAGTCCCACGCGATGAAGCCGCTCAGAAAGCTCTCGACTCGAGGAGTCCTATGACATACGGGACTCTGGACGATGTTTCTCTCTTTGAACAGTTTCAAGGATATGACAGAAGTCAGAGGCTTCGCAGTCTCATCGAGGAGCCAATGAAAGTGATCGAGAAATCGAGGAGATGGTTGGCAGGACGCTTTGCGAGACAGCTCGTGGAGAAAGTGGAAGAGCAAGATTGAACTCCTCTATGGGATGTTTAATTTGATCATGGAGTTTTTTGGACTTGTGCCTGATTGACGAAGATCCTCCTCGGAAAGCGCAGGGCTCAAACATGAGGATCGAACTAGTGTCTCTGTTTATCTCAATCTGCCATCATTTCAAACACGGTGAAACGAGAGCCGCGTGTGGTAGTGAAAAACGACTGGTCGCATTCGAGGGTGGTGAGGCGTCGCTACCGTGTCAAGTTCGCTCTGACGGAGACGTAGCTCAATTCATGGAGTGGAACATTCTCCTCGATTCGAGGCATCGTCAAAAAATCGGGGAGCACTCGAGTATCTCGGACCAGACAGAAAACCTCGCCGAAATCATGTATCGATTGGACGGCGGCAATGCGACCATTGACTCCGCCCGCGTTTGGAAGGACGTCCGATGGACTCAAAAAGCACGTTTCTCGCTTCTGAACTCTGAATTGCATCTGATCAATCTAAACTTCAGTGATTCGGGTCTCTACAGCTGTGATGTTCAATACGCCGATGGACGCTGGAAAAACTGTTCTACCTCGTTGGTTGTGCAAGGTAAAACGAACCACATATGTATTGGCAATCATGAGACACCTCACCAGTGCACCTATCGATCCCCTCCTACGTCCGTAGCACAGACCGCTGGGCCTCTCACAACACCTTGTAGACGATTGGTTCGATCTGAAGAATCGCCTATATGAAAATGAAAGAAAATAAGCTTCACCAGCCGTTGCTCGAATGAACGTTTCCCCTTGTGAGGGTACAACGGTCATTCCGACGGTCCGCCATGGACATTCCGTAACTCGTCTGAGAACAACGCAGGACGAACAAGGCTCATAGGTTTTATGTATCGGACGACAGCGGCCGTGAGACTCGCCCACGACCGGAGTCCGCGTACAAGTAGCAACACAAAGAGGCAGGTAGACGCTTCCTTCACTCCCTTGCGATGTGACTGACGTCTTACCAGAGCTGTACGGATAGATCCGCGCCCGAGGCCATCCAGTTTCGCCCGGGATTTCTCGATCACAGATTCTCTTGGCTGACATGTGATTACGAATCTACGATACGAGCGGAGGTCTGCCAAGTACGCGGGGCTCTCGAGGAACGCCTTCGGTCGCAAGCTCAGTGTATTTGTAGTCCGCTGGCAAGACTAGCTTCCTCGGAATGACAGTGCATTGAATTGACGGGAAACTGGCGAGAGAATAAACACCCTCTGCGTGTCGCCGATTTGCCGGCGTTCACTCGCTTGACAAAGTCGCTGAGCTAAACCACAGTGTATGTACATGCATCCTCCGACTCAAGGTGAAGCAGAACCAGGTACAGCGACGGTCACTGGGTCATAAGGGGTTGAGTCTGGTCGGTGCTCCCCGCATCTTTGGTGAGAGGCCTGCCACTTCACGAAGGCAGACTCGCAGAGAGAGGATGAAGGGCAGGACGAGAACGGAGAGTGGGAAGAAGAACAGCAAGGTAAGATCGAAGAACGGGGAAAGGAGGAAGAAGAGGGAAGGGCAACGACGATTCCGAGGCCCTGAATTTGGGGAATTCGATGGCACGGCCCGTGTCTCACTCGACATGCTCCCGTCACGTTGTCGTTGAGTGCCAAGACCTGCGTTGGGAATGTATTGAGGAACAATCTTGTGCCTTCAGCTTCTGAGCCATTCTCTCAGGAGCTGGAGTCGGAGAGCGGGATCGGCCACGCCCATCAAGCTCGACACAGGTAGAAGCCTGTCCTGGCCTGTGGCGACGAGGTTGTGGGATCGGTACATGACGAAGCTGACGTGTGTAATCGCACATCGCCAGAACACCTTGGTTCCATCCTTGCTGCGCTTGTCCTGTACAAACATATGTCCTTCGAAAGCCAGCTGCGGTTTTCCCCGCTGCGACACCAATCCCACTCTGTCCGGAGAAGCCCGTATTCACTCACAGATCACGATATCTGAACCAGAACCATAGAACGAGCGGTCTTGATGATGGCAGCACGTGGAGGCCTGATGCCACTGGAGGAAACGCACGCGATCACCCGGTGCGAATCAGAAGGCGACGCCGACGTCATGTTCTGAAGCTGTGACAGAAGACACGTGCAATTCGCTCTGCCTCCGCACTCGTTACCGAGAGCGGACTGCTCGGTTTCTTTATGCTTTGCACGAGAATCAGAGCAAACGCACGGTCCTTGAATCGTCTGGAAGTACCCACCGTCAAGCTGTGTACTTGGGATAGCAAATCATCTAGACGCATCATTTTCAAGCAGTGTGCCTCCTGAGCTAGGATCGACTCGCGACAGGTTCTCGACGTTGAGTTTACCAGACCCGACAGGTTCTCGGCGTTGAGTTGACCGGACCCGACAGGTTCTCGGCGTTGAGTTGACCGGCGATCAATTGTACGGCGTTAGGTCGTCCCGGCGTTAGCTTGTCTGACGATGAGTTGTCTCGGCGTTGAGGTATCCGGCGTTGAGAAGTCGGCGTTGAGATTACGGCGATGACTCGGTCGGCGATGGGTTGTCTGTGTCCGGAGTTCTTGTAGCGTGAGGATCCCGAAATTTTTGCGGAGCATCTATCCCGTTGTGTGTTCTTTACATTGCCGACAGTATCAGACGATGCGGAATACTCTAGATTATTCAATATTTTAATTTCTTCGAAATGAAGGCGATTACTGAACTTCGTAATTCCCGCTGGAATCCAGAGAACTTCGATAATATTTCCACAGATTTCACCTTCCCTCCGCCATACTGTAAATTGATGTCTAAATCCAGATGCCGACCGATGTTCGGGGGGAACTCCCGGGTATATATCCAAATTCATATCCATGAGCACGAAGACGCCCATGTGAAGCTCTCTCAGAAGTTGCCGAGGATTTTTGACTGCTCTGAACCTCGAGAGAATGAATTCGAAGCATACGATTCAACTCCATCTTCAGCCGCCATGGCAGCTACTTTTCAAATCGCTTCGATGTGGAGTCGACGGAGCGACTCCTCGGAAAATGGGAGCGTGATATCACCGGCTCCGCGGAGCTCACTCGTTGACGCGCACATGGATACTGTCAAATCCAGATGAATCATTAAATGATGTCCTCGCTAATGCCTGGCCCTGAGGACAGGGTCAAAGGAAGATCTGAGGCACTGCGTCAACGACTGAGTGAGCAGGAATCGCGAAGCATGCATCTGCTGCACGATGCTCGTTGAGCAGCATCCGGAATCAACCCGGGTTCGTAGAGATGATCGAAGTCTGCAACCTCGCAACTACCTTCAAAGCCACCGAAGCCTGATGTCGCTCCTGCGGGGCAGCGCGCCTTGCGACACACCTCAACCATCTCACGAGTCTCCCTCAGAGGAACATCTTCAACTCACCGACAGAGACTTTCTCGAAAGGTGGATTTTGCGCTCCAGGGCATCTCTTTCGGAAACTGATCAGATATTCGATTGATCTTGTCCTTGCCAACAGGACTGATCGCAATATGAGAGCATACCTCGGTACATAACTTACTCGAGCTCTCATCGATCGCGCTCAAAATCTCATGGCGGAGGCGGCAGAACCCAAGCTCCGCGAGACGATTGACTAGCGGTTCTTGTTATCACCCGCCTCCTCTCGGTAGCCTAATCTTCCTTCGACATGCGCCGGCGTCGGATCATTCGAGGGCACCATTGTGATCGGGTGGTGCCCTCGCTGCTAAGCAAAGCCATCGGTTTAACGTGCTGCTGGAGATGTATATTCCTTATATCCAACTACGAACGACAACCGGCACTCATGAGCTTTGTTTTGGACGTCGAGCCTCAGTCTAGTGGAACGGCCTATGATGGAATCAGCTGAGGGGTAATGAAAAGATCCATCATCGGTCGGAAACGCGTCCCGGAACGTCCCAGCGCTTCACAATCTGATCGAGGACACTCATACGGACGGAACGAGGAGATGCTGCCTGCTCCGGCGCATTATTGCACTACCGCTTCCTACAGAACTACATAGTAGGCGACTCCCGCCTCCGGGCAGGCATTGCAGCGAGGCAACTTTTGGTGTCTACGACGTCCCGATACCCTGATGCATCCTCCAACGTATGAATCCATGTCGTCAGCGAAGTATTGTTTGCTTCTCATTACTTGAGTTCGAAATCCGACCTCTTATCGCGGCTTCTCGACGATTCGAACGTGACACCCCGCTCGCAACAAAATTCCGAGAACACAAGCTTCAATCGAACAACCTGCGGGTAAATTCACCGAGCCTTTTGGATTCGAACGACCCTTCTCAGTTTCAGCGCTGATTCGGCATGATTCCCCCTTTTCTCAGCTCGAACCTCATTACTGGCCCTCTCGACCGACCAGGAACTGTGCCTGACGCACTCATACACTCACTCAGACGAATTCGAGGGCTCCGATGGATCGGTCGGTGCGCCCGAATTGAGACGCTCTTCCTGTATTCGACGTGGTGTGTCTCTGTCGCGCAATACACAATGTTCCATCCTGCTCTCGAAAACAGTATCCATCCATAGCAAGCCAGCGGACAAACGTGGAGCAAGAAGTTCGTTCCCCTGGGAATTCGCTGTGACGGCTTGAGGTTTTTCTGTATCGAGATATCGCTGTACTAAGACAATAGACGGGAAACTCGGAAGCGGAGAGTGAGCTCTTATCGTGGAGAAGTTCGAAGGCGATGCATCAGACATGGGCGGGGCTGGATGTCCAGCCTTCGTCCCGATCATGATGATGGCCACGATTCGGTCCTGATCTGCAGCATTATACTGTACAAAACTGAGTCCCTATGATTCGCTCCTCTAACGGTTCCTTCACAACGAAGAACCTCGAGTTGCGAATTGTTGAAACCCTTGTGATAGCCTGGGCAGTCCCGAAATGAGGAATTTCCGGATTGACACAGCAGATCCTTCGAACGGGAGTATTGGGAGCGGGGAACGCCCGATCTCGCGACGAATGCCATCTTATCTACATGGGCGGATTCCGGTCGCCGCCATATCTTTGATTTTCATGGCGAATCCGGTTAGTGTTGTAGGCTCTTCAAACGATGTTCCTCGTGAGGTTCCGAGACTCGAACTCAGATTGCCACTGACGCGTTTCGGCTCGGAAATTGTAATGCTCCCGAGTTCGGGAAAGCAGCCATCTCCGTCGAGTCGAAACTATGCGCGACTCTGCTGAGCTCTAGGCTTCAGACCCTGCGGAAGGAGAGTCTACGATGATCTTCACATTGTGACAGATCGAAAGAAGACGGGGATGTCGATAGCAAGAGCTGCGGGTGCTCTGACCTTCCAGGAAGCGTTTGAGATCCGTGAATAATTCTGAGACTTTGTGCCCCGCAGAATTCCGTCTAAGCAAGGGGACGGAGCCATGTCAAGCTCCGGGGTAGGCTGAGAGCTCGGAAGAATACGCAAATACTCCTACACGATCTTGATCGCTCGCGCAGGATCAACACAAACTCCTCAGCATGCTGTATCCAATGATCGAGTCAAGAGTTCATCTAGCAAGGAATTGCTATTGCTCTCGTAGATTAATTATGCTCAAGGCTGGGTCTCTTGCTTTGCAGCGCCGCTCTTCCCCCCTCTGATGGAGATAAACCACGAAATCATATCATTGAATGAAACTACCATCGGACCGTATGCCGAACGAGCTTACCTCAACGCGAGCTGTACTCTATCCCACTCATGTAGGTTGGATACTACGCGTCATCACTCACTAACGAGGGCATCGGGAACGATATCCTCCCATGCAAGACAGACCTTCTCCACAGTAGCGTACCGAGGGGAAGGCGGTGGGGCGATCCGCCCCGGGCATCACTGCGCCGGGGGCATCTTAATGCTCGATGGAAGTCTCACAAAGCCGAATTTTCCTCGAGATTTGGTCGTAATGAATAATGAATGAAGACTTATATTGACTCCCATCGGTATCCAGATCGTGGAGTGTAAGATTTGGGAAATTTTCGAAAGAAATCTGAGGGGGGGAATAATATCGGGGTCCCGGCACGGGATTTCAGGAATCCGCCCCGGGCATCATCGAGGCACGCTACGCCACTGCTTCTCCACGGCAATGGTACTCGTCGCTTGTCGTTATTTAGACATGGGAGACGTTTGAGAGTTCCAGCAAGTCAGATTCGTTTTGCCTTGCCGGGTTCCACTGTCTATGCGCCTTGCTATATTTGATCGAGGGTGCGACACAGAACACAGCTCATTTGAGACGAAAATCAATAATGATCGAGCTTAGAATGGGGCGGCCATCACAGAGATTCCGTCCCCCACAACGGGAAGGCGAGAAGTAGACCGTATCTGATGATGTCGTATGTACAAAGAGCGGGAACCTGAGGAGAGGAATCCTGTAGAGAATGTCGCTCAGTTAAGCCTCGTGATTCCACCCGTGAATTCCGGGGAGCAATCGCTAGCTAATCTCGAGTCCGGTCGTACGAAATCAAGATCCACTCCATGGTTTCGGACCGATCCCAGCTTGAAATGGCCCGCAGGGGCAAGGAGGCGTCAGGTCGGGAGTCGACGTGGGCGACCGCCTGGTCTCCGAGTCCACATTTGAGCCCGAACACGCTCTTGAAAAGCGCTGAATCGTTCACGACGCCGACGAATCACGCCTTTGCCCAACTGTTTGATCTCGCATGAATATTGTACGTATGTATATGCGCTCGAAGGATGCCGCTCTTTAAATATACGTATACTCGTCGGCGTCGAACAAGAGCGTGCTTAGAGCATCCGCTGCGAGGCTGGAAAGTCTCAAGCTTCCAGGACCATCGGTCGAAGAGCTCGAGTACAATAAGAGTGGTCGCAATTCTGGTTCTCAAATTCAGGAGAGACCCGAGCTGGCTCCCACTTAGGGGAACCCCCAGGAGTTCGTCTGCTTAGCGCGGAAGTCCGCATGGCTCGATGGCTCGCTTCTGCTCCCCTAGTTCATGCTTCTAGATAGGGATCGATGTTCAGAGTTTGCCTGAAGCAGGATAGCTCCTCTCTTCAACATTGCGGATGAGGTTTGTTTCCATCGCTGGAAGCCGACTTCCCCCATTCTCCGTTCCTTTGGTCCTCGGAAATACGTTATACAGAATTGTGGAGAGAAAATGCCCGCCGCTCTCGATCTCATTGATGGCTCATTTTTCGAGCAGATAATTATCCCGTATGGTACAATTGGACCGCCGACGGCCGCTGGCTGCAAGCCACATCTCATGAAATCCATTTCGGACCCTTGAACCGCAGCCTGTTCATGAAGAAGCTTTGCTGTGTAGTGTCCTCAGCGTCATCTCTTCGTTCAAGCACAATCTGCGCCAAACTTCTGGTCAATCGTAAGGGATGCCAAAGCCGCTCTGCGTCGATACTCCCACCCCATTCCAAAGAGCATGCGTGCGAATCGATTCTGAAGAAGTGAGACCGTTGCTATTTTATAGTGGGTGCGGAGTCCGTTTCCATTATAACGTGGCAGTCGCCCCTGGTTCTCGGAATACCTCAAGAGATCGAGTGTGAAGTGCAAGGCGGCTTCCCCCCTCCTGAAATAGGCTGGTATCTCGACGGCGTAGTTTACCCGAACGTCATCTTCCATGATTCCGCCCATCTATGGGCGACTTCTGTCATCATTCTGACGCCGGAAGAGAAACATATGGGCGCGAGACTAGAGTGCCGAGCGGAGAATCGCAGCGCAGGAGAGTACAAATCACAATTCATTCGTCTGGATGTAAAATGTGAGCAATTGATACCTCACCCAGGTTATGTAGAACGAAGAGAAAAGCACACTAGTGACGGTCCCGACGTTCCCCGCAGATAAGCCGGATGTCACATTGAAGATTGGTCAAGGATTGAATGCCACGGGGATCAATGCTGGCAGCGATGTGTATCTTGAATGTTCGGTTCAAGATATATCGGTCGATAAGTTACCGAACATATCAGACAGCCCAAAACCGAGTCATCTTATCTCATGGAGTCACAACGGAGGAGTTTTGAAGGTGAGCCCTTATATTTCCTCTCCAACTCGCTGAACCACGTTTGCGATAAGAATTATGGACGAGTCCCGTGCGTTGCCTCGAAAGCGGTTGTGAACCTGAGCATTCGTAAGGGGTCTGGATGCAAATAGCTCGCATCAAACGTGCATTGAGCTACTCCGGCGGATACCAAATCTTCTTAGGCTCATGAAATTTAATTCTACGACACTCCTCATTATCAGCACTCCACATTGTCTCGCGCGCGAGGACTGCGAGGCTCGCTGGAATAGTTTTATGCTTCACTAGCGCTCCCGAGTCGCCGCGAAGCGGCCGTACCCGTTCCCGGAGCTTCATCGATCTAGACCGATCGATCTAATTTAATCGATCTGGTGCTGATAATGAGGAGTGTCGTAGAATTACATTTCATGAACCTAAGGAGATTTGGTATCCGCCGGAGTAGCTCAGACCACCCAGGAGCGAAGATGGAGAGCTTGATAGACGAAGAGTTGCGGGAATACTGAAATATTGAATTACAGAAAAACTAGACCTGATACAGAAAATCTGTTTCGGTCTCTACGCGCCCGGTTTACCCCCACCTGGGTATAACTTCTATTGTATCGGAGCGAATTTTTTTTGTCGGGCTGTGTAATGCTCGCAAGATTTATTCTCGTTTATTCTCCAGCTGCTCTGGAGCATTTCTCCCCCTAGACTCAGGTCGCCCTCGCCGACCTACCCCGCAGCTCGACACTCGACAGGCTGTAGGGAATCGAAAAGGGCGAGATGAGGATGACGTGAGCACCGGCGAAGGTTTAAGTTGAGAGTGTATAATTCCAGTCAAACCGCACAGCGGGTATCCTCATCACGGATCGCTATCTCGTATTGCGCAACGTTCAGAAGCGTCATCGCGGCCACTACACGTGCCAGGTGCGGGGCACCGCGCTACAGACGGAAAGCGAGGACGTCACGAGTAGTCCTCTTCTTCTGATCATTCATTGTGAGTCCATCCTAATCAACGGGCCCTCCCGTGTAGTGACCGGGCTTATTCCGGATGCGATTATCTGAATTAGTCGTCCTCCAATCGAGATGGCCTTCTTCGTAGATTCGCCCCGATGTGCAACCGCGTCTATCCAGAAAAGATACGTTGACAAAGGGAAAAAGGCAGTCCTGGTTTGTCCTGTCGACATGCAGCCATGGAATAAGTTTGCCCGCGTCTATTGGTCCTTGTTGGGTGAGGACAACTCCACTCGAACAAATCGCTTGGAGACCGTTATGAGTGAGCAAATGCTCGAGCATGGTGAAGTTTTGTGTTGGGGAGAGAACAAGCTTGGCAGTGGGCGCAAATCTCCTTGCCGCCTGCAACTGCTCGAGAGAGGTAGGTTCTTGCCTCATCATAAAGTGATCTACGGTATTTTTGGAATTCGTGAGATAGAAAATCGCAAGGGGTCTCGGATACAGTCCCGATCTCTCGAGGGGTTTGACTGGTTCCTGCAGCAATCGGAGAATCCCGACAAAGGCGTGGGAGACTTGTGCAGCGTTCATGCGGATTCCGTTCCGATAGGTTACGGCAACGATATGAAAACGAACAGCGCTCCCCATGACATCATTCGCTCGATGGATTGTACAGTACACAACGTGACCAGCAGCGCAATACTCGTCGGGTGTGAGAACTTCAGCAACGAATTCGCGAACATCACGATCGTTGCTGACTTGATCCGCAATCGGCAGATCATAAACTCAGCCCAGCTTTCCCAAACCAGGTTGGTAGTCTGATTCACTTTAGGTAGATCGCCACCATCAGCTGAAACGAGTGAACTCGCCAATCTCAGCTGTCGACTTCAATGGCCTATGGCGGAAGCGATCTCAGTGTCATGATGGAGTTGTAGGATGATTATTGCCAGAAACCTGGTTAGGCTGTTCGGGATCTTTAGAAGCGTTCTGCATGTTGTCGACCGCCGTACCCCGTTGTTAGTTATGGGAGGAATTCCCTTCGGGGACCGAGGGGGGCAATCATCATAGACGGAGGGAGAGCCTTCCTTGCTCGGGCGCCGGTGTCAAGCTGAGAAAGCGGTAATATGGGCTATTTCCAGGGCTTGGTACTGGATGGGCTACTTGCAACCGTCTACGGAATATGTCATAGATTTCTGCTTAGCGGGTATTGCTAATAAAATGAACGTGGACCTGCAGAACCCGCCGGACTCCTCAGGTGAGCAAGAATACCATTCGAAGACGCGGATACCTGGAGGGTTCCGACGGACCCTCCTCTCTGGATGGAATCCAATTAGGATACATAATAAGGAGGTCTTCCGGATACCGAATATCGAGTTGGAGGAGGCATGACCTCTAGCTTTTTCTCATGGCTGCGCGCCGGTCTGCGTACCACTGATCGTCAAAGTTCCCGTCATTCTTGACGCTTCTGCCCCGATTATCTATCCCTCGAATATCGGTACCCCGATCGATGATAATCGATGATAATTGCTTCGATTATGCTTGTCCCCAACTATCCGAGCGCTGGTCTGGCAGTGTCTCTCGCCTCATATGTGGACCTCCTCAGGAATAACCTAGGTACATACGAAGTCCCGCGGTGAGCGAAGCAGGGAGTCTTCTTGGCGAAATATCTTCTGGATTCTCCTCAGAGACGATATCGATGATTAGGGCTCCAATGCTTTTCCCCGAAACCTCATGAAGGACTCGACTCATCGTTCCTGAGCTCGCCCTGAGCTGTAGGCATCTTCTCGGGCATCAGGGTGATTGTCCGCGACATTTCTCCCCGAGAAAGTCGAGAGACGATTCCCTGAATGTCTCTCGATTTGATGATCATCTGTTGCGAGATTCCGATAACTACACCGGCAATGATTCCAAGGCAGACCTGTGCGCCGTATCCAGAACGCGGCGCGCGGCGCCACAGCTCTGTTCCGAGGCCCTGAGATTTGCGTGAGACTTCCATTGGTCGGGTCTCGGGTCCGCCAACCACAAGCTCGGACAGCCTCTGAGAGTCGCCCGAAAGCCAGCGGGGGAATACTCGGGAAAACTATATTCAGGGGAACAATAACCATGGGAGCGGCGATCACTTTTTTTTACCTGACTTAGTACCGATGATGATCTACGACCTGACTCTACATACACAGGGTATGCGCTCCCCAGGTACATTGATCGACGGCGGCGAGAGTGTTAGATCTTCAGCGCTGCAGATCGCACCTTATCTCAGAAAATCGGCGATCGGAGCCGACCTTTCCGCCATGGATCCGGATATGGATGCATTCCGAGTTCATACACGGACCCTCGACAAGGATTTCGATAGTGTTGATCTTGGTGGCTGTAAGTCATACTGAAAACGTCCATTCTGAGCATCTAGTCAGCATCGGCGAAAGTGCTCACGGTTTGCTCGATGAATGGAAGCCCGACGCGGTCGCCTAGACCCTCCTTGCTATCCGCGGCCAAGGCTCGATCAGTCAGATTTCGGAGTCTATCAACCGCAGAGCGAACGAGCGAGAATGCGCTCCCCGCTGAAAGCCCGTCTCCATTTCAGCTTTGTTCAACTTGGAAACCGTACGCGTAGCTCTATATACAGCGATCAGTCTGCTATCATTTTGCGCTGGTATCTCAGTCTGCTATCTGAATTCGGGAGGTCGGAGGACTTCGACAGCATCACGACAGGTCCACACCCCGAAAGATCCAACGCCTCTTCTCTTCACAATGTCGTCCCTGTGAGGATGCTATCCCAGGACCTCTATCGCGGTTTCTCAGATGGAATCAGTCGAATGCGGGGGTGGGCCCGTGTTGGGCCGAATGAGTCGTATCAGAGCGCTCACTATCCTCTGAACTCAATGGGGAACTGTAGTTGGATATGCTTGACGCGGTCGAGGAAGCAAGACTGCTTATATCATTCAACAACCTATCGCGATCGAGTCGTGATGCTGATCATGCCAATCACACTGGGGAATGATGTTCCTCAACTATGGGTGTATATGAATCCACCTGGAAGGGACAAGCCAATTTTCCCTGTGACTCTTCATGGCTCATCTTAATACTGGCATTCTTTCCCGAGTATGGCGCTTTCTTGAGCAGCACTTGATTATATTCGCGATTAGATCCATCACCACAATTCCTTCCGGATTCGCCAGGTGATTGTATATTAGCGGCAAGAGTTACTACCTAAGGTATGCTCAGGTTAGGTATACCTGAGGTATGCTCTCTTCGGAGATGGGTTGAGATCACCCGACGATGTCGTATACCCTCGGTGTTCACCTAGCCTGAGCTTCCACCAGGCGGGGATCAGACACTGAGTTCAACCACTCTCCGAACTGCCCGTTTTGTAAGTTAAGGGAGCTCAGTCAAGGGAGGAGCTGCCCGTTCGCCAGGTGATTGTATATGAAGGAGCGGCAAGAGAGGAGCTGCCCGTTCCATGAATAAAACTGGCGGAAATAGCTACCCATTTATCCTTCTCTCTCATACAGAGCTCTCGCATCCTTGGCTCTAGCTTCTCATGAATGCGAATCAATGCAATTTTTTCACCCATGATCTTGCTTGATGCGCGGCGCAAGTCCGCTCGCGCTAGGTTCGAGCTGAGGGTAGCGTAGTCGGTCAGATCGCTTCGGTGAAGTCGGAGTCTTCCTGCTTGATGACTGATTCGCAAGCTCCTTCGCTAACCCCATGTCCCCTCAACTTATGGCAAGTCCCAGAGATGAGGAGCAATCCATGCCCGTGAAGGGGAGTATGCATTCGCCGATAGATCATACAGTAGGTACATTTACCATGGCAATAAACTTCGTCACGCGATCCTCCATCCTCGTATCGCCTGCTGGAGTCTCCGGCGTCTAACACGGTAACCATACACGCAAAGAGTGTCCATACACGCTCGGGGATTCGTTACGCTCAGGACAGAAATCAACGGAGAACTGGTTGAATTCGAAAAGAAAATATGGGGAAGCAATGATTCGGATGATACACAATGTTCCCTCAGATCGAATAACTTTTCCTGAGAGAAAAAAATGGCACTCTCTCAGGCACCTTTTACGAGCTATAGAAAGAACGAGCACCCTTCCGGACTTCGGAAAATACAGTGAACTCCGCTCAATGGAACCAAGCCATCTGGCGGCTGGTCCGACAAAACACAAAACGCAGTGATTTTGACTAGGAAAGCTTATTCGGGGATCCGGATCCCGATCCGATTACGCGTAGGGTCCGATTATCCGGTGGTCCTGATGAAGGGAGTTCACCATAGGCGAGCCCGCTTTCCAATTAGGGAGTATCGTTTCATACATAAGTATACGGTGAATATTCCAGTACAAGCCCCCCTCCAATAGTAGCTCGTCTCCAATAGAAGCCCTTCGGCGGGAATCTCGAGTCGAATAGAAGCCCGTCTCCAATAAAAGCCCTTCGGTGGGATTCTCGAGTCGAATAGAAGCCCGTCTCCAATAGAAACCCGTCTCCAATAGTAGCCCGTCTCGGACAGGAGACAGGAGTCCCACAAGAGACATCGAATCAGATTTCCGAGAATCTCTGTTCCAGAACATACCTCGAGTTTCAGAAGTCGCGAGAAATCCAGCCTTCTGAAGTCTCTTCTCCCTAATCACCGTCATTGCACAACCGCGCGTCAAATCGTGAGGAGCTCCGCTGTAATAGAAGCACCTCTCCAATAGCAGCCCATCTCGAATAGAAGCCTCTCTGCGAAGGGGTTGGAGGTCGGGCAAGTCCGTCGCGTCGGTCTAATCCTAGAAGGCCTTTTACGCGAAAATCCTCATGGGCGGATTTCTATATTGGGAAGGTTCCCTATGCGCGAGGTTTCTCATCTGCGAGGATCCTGATGCGGAGAGTCCCTTGCACGTGCCCCGCTCGGGAGGGCCTGCTGAGATCAATGCAATAAGCATCAGAATTCATTGTGGCTAGACCATCGTTGGGAAGCAATCCTGATCCGGAGGCACTTCGCAGGAAGACCGCTCTCGTAAATTCAGGGGAGGAGCATACGAAGAGTTTGAAGAAGGCGACTTCTTATCGGAATTTTCATCGGTACGCCTAACAATATTCTCCGAAATAGGACACGAGGAACAATTCCCCGTTACACGCGATGTTCCTGGTTTACGTGTGGGCTTCGGAATGCCACGACTACTACGAGACATACGTACTCCAGAAAAGCATGGTAAGAGAGTCAGGTCTTTTCGCTGCCTCGGAGTGGAGCTCAGTGCGAGTTCCCTGCTGCCGGCGAATAGCCCGGAGGATCCGCAGAGGGAACTCGCCCTTGAATCAGGGTCACTTGCGTGTGCAATGGGAACGTGGAGAAATGAGCGAGTATCACAAATAACCATGACCATAACACAGACGAGATTAGAGGCTATAACCGGTGAAAATCAAGCTCGAATGAAACGGAAGTATTCCTCCTTCTGGCTTCGTCTCGAAGAATCATTCCTCAGCCAAGGAGAAGGCGCACGCCTCCGAGTTTGAGAGTAGCTGTGATGCGCTGAAACACCTCGCGGACCGAGGAACTCCGCCACCGCTAGCCATCTGATTAGATTCGGGATCCCCGACAGCAGTCATCGAACAAGTGGAGTAATCCCCGCGATCAACTCACTTCTCGAGTCTCGCCGTGAGGTCCGATCGTAACAAAGAGAACGATATCGACTTCCCGGTAAACCCAGAAGCAATCAGAAATTTCGTCTCGAGGCTATGACGCCAGCATTCCGAAGAGAGGACGCGAATCAAGATGAAGTTTGAAGGCTAAACAACTCTTCTCCCAGGAAGAAATCAGTCACGCGACCGTCGCGAGTAGCTGACGACTGGGCTGCCTGAAACACTGTCCATATCAGAACGATTTCAATAGTGGCAGCTCTGAGGATGTTCTCAAAATGGTACGTGATCGGAATTCCTAAATTTCGGGAACTTCATATTTGACTTATCGGGAAACAAAAATGTCCGAGAAGGAACTCTACTCATCATGCAATATGAACACGTTTTTACACTGCTCGTGTATAATGCAGCTCGATGCATCGCAGGCTTTTTCCCCTCTCATGGGCATCTCCTGGCTTGACGGAGAACGTAGACTCGATAAGCATCAACGGTCGTCCCAAGGGTAGTACCTTCCGCTGACGACGAGACCAGAGCGACCGAGGGCCCTAGATGGCCGGCCTTTTGGCTACCTCACCACGCTGCTCTTCCAGCGCTCTGTTGGCGAATCGGAGTATTGTCTTAACCCTCTTCCGTCGGAGCATTAGCTCGATCGAAGCAACAGCAGCCGGGGCTCCGCATAAGGACTTTCTACAAAATGCGAAAGAACTCCTGCGGAAGGCCCTCCTATCCTCCCATGCCACGGGCTCATTCATACGGCCAATCGACGCGTTACTGCGGGAGGTCATTCCAAGGCGTCCCTCGATTCGATTGTCCGAGGGAACTAGCCCGGCTTGTCGGCGTGCGTGCACCGTGAGTGGAAGCAGCGTGTGTACAACAAAAAGTACAACAGAAGTCACTTCGTTGAGCTAATACAATGAGCAGGGCCGGAACCTTTGGTCGTTCCGCTCGACTGTGTCATATCAAGGGACGCGGACTGTGACGGAAGCAGGAGAAATTTGTCGTATCGAATTGCAAGTTCGCGAATTGCTCGTGACCACCACATCTGTCCGGACATGTAGTCCCTGTCTGGTTGCGAATCTGCCCTCATCTATAACTTTTGCTCATTGGAGCATGTTCTCGCGCCCGTTCGCTCAGCCGCTGCTCTGTTTGCCCTTGCGAGAACTCGTCCGAGAGCTGTGAACTATCACATGTTCTCCGCACAAAGAGAGACATAAAAAAAGTCGGCGAGAAACAGATACGGAGTGCTTCATCGATGGTTCTCCGTCAGGGGTCGAATCGGAGATCGATGCGGATTCCGAGTGGTTCTTCCCTGCTGTAGGACGACCGTTCGGCTTAGGTAGCATCAGAGAGTTCATCGGTCGTCGTTTATGAGTTGGATGTATGCGTTTCATTGGATTCCTGGCTCACCTTGCCGGGAGTCGGCACCTCCCAAAAATAGCGATCAGAGACCAGAGGAACCATTTTGTAGCAAGTTGTGGGCGAGTCGAGTCAAAGTAAACGTCAGCCTGCGATTGCGTCACTTCTACGAACAGCCGTTGCGTGGATCGTGTATGAAGACGGTCTTTGTTATTCTGATCGGAATATACTTCTGGTGTTATTTGAAGCGTATATTTTAAACGGTCCGGTCATCGACAATGCTCGGGTTACTTCCATAATCAAGTGGAAGGTACTGCCGCAAACCTGAATCCCCGAATATAAATTTTGACTGTCAGCGAAAAGCTCATATTCCCTCGCAGGTCCGGCAGGTTCCGCCAATATAGGGCCAGGATAGGAAGTTCGGCCTCACAGTGAGCCATTCGATCCTTGCTGCGGCAAAACTCGAGAATGAGGTGAGCTCCCGACAGAGAAATGTGAGATGTATAGCGCGTCAAGATTGGAAGCGCAGAAACTCCCTTCGATCGCACTGCTTCGAACGTTGAGTATCCGTCCATTATTTCTTTGGTAGAGAACAAGCAACGACAGCTATCCTGGTGGCACTATGTATATTGGGGAGCGAAGCCGCTCCCACTTTTCCGCCTAACGGAAAAACACACAGCAATGCACCGCTCGGAATTCTGCGATTACCTCGTAAGACTGCCATTACAAACCTGATCATGAAGGGATGAATAATCTACTCGATGCGGAGTGGGGAAATATCTCCCGCGCGACAATCGAGAACGCTCATCGAACGTATCATCTCTCTCCAATAGAGCATCAGACCGCATGCATCGTCGACGTCATCCAGAACAATACCGATCCTGAAAGCCACATAGTGTCCCGCGACGTTGAAGTGCTGTTGACCAGATGTTTTGCTTTCCCAGTACCACGATGCCGTAAGTGTCATCAGTCCTCAGAAATCTCGGGGAAGGAGCGATTCAAAAGCACCATTCGACAGTTGTTTCCATTCAACATATAAGTACCTAATCGAGTAAGTTTCTAGCTGCGGAGAATCCAAACTGCATGATGCAGGAGAGCGAGAACACACAGGACAGAAGCCCGCTCGAGAGCGTGACCGAGGAGTTCGCCCGCGAAGATCCCGCCTCGGCTTCGAGTACCCAAATGCCTTCTCCGTCGACGTCCTCACCAATGAGTAGTGAGCCGTCTAGCGGAGCTGCGAGAATAGATGCGTCATCGACCGAACAATCATCTCGGGACGACGATTTCGCTTCATCCGGACCAGATGCTCGAGCCGAAACTGTAGGAGCGCCGAAGAAAGACGAATCAACAAGCGAGAAATCAGCCCAGGATGACGGTGCCATGCCATCAACCGAACCACACGAGGGGGCTCTGACTAAAGATGGACCAAGTACTGAGGATTCGGCTCGCGACGACGACGGAAGCGGTAGCACCGAAGACTCCACAGGCATCAATACAACGGAATCGTCCGATGGTGAGACAACTACCGAGGAACTGGGCCGAGGGGAGGATTCGCTCATTGAGAGCAATTCTCAAGCTCGAGCCGATTTAGTGGGGGCGCCCAAGAAAACATCCACGGAGGTTCCTGCCCGCATGGATGATCTTGCTTGGTGATCTAAGCAGAAACACGCACCGATGGAAAACTGATCATTAGTGAAGCTAAAGCTAGATCGTCTCTTCAGCATGATTTAATATTATAATGACACGACCGAGCCTCAAGAAGAATGCGGCGGAGATTCCGATGACTCAATGCAAGAGGGAGAATGCCAGCAACTTTGCGAGACCGTGGTCTTGCAACTGAAATAAAGCGCATGAGAAATTGCCTTCACGTATTCTCGCTCCCATCAACATCTCCATGTATCACATCAATGGCTACCCTCCAATAGCCTCCAACCTCCCATATACAACATCTGTACACACATACACTCATATACATACATTACAAACACCACTGGATGAGAGTATCTCGACGAAGACATCGCCGATCTCCGACGGATTTCGGAGCACCGAAAGCGGCATGCGCTGATTCGATCCACAAAAGTTCGGACTTGATGCTTCCTCCGGGACTGAGAGAACCCCAAATGTTGTAGGACCTATCGGCCAATAGACCTCACGGTCGGAATTCTAGGCTCTTCCTAAGGGCTTCTCCTTACAGGGGTCTATGGGAATCGTGTCCCGAATCACTCGGATCGAACCCCATTAGCGGAGAGCTATTCCTGGGGAGCGATTAGTTGTAGGGTAGCCGAGGATCGAATCCCCCCGCCCATGGCATAGAGAACACTCGAACGTCGCTTCGCACGGCTGTACAGAATCTATTCATAACCGATTACAGAAATGGAAGCGCATATAGGAACTACGTACGCTCACAACCTGGGAGCTGTGTCCACACCTGATGAGTGGAAGCAGGGGCAATCGATCAATTCAAGTCACGATTCTATTTACTAGTTCGTAGAACAATGCCCGGTCACATTGAACAACATTTCCGCTAGGGATCGGCAGGGCTCCCGGGGAATTTCAAAGCCCGCCAGTCGCCATTCGGAGAATTTTATGGGCCGGAAGGCTGCGTGCTGGGATGGGTCGTGGATAAGAGACTGCATAAGATGAACGTCTCCTCTTTGATCAGTCCGGAAGTGGAATAGCCTATAGTGCTCCGTCGCGTCGGCCTTCTAAAGAAACAACACGGATCGAGAGACTGCAGGAGGCGCGTGGAACCTCAAGGGGGAACTCCCAACTTGACGGTCTCGTTCTCAAGGGGTCCCAGGGTTCCATTGATCCCCCAGATTTCCTCCGATCACCGCAGGCCGCGTTGGGTGCCAGCAGCTGTCGCTTAGGAGTCTGCTTAGAATGCTCATAGAATGCTGTAAAGACATCATTCTCATTCAGTCTTTCATAATCGCCTTTTATCAGCCTGAAAGGGAGGGGAAAGAAATTTACGCATGCGAGGGCGCGTTCCAGAGCCGGCAGGGAACCCTCCAGGCGAAAATATTATGAGTAAATGCTTTGCGACAGGCGGAAGTACCACTCGCGAAGGAGTCTCGGAATCCTTCGGAGAATTATGCGCTTCGGCCAGACAGCATGACCGTTCGTTAGCACCGACCTATCGGGTTCATGAGTATTCTCGAGGGAACTTTTTCGGTCTCTGTTGATTCTTTCTGAAGGGGCTACACCCGAGCGGGGGTGTTACGAGTCTTGTGCGCATGACCTGGAGTCACTTCGTCTTTAAGAAGACTGTTTAAGGAGGAGCACTCCTTGGAATGAACACATCTTTCCGGGCTTCGTTCTGAGTGGGTACATCCGCCAAGTCATTCGAAATACCCTGCTCTGAGAGAACGACTTAAGCACTCTCTATTCTGAAGTACCTACTCTGACCAAGCACTCCGCTCGATGAGAGTAAAGTCCCTGTTGATTTCATTTCACCGGCCTCGCATCGAGACGATAGTCTCTCGGGGAATTGCTGACCCTCCTCTCACTCATGAGTAGACTTCATGAACTGAAGAGAACGGTATTATGCAGGCGAAAATACCAGCTGAAATATGCAGCGAAAAGAGCGAAACTTGCACTGGAAATCAGCGTAAAAGCGCGAACCTCGACGGCATCAAGACGTCGACCAACCTCTGTTCGTTTACGTGCACTGTCGCGATTCTGGATCATCATTCAACTAAGTACACCCTCGGCTTATGGGTTGCAGTCATACGCATTTTCAGATTCTCGAACGTGAGACTTTGAAATCGATCGCTCAATATGTGCTCCAGATCAGTGGTGCTTGCTTCTATCTACGTCCACGGACTTTTGTTATAGGCGCATACTTGAAGCAGGCCATCTTGTACATTGGATCTCTGAACCCTCCAGTAGCTGCAAGCATTTTGGGTGTCTGTGGCGGTCGGCAGCAAATCGCTTCGATACACTAACTCAGATTGAGGAAGTTGAAGGGCTCATTGCTTCAATACAGAAAGTTCGAAAAGCACAGCGTTATTTATTCCGATGTCACAGATCGTCTGCGCGTGTCCCTAAAGGATAATCGCGAGCCTGTGAGAGCGGGAGGTTCCCATGCAGATGAGGATGCGTCGGAGGAAACCGCGAAAGAGAACTTTCGCTCTGAAAAAGATCACGGTCCAGGAAGAAGTTTCGAATGAGAACCTTGAGCTTCGACGTCTGATTCGACTCACGCATTCCGATCTCTATTGGGTCTTTCAGAGCTATCAGGGGTCTCCTCAACCGTTAGAGAAATGCCTTACCGATTCCGATAATGGTTGGAGCTGACTTATGCTCGGGGATGGCCGGTGGCGATGGTCGGAGCCGCATCAGACCCTGAGAGGACGCACGTACATATGCTGAACGACCGCGGAAGAGAGGGTGAATCAAAATTCCTAACTCGGAAAGGACTTACATCGATGTGCCCTTGCGGCTCAGGACCTAGAGGTCTGCTGGGAGTTCCACTTGGTTGCGTCAAGATATTCGATTCCTCAGGACCACCTGGAAGAGAAGGGAATCCCGGAACCGAGCTTCCTATTATTTAATTAGAGACTCCGAGGATACAGCACAGTTCGGAAGGCAGTTAGTGAAAGGCATGCTCTGATTGAATGGCACCTTCTACGGGCATTGAAAAATTGAGGAGCTCCATGCTCCAATCTAGAGGCATCCCACGATCTAGATGAAAGATCGCGTATGGCGGATATATGTACGTATTCCGTGAGAGACATACATCACTAGATACATAGTGATCGATTCAGTATCTATCCACTCGTGATCATGCTTCGTTGCGCACCAACCGATGACGCCAGTCTTCTTCGCGATATTGCTCGACTGAGCTCGGGAGGAGACTGGTCTTTCCAATCTGATTGCATAATTCAAAAAGCACGCTGTCATTAGGGAGCATCCCACGCGAAGGCCGAAAAATGTGGCGCATGTCCCTCAATTATAGGAAACACGGAATTCCAGAGAGGAAAGCATTCATTCCAATAGTCGGGATTGACGGGAGAATATTCAGCGCTCCACTCTAGAGCTATAAGCGTAAATCACCGTGCGATTCCGTCGTCTGTGGAGAGCGAACTCACGATTTCGATCTGCCGGTAGAGGATTGATTATCTCTGGAGGAGACACAAGATTCTGCGGGAACGCGTCTAGAGATTTCCGATCCTCAGAAGATTCCGCGGGGCTTTCGGTGTGCTGCCGTGAGAGAATATGTGATTTAGTTCGAGAATCGATTCCGATTATCCAGATTTTCGTGACATATGAGACCAGAGGACTGGATCCGTAATTGTGAACGGAGGCAGAAGACTTTTACGGTTGTTCTGAGTCGACGGACTGGGATCGAATCTCGAAAAATTGAACTGATGAGTGGCGTGACCCTCCGATCGCCGAAAAGTCGAACCGGAGGAGGCGGAGATTCCCGTCCCGGATTGACCTCTGATTTGACACGAAAGACCGGCCCGATCATCTGCGGTCTCAGAACAGGAGAAAATAAGGGAGTATTCGCAGAGCACCGGGACTGAATTCCGCCGGAGGGATTAGCTCTTTGATTACCCTTCTTTTCACTCACCTCTCCTCCGAGGCCTTTGGCTTGATTCGGGTCTCCGTCTAGACAACAAACCTGGATAGGATCCTCATCACACAAGCCAACCGGACTCCCCCCTGTAGACGTACACTCCCAGAATGATGAGCAAACGCAGCTCTCCCCTGCAAGTTCAAGGTGAGGTCGAAATCCGAGCTTCTTCTCCGGCTTCCCGGCGACTAGAGCGCCAGAGGAAGGGGGAAGATTGGGGCCATCTCATACCCTCCCGCGACCAGCCAATACCTACGGAGGGAGTCCGGTATTCACTGAGCGTTTCATTTTCGAAGCATTTCCCGATACCGCGGAGAGTCCTGCATCCACCTCTGGCTCCCGAAAAGAACTGGATTGAACCCGATCCGAGTTCCTCTTCGCACTCCCTCATTTCAATTACACGCGTTTGGTTGGGCACAGGGACGGTCCGTCTAGTCGTCACCGTCGCGAGGAACCTGGACGCCTCGGAGCGGCGCAAAGTTCGTGTGTCTCGGCTAGCCCGGAATGTTTCGCTCGCGAGAATTTAGTGGAGCGAGATCTAGTATTTGAAGCCGACTGCGGGACTTGCTCCTTTGTAACCTGGCGAATCCTCCAGGAAGATGCGACGACAGAATTGAGATAGCGGCTGCTGATGTTCGAAGGTGCGTTACTAGCGAAGGGAGAAGAAGTCGAACCTTTCCGCTCTCAGAAGCCGAATCGAGCATTGTGAAAGTTTCCTACCGCGCGAAACGAGACGAGATACACCGCACTCATGATAACCCCTTGTCGAAACCATTCGTGAATGCTCCAGGGCCGAGGCTTCGAAACACTAACCTCTAGCCATTCCTGCAAGCAGCGCAGCGATGATCATCAGGAGCGAAGATGTTTTCATTTTGTTGAGCCCAGGCCGAAAGACGTCTAGCAAGAATTCCATCGATACTCAAGGCATGAGAAGCGATAATCTCGGCAAGAACAATTCAATCAGTACGATTTTCGTAGAATGATCCCGATCTTCTCCGCTTCCGTTACGCATCTAGCCGCAGATAGAGGCTGTCGAATCCGTCTGAGAACGCGCAGTGAGCTTCCTTCTCTCTCTGAGTCGCCGGTCGGTCACCGTCATTGGGCGAGGGGACACGCAAAATGACTCCTTCTTCCAACTTCCATATATTTCACAGTCCATTCATGTAAGATTTTGGAAGCAGAACGAATCACTAAACTTCTGGGACTGACTGAAGACACTTCTTGGAATCCCGACGCGACCAGAGCGAGTGGGGCGCCGCGACGCGGGCGGATCTCGATTTCTGGAGCGGGAACGGCGCGGTGCTGGCGCTGCCTTCGTCTAGATTCTAGATTGACGTCCAGAAAAAGTATCATCAAAGCTGCGCTACGCGGACGAGTGTCAGGCGGCGAGAGTAGAGGTTTGGGGAGTATATCGGGGCAGGCTTCCATCTCTTTCTTCAGGAAATTCCCACTCTCTAAAACGAGCGAGAGATATTCATCCCCATTCAGGAAGCGGATCCATTGACCACATCGTTCTTGTGAGCATTCCCGCTCTTCAAACGAGCTGAGGTGAGTTCCCCGATGTATGACAAGCCTGTAGGGCTCATTCCCCCAATTCAGTGCTGTCTTCATCAGCACGTCGGAGCATTAGCGTACCGAGGTCAACGCGGAGGGGGCGCAAGGAATGTCTCTATGCTACGATCTGTTGCGGGAAGGCCCGTTATCATATTCAGCTGCTAAGATCCTCGAAACACAAATTCTCCCACCGCCTGGCCACAAAGGAGAAAGTCGAGTACGCCAAAACACGTATCTCGCCGCGGGCAAGCGGAGAACTGACGTCCTATCATTGGCAACGTTTCTCAGACCACCACAAGCATCCCATCAATAGATATAGATGAAAATCGATGCGTCATATGGAGGCCATCAAGGCACGGCGTTCTATTTGAGACCCACAACATCGCAGATTCGCGCTCTGATGCTCAGCCATCCGCTCAACGACTCGTTAGTAACGATTCTCCTCGTCGTTGTCAGCAAGCATGAGGACTCGTGGAGTTCGAGCATTCTTGCTACTGTTTATTGTCAGTTTTTTTTATTCGGTACCGAACGCCATTGGATTTTCTGAAAACATGCAAGGAGGTAATAAACGGTCCGATGAACGGAAAAGCGAGCTATTCATCTCTCACGGTGACTACTACTGTAGAATATTCCTCAATGGGCAAACAATCTGGTGAATGGCAATCTCTCAGTGGGCTGGAGCCAATTATCTGGCGAGTAGACACTCTCGTGCATGTCGATCACGTGGAATGTATACGCAGGTCGAGGATAGGATGACAAATTCCGCTCGCTCTTATGCACAACCTTCCCATGGATCAAGACGAGTCCACCGGCTTCCACCGGCACAGGGACGAATTCCTCGGCGGCGAATTCACGTTGGTCTCCTATGAACTCCAATCTGTTTGAGTCATCACCGCGTCTTACCATCCTCCGGGTGACTGTCTCACTTTTATGGGAGCCCGGTATATAAGATAGACAACCATTCTCCAGCGTCACATTCTCTACAGCGAACCATAAACCCACCAGTTTGCATGGCTCATTGTGAAGGAATGTGCAATCGGTATGTGCTGTGACTTCTGCTCCAACTCTTGGGTGTTTGAAAATGTACATGGATTGGATGATGGCTGGCTCGACAAAATTGAGGGATTTCACGACGCTCTTGACTTCGTCTTTAAAAGAGATTTTTTTAAATACCTCCGAGTCCCAGTGGAGAGCGTGACCCATCTTATTCAGAGACAGGTCTCTGGGAACCGTCAGATTGCCTTCGTGGTCGATAGCGTCCGCTTCGAAGAAATAACTAATCCGATCAGCTGAGTCGAGGAAGTATTTGTCGTGCCAGTCAACTTGATCGTCGGTTGTCTTGAAAGCGGTCTTCTTGTGGGACACGTCCAGTGCAGAGACGATCCGGTCGACTTCATCCTTAATTGATTGGAGTTCCGCTCTGCTCAGGAAGTTAGGAATTACGACGCATCCCTCTTTATCAAACTGCTCTAGATAGCTCTGCATAATCGAGCGGAGCACAGCGTCGTCGACTTCTCGTCAGCGCACCCGGGAAAGACACGGTCATTCACACGACGCCTGAAATTGACTGTCTCCTGCTTGGCAAAAGGCGAATGCGCCTCGGTCGCGAGAGGAGGCCTCTCCCTCACTCAACGCAGGATGATACGGTTCCGATTGACTCGAGGAATCGTATACTCTTTCCCAGTCGCCGTCACTATCTGATTAATATTTCTTCTCAAGTGTTTCGTTGACCGCGGCTACTAATCGTAAGAGCCTCTGGTCTCTGCCCCATACCAGAGGCTGAGAACACCGCATCCCTCAGAGAAGTTATGATATCAGGGCTTGGTTCCCTTCACAACACTCTAGGACAGCGGTCAATGGTCGAACATGACAGTCTGAGGTGTTCTGCCCCTAGCCAACGCCGAGTCCAGAGCCTACGATGAAATACTCCGAGCTCGAATTTCAGAGCTTTCAGAAACGGGGGATTCTGAAGCTCAGATCTTTCACCGTCGGGCTATCCTGCTGTTAAACCGCTATCAGTCCGCGCTCAAAGGGAAACGTAATCTGCTCCTATATTCCACCGGTCTCCATGGTGACTGCTTGGACTGTGGAAAGCTCAAGCTCCAGAGGCGGTACTCTCTCCGGTACTCTTAGAGACCGCGGCCGAAAATATGGAGCTTCTCAGTCGAACGACGCGAAGACTCTGATTATTATTCAAGGACTGATTGATCGTGCTTGATTGAAGCGTTCCAGTGACTCCTCGACATGCCCCCGGAATGCATTATTACATGCAGAGGAATCTCTGAGGGATCTCCACCAAGGGGACTATCGCCACGCTGTTGAGGTTATCACGTAGGACAGTTCTTCCGAGTTCGGTCATCATTGCTTGGGCGCGGAAGGGTGAAATATCGGGTTTCTGAACGATTGATGGAGCTTCGAGGGAAATTCCATCCAGTTATTCCCAGACACGCTCAATGAAAATGATTGCTCGACACTTCTTGGATCGCATTAAAGTCTAGGGGAGTAATGGTAGTTATATAAGATAGAGAGGCTGCGGGGATAAATATCTAGAGAAAACATTGGGTACCTACACTGTCTAACACCTCATGATCTTTACGAGAAGCTTGCTCGACTCTTGGTTGAAGCGTATTTGCTCGGAAGCTGTGCGCTAACTGCTACCTACCTCCCGATCATGCCGAAGCGGAACAGCTTTCTCAGCGATGATCGGTATTAAAAAAAACTTTGAAATCGCTTGCTCTCCTCTCATCGTGCTCGTTGTGGCTGGAAATCACCAAGGTTGAACTGGAGTTCGAAAGCATCGTGACTTCTAAGGCGGAGTAGCATCACCCTTCTCACGTTCGGGACTCACTTCAATAGATTCAGACTCCTCGTCGAAGTCGTAGGTAGATTTGTAGCAGGCTGGGTCTCAAGGGTTGGGGATGAGACTGCCGTCTTCCTGCATAATAATATTGTGATACACTTGATCTCGTGTTCAATTTCTCGAACTGATGTGGCCGCATAGGTCTGCGTTGACGCACGGTCTCCCTACCATGTTGAAGTTTTGGTACCTTGTGTATCCCGCGGGAGGATATCGGTGGGGCGCGACCACCCGGTGCCATAGATAAATAGGGCCTAGGGCTCGTAGTTTGAGGGACCCTGGAGTACGATATCCGAAGTTTCCGACGAAAGTCTGCAAGGCGCAGGCGTCTTACCCCTTCAGGAAAAGGCTTCATGCCGATTCATTTATAGAGGGATTTCTGAGATGAACACACTTCAGAAAGCCATTTCTCTGTGAAATAGTGGTCCAGAATCCATGAATCGCTGGTCATCGGATCAACGAAGGATAGACTCATGACAGCTGTATCTGATGATAGCAATGCTCTTCAATGTTTCAGAGTCGGCCAGATTCCTGTATCCTCAGTCGTATCACCTGTCGAACTTTATTCTCTGTCAACGCGTGCGATATTCTTTAGCCTCATCATTGGCAGCTCTGCCGAGGTGACCCTTACCAGGCCCTCAAAGATTGCCTTCTCTGGAGCCATTCGGGAGCTATCGGTCTTCATATTCTCAGCAGACTTCCCGGCGACAATTTTTCAAATGGTGGAGAAATTATTTTCAAACAGACTTTCAATTTTTCTCCCAAGATCCGGCAGTCAAATTATGGAATGTGATTTGCTCACTCTGCCTCACCCCTCACTAGCGGCCTATTGGGAATCGTACTATCACAAGAAGACAGTCTTACGAACCTGACCCTGCTCCCTCTGGAGGTAGGGGTAACGCGTCCACGTGAAAGTCCGCAGAGCTCTGCGCACGGTTACAGTGCTTGAGCTTCGTGTCATGGTGTGCGGTGACTCTCGCCGAAGCAGCAGTGATTCCGGATCACGAGGACCACATGACGTGACTGAATCGGAACAGATTCCGAGCCTTCCGAAAATGGGATATGAGGCTCTTGGAGGGTCTTGAAGGGTGAGGACCCCTATACCGTTTATTGCACAACGTCATGGACATGAGAAGCTCTCCACGAAGAACACCATCGAATATGTCGTCAAGACGCGCCAGAGGTGAGCGGAGCCGGCTCACGGTCGTTCTCCGCGTTTTTCTCCCCGACGACTCAGCGTCGCTGCCGGCGACGATGTCTGCGGCACTCCGGATTTCCAATCTCGAGCAGCCCGAGACAGTCTCCATCTCCCGGCGCGCCATCTCATTCGGAATATGCTCCGCTCCAACGAATTCCGTCCCCACGGGCTCTGGTGGAGCGTTCCATCTTTGGTAAAATCCTCCGAGGAAACGATGCGTGAAAGATGAAGATCATCATCTGAGCGGCGAGGCGAGGGAGTTAGAACTCCGTAATAGCGAACCTCCGAAGCCAAGAAAGGCAGAAGATAATTAGACGGACGCGGAAGCCCGGAGCAAATCACGATCGGGGAATGGAGCTCATTAGAAGCCTCGAGGACGACTGAGGAGAACTTGCGGAGCTCGTTGAGCAAATCAGTTGCACGTCTCCATTCTCGACGGCGTCCCTGAGGTTTGTGTTTCGGAACAATGTCCCCCTACATCAAATCGTAGCATTCGTGTAGATTTTTGCATTAAGGCGAAATAATACATGAGAAGCTCAGCACTCGCGAATAAAAAAGCTCATTCGCGTATGCTGGTCGCCGACCGCGGGGGCTCCTCAAGTCCTCCTGGAGATTCAGTGACTGCGGGCATAAGCTCTAAACTTGAACTCAAACCCGCAATCACTGAATCACTCCAAAGTTGCGCTCCATGACCATGACTCGCGAAGTTGAACTCCATGACCATGACTCGCAAAGTTGAACTCCATGACCGTGACTCCATCGCCGATTACTCCTGAGACTGCCTCCAGATAGATGGCCAATGATCAGATCAAATCTTTACCACCCGTGTCAACCGAAAAAAACTCCTGGGACCAGCACTCTTAGCGTAGAACTGCGCTATAGCCCCCGGAAGTAAGGGGGGGGGGGTTGAAGATCGCGAAAAATGGTCACAATCCTAATCGTCAATATCCGAAAGCACAAAGCACCTCTCGAAGAAAATTGCCATGGTCGGATATGCGTGACTCCTCCTGAGGCATCGTCAGAAGGACATCCCGACCTTAAAAATCCCCCCGCTGGGGGTCATAATACCCGAGAACTTCGCATCCTAACGCAAAAATCATGATGGCAACAAATGTCTAGCCCCGGCGATTTGACAGGCACGATGATCGATCCCGTCAACTAGGCACGAGGAGAAGGCGGTCTCACGTCTCAGTCTCTGTAATTTAGGCAATCGATTTGCGCGCCATTCTGTGGATTCTGCGGCTGTCGGATACCTGTCATGGACCATCACACACTGGTCAATTCAGTCAGTCCATTCAATCATAGGGATGACCTTCTAGAATCGGGGTTTCGATCCTTTTGCTATCATTCCTCAATTTAGGTAGGGGGATTTGAAAGGAATCCCGAACAAGGAAACCAGCACTCGAGGGTGGAGAGTTTCAGAGATCTATCTGGCTAAAAACTGCGGGATTCGGTCAGCCGATCGTTGAGGACAAGACGAGAGTATGGAGGAAAATCAGAAGTATGAGTACCGGATATTTTCATATATTATCTTTGAAGAAGTAGGAGAGGGAGAATATAATGAGCTCAGTTATACGCCGAATACCCGACTGACAACCAGAAGTGGTACGCGCCGATCCCAACCTTGCAGGGTGACCCTCGACTTGCTGAAGATGCCTGGCTCGGTGTACGACTCCCGACTCCGGTCGCGACCTCTCTGGACTTCCCTGAGCGCATCAATGAATTTTCAGATGGTCGGATGCTGGATCCCGAATTCAACTTGGAGTCGGCGGTGGGCGGCCTCGGCGTAATTATTGGTACGCGCTTCGCCATCTAGCGTCCTCTGATAAAGCGACCACATGTCGACGGGGAACCGTGGTGTCCTCCGGTCCGCAGTACCGTCTTGGCGGATTCGATTCAACCGTCCGATGTAGATGTCCTCGAAATAATTGAGGACCGGGACTAACTCGACGGGCAAGCAGGGCGAAAGCTCGGGGACAGCGTCATCCTATTCAGCTGGCGGAACAAAAGCCAAGGCCGCTATCATCCGAGTCTTCAGCGCAAAGTCGTCGTCCGTCTTGTAGCGACTCCACAGACCCTCATGCGGAGCTTGATGTTTTCCACTAAATGGAAAAAGCATCCGTGAATGCTTGTTTCCGGCGGGAAACATTCCCGTACTGCCTTCGTCATTGCTCGTTCGTAGTCCATCACAACGCTTGCGGGAGTGAGGGCTGGCCCTGCCAGCTTCGAAAGATTCAGCATCTGGATATACGAGTCGGCTGCTTTATCCAGAAGCAAAGCGTATGTGACAGGACCAACGCACTCCACCCGCTCAGCGAGTACCGCGAAAACCTGAATGATTGAAGCTTGCATCACTATCCGCTCAAGGAACGAGTTTTGTCTGAGAAGGTATCCTGATGATTTGGAATCGATAAAAACCTGCGAGAATTGCGGTGGAGTGAGACTGAAGGTGCCGTCGACGTACAATTTGTCGACGAAACCGATCCAGGAGCTCACGGACTCTCTGCCAAATATGAGGATCCGATTCGGATCTCCGACGCCGCTGTCCGCCACTAGAAAGTTCTCGAACACGCCCGGCTCGCTCTCATAGGTGCGGTACTGCTCGGGTATGTTGATGGAGCCGCGGGAGTCCGGATTCGCTGGCGCCGCTGATCGGGAATTACGGTGCCGGTTGATCATCCTAGTGTTTGTGCGGGGCTGGGTCATCTGTCCGAGCGTCGCCGTCGTTGCTGACACCAGACTAGAGTTCACCAACGAAGACGGTGTCTCGTTGGTTTCTTCGCGGCGCCGTTTTATGGCAGGGGTAATCCGTGCCACCTCGATGCCCGAGGGATCCGGCGGATCTGAGTGCACGCCAACAAGTCTGACAACTTCCCCCGTACTGATCAGGGTGTAAGCTTTGGCCTTACAGCCAATCGATGAATTTTCATACATACAGCGCCACGACTGTGTGTCGCTCTTCGAAGCGTAGGCTTTGACGTAGAGGTGGCCATCATGTGCCAGTTTACTCTGGCCTCTTTGACTCCTAATTCCGGAAGTCGACGCCATGACTCGTGGAACTAATGATAGGAGTAGGGATGAAAGAGACTATGTCTGAGTTGGGAAAGGACGCGGATTCACTCCTCGAACACACTCGGGGGTTACCACACCCTCTTATGAGCACTTTTATTGTTCGCTTGAATGACGATCTCGAGACCATTACCTCAGCTGGGCACAAACGACTTCGTTCGCCGATCGCAGAGAGTTCGACAGCTCAACAACAAACAGAGAAGAACGTCCCGCGGTTCCCCGTGCAACCATGTCGGGTCGGTGACGTGCTTAAGAAGCAACCCCTCAAGTAAGCCGAGCCTGAGTGGAGTATCGTTGGAGAACAGCGGACACGATATTCTTCCGATCGAGAGCCTAATCTTGCCTCAAAATTCTCCTATTTTACCCATGTTGGGGCATTCGGTAATCATCCCTGGGGAAACCGTTTTTTGGCTCAGTTGGTTCGTTGACCCACTTTGTTTTGGCCCAGCTGGTTTTGGCCCAGTTGTCCTGCACCGGTACGTTCTGTGAGTGATCGTTGGGAACCGGGGGAGGAACTGATAGACCGAAACGACTGTGTCAACCCCCTTCGATTGGTTATGATAAGGAGCTGAAGCGGTAAACCCGTAACCCTAGCGAGCACTCTGAACTCTGATCGAGTAGGTAGGTGGAGAAGTACTTTATCAGAGAGACTCGGGTCGCCCTCGAGGATGCATGAAGCTGATTGACCTACAAGTATTGTCGAGGATTCAGCGCAACGCGGGGCCGCACTAATGACAGAATACCCCGAGGAGGCGAGGAAGAGGTTGAAGAGGCTGCTGCGTGATCGAAGCGTTGAAGGGCGCCGGTATCAATCCGAGAGAGAGGCATCTATCGGAGATTTCCAAACTCAGAGATGGAATATACGCCTCGAAGCTGCGACAGATAGCAATGAGACGAAATGGAGCGAGAAAACCCGGCAGGAAGACTTGCTTCTTTCAGCCGGCAACATTCGAAATCGCGCGCGGGATGGGGCACAACAGAGGCTGCAGCTGGGAGAGACCGCGCGAATCTCGCCGGACAGGTAATACAAGAGATCAGATCGCTGATCTATATTATCTATAGGAGATGGGAGATCGGCTCTCACACTACCGACAACCAAGGGCGACCCCATGAGTGTCTTTGATGGGGACAAATACGTGATTTTGAGGGAGCATCGATCTAAGAAGATCTTGTAAGAGCGGGCAGGGCATGTGGGCGGAGATCGAGAGATGGAAGCATGTGTAGCAGGCCAAGGAAGATCGAACAATGATGGGCGTGCATGATGGAGACACTGTCGGCGATCACGATGATTCAGGACCCGCTATGCGGAATATGCCCAGGCCCTCCCACGGCCCGAAAAGCAAAGGAGTGAAGGAGCTAGAGGTCGTAATGCTCCAGCATCTCCGGGAGGTACCGCTTTTTCCCCCTCAGACATTGGAGAGGAGACGATTCGTCAATCCGACGCTGAATTCCGGTGGTCACGATTATCGCAATCTAACAAATTGCAAACGAAAATGGAAGGAGAGGCGCATCTCTCGACGGAGACAGGACTCCGATATCTCATCAATAGAAATAGGAGGCTGAGGCAACGAAAAAAGTACAAACCTCAGGCAACAAAGGCGTCGGAAGATAGCGAAGAAGCCGCCGCGTCGGAGATCATCGCTCAATAACTTCCCCCACCCGTATCACCGAGAGTTTTCGATCGTACACCAGTTTTTCCCTGGCAATCCACGGACTCCGACGGCCCAAATGTCACTGTAGGCTATTCAGGCACCGAAACACCCTTTCGGACAAATATCCTCGGAAGCAGCCGAAAAAGGCAGGTCGAGGGTCGAGACATATAGGGCATGGTGTCCTATATCCCAAACTCCATGACTTTGCTGTGACTGTCGAACTCGGTGAAACCGGTGGAAGGAAGAATTCTGAGCGGCATCTGTGATGCCCTCTGGCGGAGCCCATCGTAACGATGGACCTCGCTCTATTCCTGTTTACCAGCTGATCGAGTTTTCGGGTGTACGACCTTCAGTTTCTCCGCGCTGCCTGACCCCTGGAGAAATTGAGCGGCGTTCTTGGTCGACTCTAGATGAGGGCATGTATGTCTATTCGACGTCTCTCAAAACATGGCTATGATCCCTCGACCCGACGATTGAGAGGCGTATCGATGGATTAGTCGGTCTCCGGCGATCAAGGAACCCTCGATGCGACGCGGGTAGTGCTGTATGACCCCGCTCTCTCGTTGGCGTCGTTCAGCGATGATTCTACGCCCGGAAATAATTTGAGCTTGCTGCCTGGCGGGCTGACTGTCTACCTATCCGCTCGCCCTAGCCGACAGCGGCTCTCTGCCAGGCAAGGGAGACTAACAGCTCGCTCGCGTTCAGTGACAAAACTCTTTCCGGATTCGAAGTCTTCAAACGAAGTCAAGTTTTCCCCAGAACAAGTGACTTTAATATGGACCAGAACATCGGCCATAAAGATCAGTCGAGTGCGCGTTGGAACCAATGACTTCGACTCCGGTCGAGCTCGGGCAGTGATTTCGTGCTAGCCTATGCGCTGCGGCTCTGCGATTTGCCGTGTTTTGCTCTCTCAACGCCATGGGGGAGAGCCAGAAGCAGAATCAGGCTAAAGAGTTCAGCTTAGAAGAACGTTTTCAGTGGAGCTCGGACGAGGAGTTCGGCCATATCAAGGATGCCTTGGATGAAATGGCGGAGAAAGATATGGTGCTCTTAGCGGCCAATGGGAGACCGTTCCCCTGTCATCGGTGCGTGTTGTCCGCAGCGTGCCCGTTCTTCGAGGCAATGTTCAAATCGGGAATGAGAGAATGTCGTGGCGAGGTGAAGCTGCAATTCCCCGGCGACATCTTGGAGCTTTTCCTTCTCTACCTTTACGAAGGTCAGCTGAAAGTGACAGAATCTACATTCGAGAATTTGTTCTTCATGGCTCATCTCTTCCAGCTCCGCGGCGCACTAACTTTCATGACAGATCTACTATCGAAGAGCATCGAACGAGACAATGTATTGGAGCTTTTCGACATGGCAATAAGTTTCGACATTCCAAAACTCCGTTTCTCGGTCATCGACTATCTGCTTAGCGAATCCATAATGAACATGCGATTCGAGGAGTTTCCCTTTGCGCTGCTATCAGCCCTCCTGAAAATGGACGGTCTTCGGGTTGAACGCGAAGGACAGGTAGTAGAGATAATCATGACGTGGATACGTCATGAGCCCGATGAGCGGGAACGCTGCAAAGGAGAGTTATTACGACGAGTACGCCTTCCGCATCTGGAGGTTTCGGAGCTAGAATCTTGGCAGAACGACGGGCTCGGCTCGCTCGAGCTCTTGAAGACTCTCTCCGATAGCAACGACTGGTTGCGGGACATTAGCGCCGAAATGCTCACAAAGCGAACTCACACCGGCATTCATCTACACGGCTTCTGGGCTGAGGACAGCCTCTGCGAATACAGTTTCGAGAGAATGCGTCAGAGGAATGTGGATCAACCCCTCTGGATGTTTGACACCTCGCAATATTCCATAATTTGCTCGGCTTTGGGCTCGAACACCCATACGAAGCAGGAACTCTCCACTTGCAATCAAGACTACTTGAGCTGCGCATCTTTGGATGGTCTGTTAATTCGCGAAGATTGGACCAAACGACCGTGTTTTCCGGTTGGACCCGATTTGCACATCAGCTATCACGACTCATTGCGAAGAGCAGCCGATTTCAAAGGAGGATGGGGCAGTCCAGACTATGATTTAGCTTTTTTGAAAATGCCTCTCGCGCTCAACGGACTGCAGAGTCGTCGTGGGCAATGCACAAGAAGGAGTTTTATCTTCGAATATCTAAGATCACGCATTTGCTGCGCAACCGAGTACAAAAATGAGATCATATTCGTCGTCGGAGCCTTCTCGGAGGCCGAAGAGAATACAGAATTGTTCTTCATGAGAGTTTGCCGCTTCGATCCTCGATCTGACGCTCATCACGACGACGATGTAGAATGCTTGACCGATGAGATGGAACTGTTTGAAGAATACACGCCAATCTGTTGCGTTGTGACGCAAAACGACAAGTTGGCCATCTTGTCGGCCCATGACATCAAAATATTCGACCTATCTGACACGTCTCAGACTATCAGCCTCGAATACTCGATCTCTCTCGAGTTCGAGATCGGTATTTCAGCGTGGGTAAAAGATAACATCATTTATGTTTATCTCGTTGATCGATTGAAGAACGTGTTCGATAGAGGCCAAGGAGAAGAGCCGCCAAAAATGCATTACATCTCTGCTTTCAGTTCCGCCGACGGCTTCGATAAAGTTTTCCAACACGAGCTAGATTTCGAGGAGAAGAATATAGGCTATCCTAAGGACGTGCGATCCTTCATAGTACGTGACACGATTTACATCATTTACAAAGCTATCCCTCGCTATAAAGTGCCTGCGGAGGAAGGCCTGTACATTTATCGATACGATGCCGATCTGCAGACGCTTGTGAAACTGGACCGATTTGAGGTCATACGTTTAGCCAAGAACGATCGTTTCCCTACGAGCTGCGTCGTTTACGAGAGAGACCTTGTTGCCTTAGTGCCCACGGACATGCTTCCTTGTCAACACAGCACCCTTTTAGAGGAGTTCTGCCACAGATATTCTCTAGAGGCGTCATGTGACTTCTCGAAACTAGCTGCTCTTAGACAATATCAGCTGTGATTCACAGAGAGAATAGGCAATAAATCATGTGATACGAGACGACTCGTGAGGCTAACTTGTTTTCATGAGCATCGAGACGATGAATCAATGCTCGAATCTTTCGAACTCGCGTGGCACGCATCCTCTTAGCTTATTTAGGCGTGTCTTTCCAACCTGCATCGCAGCTACATTCGCCTGGGCAAACTGAATAGGAGGGAGAGTTTCGAAATTGGATCCGGGAGACGGGGAAATCCTTCCGCCACACCAGCGCCGATTGTTGAAATGAGATCACCGAGTAGAGGATTATCCTTCCTGATCAACGTGTGCTTCACCGGTTTGATCGCGGGAGCGCAAGCACAGAGCGAATGCTCCGCGGTACAACCACCCGTTTGGTACAGGGGATTTCGGCATTTTTCCTGTGAGCTTTCGTCGTCTCGGATCGAGTCATGAGATGTAGACGACTGTGATTCGGCATATCCTGAGCTCAACTGATTTTCAGCGTACTCGTCCAATCAGAACCTAGTCGCGCAGATAGCTCGCTGCTACGGGTCTTCATTGCTCCGGGCGAAACAGGTAGGTTTCAACCGCGATCCTCGCTGATGAACTGATGAGTCTCACGATCAGCTGAGAGCTCTCGGGGATCTCGCTTACGATCGAGATGAGCCTCATTTTGATGCTACAAGCGTCAGCTTGCGACTCGGCTGGCACACGACTCTTGCTTGATGCTGGTCAGGACCATGCGGATGACCCAGCCTGCTCGTCAATGCTCCCCTCGTCGGGAGCGTGTGCACCTATTAGCCTCAAATCGCTTAGCCCTTCTGCTGAATTTTTCTTCCGTTCCCCGAAAAGTCCCAATGAACTAGTGTCGTATCTTTCAGCCAGTCAAGATACTGTATTTCACTTTAGGATCGTTTATTCGTTCCTTACGAGAATGGGATCGAATACAAGATACCACAACTAGCAGAGGATCGATAGGTCGTAACAGGCAAATCCGAGATCGAGGCATCGCCAGGATGTAGCTAGATGACTTCAGTAGTATCGGAGGCAGTTCTCCGGAAGCGAATGAGGGAACGTCAACTTGGGAAACGCGGCGACGTGCGCCTGCTTCCCCGATATCCCATGGGTCTATATCTCAAGACTCTTCTTCGTTTTTCGCGCGAGCCTTCAGACATCCAACTCCCTGAGCGAGACTCTAGTGGGTCAGCTGATGGATTGCTGATGAAAGCTGTTCTGGATTGCCCCGCTGATTTAGCAAAATTTTCGGGCAGGGGGGAGAACCTCTCAGCACTCGGGCCGATGGGCTGTGGCTGTCGGTGATAGGGAAATTGGCAAACAATCGGAGTTGTTCCGCGGTGAGCTGTCATCACTGGGTGGATCAAGACCCCATTTGGAATATGGATCGAAAATTCCGCTCACCGAAGCTACCCTCGCTCTTGAGACGTTGGAACGCGAGAGAATTCCTCCTCCATCGGAACTTCGAAGAATTTCCTCTCGAAACTCTCTCCTATTCCGTATTATCAGGCGAGTATGAGCCGCTAACATGAGACTCGTAAAGTGTCCAATCGTCTCTCCTCGGAGACGAATCACCGGCGAGTTTCAGGACCGAATGCATACCCAAGGAGCGCCTACTCGCAATCTGGCACCGCTGACTCACTGCCCATGATTTGTCCGAGCGGGTCTTGTCAGTGTTCGATAGCTTCATCCATTATAACGGAAAGGGAGGGATGCGCTCGCACGAAGATAGGAGAACGATGAGGACTCAGCTGGAGAGCCCCTTCTTGTGCCGCCTTCCTTACCCAGGGAGGCCTTGAGGAGGCCAGGCCGACAAGCGCAAGAAAATAAGCTGGGAGTCGACTGAACGAATATAAGGGCGATAATGATGGTGACAGGCGATTCGTATGACAGCCGATGATGATGACGATACCCGACCCTGATGATTGACAATAATTCATTGTGCTCATCGGAATTCGATCAGGGATCGTTGCTGATTCCAAATGGCTGAATCATCGTAACGCACGATATCTCTATATTTATTTTTTTCAATCGCTCGATTGTGGAAGCGAGTCTGAACGACTGCCTAAATTCCATCCCGAATGCTTCCTTCGATCATGTCGTGACATCATCGTACGTTTCGTTCCGTTCCAGCGTGACGAGTATCTCGATGGCATGCAACTGCGTGTGCTCGGAATAGCACTCCCTCGAGTCAAGACAGAAAATCTCCGCCAGGTAGCCTCTCGGCAATGCCGGGTCGCAGTATAATAAGAGCTCTTATTCGGTATATTCTGGATCTCGGCATCCCTTCGCAGGTGGCTTGTCGGTTACTCCTTGATCCAGTGAATGAGCGAAACGATGACGTACAGGTCATGATAGAAGTAAGGAAGGCGCATGCACTATCGCAGCTACATCTTCTCTCTCGAATCCGTATGCTTCCTCAAGAATTTTATGCTAGCTTGGGCGGAAACTATTCCCGAATCTCCTCGATTTCTTGAGAATGTCCTTCCAGACTCAAGAATGCTTCAAGGCGCGATTCGAGCAGAACGATGGCTTGTTCACGGTGAGTTCGATGATTCCGGGAGCTTCGGGAGCAAGGGCGAAAAGAGGGTCAGTACTTGATTGTCAATCATTCCGCGAGGACTTTCAGAGGACCGGAGGAGGTCTCTCATATCCGGTTCCCCTCCATAACATATGAGTCTGAATCGATGAGCAAACATGGGCTCAGCTGTTGTCGCGCTCAACTATTCAGTCAGCTCATGCTCTATGATCTGCGAAAAGCAAATGTTGCACACGGCTTCGATCGTTGCGATCGGAGCAACTCCAATCGATGACTCAAGAAAGTGCACATCCAACCGAGATAGCGACTGATGCGCGACCTCGGCTGCATGATGTAGTTTTCACACATTTCCTTCGGTCGAAGCTGGGATGTGTCTATTGTAGGATTTTGGTATCTTCACCGCAGATCACGAGACTGCTCATGATTTGCTGTTTCCCTTATTCGGACACGCGAGCATACCCGTACGCGGGATTATCAAGGGTATTCAATCGAAACGAGAATGTCTACCGTCAGTTGAGTAGGGTATTGATTTTGATATCCATTTATCTTCATACGATCCTGACTTCTTCAACTCAGTGGCGAGTGGGCTCAGCGGATGCCACAGGTATCTCCCTGCAATTTCTGCGGGAGAGTCTGTATGTCCTTCGCGTTTGTCCGATACATTTCCACAATCATTGGATGATTCCCACGCGGGCAATCGAGACACGGTTGACCTGACTTTCCGTCTCGACCCTTCCGTCGACCTGTGTACGAGCAATGATAAATGGAACAAATTGATCCCATCTTGTTTTCAAGACCGAGGAAGACTTGAATCGGGCTCGATCCGATTGCATGAAATGCTCGTCGGTGACATTCAGCAATCTACAACAAGCGTTGAATACATTCAAAGTGCGAGAGGCGAAAGCCCTAGATCTCAGCGCCAAGGTGAGTTTCATATTCGAGTACTTTTCCGGAGATTGGCACCGATGATAATCATTCGGGTGACGACTTCTTCGCAGCCTGAACGTAATTTTCACAAATTTTCTTAGGTCGAAGCTGGGATGCGTTATTTATTGGATGACGGGGATCTCCTAGCGGATCACGAGAGTGCTCGTTGGAATTGTGGGATGAGCCAGATGAGATACGAGTCTTTATTGTTGAACGGTGATCTCGCCGCGAAACAAAAGGTACTTCTCATTGGAGTCCACGGTTCACATGGGACTCGAAAAGAGGAGCATGTCGTCGTCTAAACTCTGGATCATCCATTTACTACAGATAGACGCTTGCACCTTCAGAAATTCTGTAAGAGGGAAGGTAGGATCGTTTATGCCGTTTCGTTTCCGGACCGAAGCATGATGCTGAGGTCTCTCGTGACTAAGTAAGATGTGTTGTTCACTGGTGATGAGAGCCTCGCGCTTCCAGTGGTATGTAGAAAAACAAAGACTCATCAGAGAGAGTGTCATCGAGGTGGCACAAAGTCTCAGAGACAGACCCATGCTCTTGAAGGATCTCAGAATTGTCTTCGCTCTTCATCTCAATTCAACTGCGCTCGACAAAGCAAGTAGGGGGTTTGCGGGAGCGAATTTTGCTCAGCGCTTCCACATATCAATGGTATCACTCTATCGATAATTCCAGTACATCGACTGCACCGCGCGGAACTTGGATCTCAGCGTACAGGGCGTGAGTACATCGAGCGTGGTTCAATCCGAACTCATCGGACGATTTTCAGAACTCCCGTATCAGAGCGACATTGAAACCCCGCTCCTTTCAACTTCTAATTCGCAGCCTTTCCATGATGGATCGATACAAGTGGACTGCAGTGTCTCGGGCCCATCGAAAAGCGCGGGCGGAAATTCCTGCGTGGCTCGGGCCTTACAAGCTCGGAACGCTGAGGAGGTCGAAGCAATGGTGAGTCTACATAAGAGCTTATACCAGTCAAATGAGCATTTTCACCCTTTCCGCGCTGTAGTTTTACGAGGAATCCCCTGAATTGGCTCCCAGGTGGACGACATTTTCAACGAGAAGAAACAAGGAAGTGCGGTATTTGGCTCTTTCGCCAAGTTCGTCAATGTTCGCAAACAGCGGAAAAACCAGATAGACGTAAGTGAGGGATACACGATTATGATAGCACCTGAGCTATTGAGGTAAATTCATCTAGGGAGACTCAGTCGTCCTCAATCTGCTGGGGCATAAGGAGATCCGTTCCCGAATGACACAGAATTTCAGGGAATATCACCGCTGCTCCCACTGCCTTTTGAGCCGCCTGACTCCGGCGATGGCTCGTGGGCGAACTTTAATTTCGCTCTTCCGTGTCTCGCTGACGCTGATATCGTTCGCGAAGGCCGGGGAAACGGAGCGGGGATTTTTAAGCTAGAAACAACTTGAGCGGCGCTGCGAGAGGCAAGACAGCAACTAATATTCCCGCGCACGCCCCACGAAGGGGCGAACAGTCCTGAGCCTCTTTTACCAAGTATTGAGTGAAGGAGCGAAGCTGTAAGCTTGTCTCGTTCACGGTTCGATGCGATTCAGCTCCGCCAGGAGAAGATAGTGGGATTCCGCAATATTCGCGAAGAGGAGTTACTTCATAAAAACCGGACTGGTCAGAACCATTGAAGGTGGTGAGATTCCGCCGACGGACTTATGGCAAGAATCGTGATACCGACATCTCATTCCAGAGCTGCGTGAAGAATACACTTTCAACTTCAGCAGTTCAGTCGAACCGCAGAACCGTCCAACGGATCGATGGATAGTTTTGATGAGCGCTTGAAGTCGTAGCGCATCATCTGGTGCAGGGGACTCGGAGATTGCCCCTTGCAGTGTCCTTCAAAGAGCAATATGCTTCGATTCTCTCAGGCTGAATCCTTCCATCGATATCTCCACATTATCCACAATAAATCGACTGGAGGGTTTGAACTCGGATGGGATGTATCTCGGCTCGCTAACGGAAGCGGATTCCGACGCATGAGGGATCTACGAGCGGTGTTGGTCATAATCACTCAGAATAAATCCCTCCTCCACTATGATTATGGGACAAATGTTTCCGACGCAGTATCAGGGAATCGAGCACGATCGCGGCTTTTAGCTGCATGAAGGATGGGATCACGCTGAGCCGAAGGATGTTTCCGTTCTACAATGATTCCGTGGCGAACAGTCGGTTGGCTCGGTTTCTGATTACGAACCAGAACGGGGGCGGGGATGTCGAAGTACCTAGGTGAGCGTGTAGGAAGTCGTTCCTCTTCCGTCTGCGAGACCTTGATTCGGATCAATAGATAGATTCCCGAGCATTCGAGAGCAAGATCGTTCCAGGTCAACCCCATCTGGTAGGATGGAGTGGCTCGAGAAAACCGGAAAGGAACAAACGCTTGCTGTATCAGGCGTATCCATGAGGGTCGGCCGCTCGTCGATAGCGAGAGTGGAAACTTGAGAGGGGAGACATCAGTTCTGTGCAAGCAGAGAAAAGAGAGGCAAGATACTCGGTTGGCACATATTCTACACACATCAAGTGATTCTAGCCTGGCGGAATGATGCGAAACATGTGAAACAGGAGGGAGACCTAGAACGGCCCGAAGCCCATTTTTGAGCGGAGAGGATGGGGCGGAGAGCAGACGCTGATGCTGTGCCCCAAACAGGGATGCAGTATGAGGTACTGCTGATGAAAAACGAGCGGGAAACCTGAACGAGAACAGATCGGGGGAATCCCAGTGGTCTCAGGCGGTGAAAGCAGAAAGTGAGGGATACAATTATCTCTGTGAGTGGATAAGTGTTCCGACCATGAGAGGGACTCATTCTACTGTCGTTGTGACCGCTTCTCGTATCGATCGATCGACGCGACGGAGAAATCGTCCGACTTATTGTTAGCAAGCAGAAATCGAAAAGTATTCCGAACGACGCGACACCGACGTTGAGAGTGAATTTCGTCGGACACCTCCAAGTGTATGACCCCAAACGGGGACGGGGATCAGCGGGATCGATCATCGATTCACCCCCGAGATCGGAGCTCTCTGACGATCTGCAAGACCGTTCGAAATTCAGCTCTCGACGAGCGCATGGCTTGCAGGAGGTCACGCGAACTCCGATGATATTTTCAGCGAAAGATCGCATCGATGGCGGGACAGAGAAACGCTACACATATTGTACAACACCGAGGACGAGCACCCCTGTAGAATGAATCCCCATATAGCCCCCCTATGGAATGAAGCAGTAATGTCGGTGCGTCACCGCACCAAAAATCGGAGTTATCAACCTGTGAAAGGACTTCAAATTACTCCGTGACGATGCAGAATCATTCCTGCTAGCGTAAGAAGCAATTTTCCACTCGATCAATCGAATCCTTCTCAAGTTATTCCGAAAAATTAGCAAGTTTTTCTCCGGTTTTCGCTGGATGTTTCTCCTCTCCACTAGCTCTCTCCACATGATGCCCCGACCGTTTCGGAAGACGACGCAGCAGCCTACCAAGTGAGCATGATCGGGGTAATCGAATGCTAATCGGGTTGATCAGAGGATCGAGAGCGTACCAAGCGTACCAAGCTCATCTACTCCTGTAGCTCGCTAGTCAGCATCGCATGCGAGTCATGTTGTCATTCATGGTATCCCGACCGCCCGGGTCTGCGAAACTATGTGTTAGGTGGCATTGCCCATCCAGGAACAATACAGCTTGGCACTTGGGAAGTTATTTATTCGGAGTTACTTGTTCCGACCGTCGGCCTGCTTTGCCGCGCGGTACGCACTCTAAAAACCAGGGGAATGATGATTAAGTTCTATGCGCAATCGCGCTGTGCATGCTCGCCGATCCACGGCTCGTTCCTAGCATTTGAGAGCCGCTCGCTCTGCATTACGCGATGAGCCGATAGCTCCGAGATCGAACCCAGAGCTCTCCAGAATGTCTTCAAATGATAACACGACTGCTCCGGCGACAATCGCACGATTCGGATGACGGCGCAGCAGCCTACCGAGCGAGCTTCCCTAAACCCATACGAAGGCTCGAATCGCCTCGGGACCATGATCGGGGTGATCAGAAGATCGAGAGAGATTCCATTCCTGCCAGCCTCGGGAGCTCATCGTCTTCCAAAGCTTGCGTGTCAGCATCGCATAAGTTTCATGTTCCTTCGCACGCTATCATGTTCCTTCGCATTCTATCATGTTCCTTCGCATTCTACCATGCTATTCCGAGCACCCGACTCTGTAAAGTTACGAGGGACGCTCCCTCCGCGTTTCCATAAGAATCGAGAGCCACGAAATCGAACGTGATTCTTTCCAAAATTATTCCACGAGGAGATTATGTCTTCCATAATTCTGTAGTGCATCCGATAGATGATGCCCATATATTTCACCTGTTTTCATTTTTCCTGCTCCAAGGCAGCGATTGGAGAGTCCGACTCTGCGTCCATGTATCTTTCCGAACTCCAAGCAGAGTTCCTTCGTTTCCGCTGCGAACAACTTCGACAGAGAGAACGTGGAGACTCTCAACTCTCGACTAACTCGCTCGGGGCTTCGAGAGCATCGCATCCGGTAGGCAGAGTCTTCGAACGACGAGAGAGCTTTCATTCCTGCTGCTAAGCAGCCATCCCACATCTCCAGTGTGTTCGTGTGTCACTGGAGCCCAATTTCGCCGCTCTGCAGCGGCCTACTAATTACTTCGCAGCTTGGCCGGAACAACGACCGCTGCAAGAGCTGGCCGGTGGGCTTCTCGCCTTCTCACTCGCTCGATCATTCGCTCGCCTGCTTGCATTGATTGCCCAATGGATGGGGTCGCTGGGGACGAATAGCCTGCACATTTAACGAACAGATTTAGGTTCGGCAGCCACCATCGTTTTCCGAGACTACATACAATTTTGGACGAGTCGTCATGGTGGAAGTTCGGGTTCACTTTCTTGGGTGAGGGGCATGCTTCCCCGGTCGCTTCAGATACTTCGAAAACACCCGGTCCTCATGACGGGAAATCGCACGGTGGAAATATATCAGCTTGAATGTCTCCGAACCTCGCGACAAGGAAAAAGATCACCGATCGCTCGAGTCAGACACTTGGGGACCGGAACTTTGTTTCGTGGGTCTCATTGAGACGAGAGCTCAACCTTAAAAAGTTTCAAAGAGAGAATCGCGAATGTAGGGGGTCAACCGACGAGATTCGATATCTCCATCGCGGAGAATTCGGTAAGGTGCTGTATCTCTCGGTCGGAAACCCTCTGGAAACCGTGAAGTTTCCCGTGATGGAAGGATCGGGAAGCCAAGGGCGAACCCTCATACTTTCCACTCCAGACCTGGGCATAGCGGTAAAGAAGTCGGATCAGAATCGGGTGCCACCCCGCCTTCAAATCTCACTCTTCTCCATAACACTCCTTATGGGGCGGTCTGGTGTCTCTCGTATGATTCTCAGATACATCAGATAAGGAAATGTTGCCTACACATCATTCGGGCTAGACTCCCGTCGCGGGTGGCTATTTTGGAGAATAATCGCGGACACCGTGCTTTATCATTTATCACTGATAAGCTATTGCTAGGAGGAGCATTCTCGATTCCTTCGAGATACGAGAGAAAACAGTGTACGGGGAGCTGTGAAAGTAACTTCAATTCATACCCGCGTAGAAGGTGGAAGATATCGAGGAGATTCTCGTGGTAGACGGAACATCCCTCCATGCAGCGACACCCCTGCTCATGGATTCAGGAAGATGGCGTTCGAACGTGAGATGAGGGACGGAATTCACGGCTTTTGTCGTGAATGCCGCGACGGAAGTCTGGCCGTACACATCACCGATTGAAGCATGAGGGTATGCTACGACTTGTGTTCACGAGACTTGGCCACGATCCTCAAACACATTGGGATTTGATCATTTCATCCTCCCGTGCCTTGCGACACTCCTCCAAAAGTCTTAAGATTAAAAATTAAAAAAATTAAGTCGATTATGCGCTTCAAGGATTTATGAGAAGCGACAATGCCAACGGTATCCAGCAGGAGGCTTCTTTACATATATCGTAAGGCTGACATTGTGAGGCGGGCACATGGCTGACCAGAGTCTACAGGGCTCCCCCGCCATCCGTATCGGGGGTCGGCGCATACACGCGTAGTCCACTTGGCGATCGACCAACTCTCCCGGCCATCGGAGTTTGTTGCCGCAGGGGGAGTCGGGTATGGTTCGGCGCTTGTGAAGCCGAGGAGTCCTGGTGCGTGGGGAGAGGTGACGGTGAGGTCGTGCTCTATCTGGAAGTCATCCCGCTCGATTCAGGTCAACAGCCTGAGCTGGGAGAAGCACGGCTTCCCGAGACATTGCGGCGTGTCAATCAAAATGAAAGTCCAGCGTTGCGAGGATTCATCTAAATCGGATGAATCCGATTGATCTCCCACCTCTGTCTCATCGCATGAGTTGAAGGAAGATTCATTATGTCCCCGAACAGGGGAGCACAGTTCAACAGGAGCCCTCCGCGAGCGGGTCTCTGGAACGATACTCTTGATGATGCCTAGAGCTTCACTGTTCAATATCTCCCCTCCTTTGTACGAGTTGTTTTTGTTTTTAGGTTGGGGGCCTCCACCATTCCCGTCGGGGTCTCGAGGGGAAAGAAGTGCTCTTCCGAAGGATCCCGGATAGGGACCCAGAAGAGCTTGGTGCGTTATTATGGGAATCATTCTATACTGTCTTTGTCTCTGGTGGGATTGGAGAGAAACGACCGTTTCAGGATGAGTCTGCTATCGGTGGAGCAGAATTCATCGCTTCTCATTCCCGATGAGTCAGATACGAATCGTCGATGAGCTTTTCAGTCCACAAGGAGGAGTAGAAGGACGTGAGGCCGAACAATCTTAGGTAGATAGTAGATATGATGTATATGCATTTATTTTCCGTATGATCCGCCACATCACAAGCTGAGACCAATCGCTCAGCACGCCTCTCAAAGGTGCTGCTACGTTTCGGGACTCTTTGTTCGGGGTGCGAGCAAGGGCGAAAGCTCAAGAATTAGAAGCTGACGATAACGTCGCAAGCCACCGGGCACCGAAGAGCGTTGACCTTCCGCGCTGAGCGGCCGTTGATTCAGTCAATGGAGAAGTGAATCTTCACATCCGGGGGCGAGGGAGAACGAGGTGAAAACACCAAAGTCAACTTCCTACCAAGTGGGTCAAAGGACTTCTCGCTCTTCGAGCCGCGCAAGCAAGTTGGCCGCCTAGCTGCTCGGCTGGCCGGCCAACCGGCTAGTCATGCTAGCGAGCCAACAAGCCGGTAGGCGATCCGACCGGGTGGTTGCTCGGTCCGTCTGTGGGCCACAGGCTGGTCGCTCGATGGGGAAGCAACAGGCAGGCAGTCAGTCCGTCAGTCAGTCAGTCAGTCAACAAGGCAGGCGGAGAAGATACCGAGCAGACAAGCAAGCAAGAAGGCGCTTGATCTGTCGGTTTGTCCGATGAACCAACCGACGGACCAAGCAGCCAGCCGACCGACCGAAAGGTGGACTGACTAACGGGTGGCCAACCAGACGAAAGGCAGGATCATCGGACGCATTAAGGAGAGAGCTCTTCCACAGTTGGCTACAAAACTATCCGCAAGTCACTTTGGATGCCACAACCATTCGTTCCTTTTGTGGGATCGCAACTACAGCCAGTGGTCGAAACAACTACCGGGTTTCGAATCATGCAAGGGAAGGTGTGTTTCGTGCTTCTCGTGGCTTTGGTAGGCCAAGAGATCGTCGCTCAACGCCTGCTTGGATTAATGGCCAGTGCTGGACTCATGAGAGCTCTCCGGAACCGGGAGCAACAACAGAAGGAATCCCCTTCACCGCTCAATCAGCACGCTCCCGAACCAGTTCCCGGAGCTTATCCAGGGTCTCCCCAAGGCTACCGACCTCAAGCGTGAGTTGTTAGTCTTTTCTCCAGATCTCTTCCTCGTTGGTCGCACACATACAGTCCCATGATCTGACAATTGATTTGTATCTGCTCAGGACGCCCCAGGCAGCATATGGATACTCAGGCGGATTCAGTGGTAGCTCTCCCGTGTCCAGTCTGGACGGATCATCTCCCTTCGGTTCGGCTTCCTATGGCTATCCGAGCTTCAGCCAGTACGGCTCTGGAGCTTACGGGGGCTATCCGGGAAGCAACGTAGGTTTCGCTCCCTCGAGCTTCGGTCAGTTTGGCTCCCTCCAGGGCGCTGAGCAACTCGCAGCAGCCAGCCAACATGCCTACCAGACGGCTCCGTCAACTTACGGCTCAGCCATCTCCTCTCCGTACGCTTCGAAGTCGTACGGCGGACAGGGTCAGGGCTACCAGTAGAATCAAGTATCTACAGCGTAGACTCGTCGTGCCCCGACCGCATGTCGAGGAAACTCGAATCGGTTCGTTCTCGGTTTTCCTTACCTCGTTTGCTGCAAAACTTAGTTTGTTCCACGCACCTGTTCTTTGACCGCGCGGACGCGGTAAGCAGTGCCAAAGATTTGTTCAAGTTTACCATTTTCCTCATGTTGTTAGTGTGTTGCTCGAAAAGATTGATTGATCCGTTTGTCGTTCCATGTGGGGTGATGAATTCTTCGTGGGGAATCTTGATTCATCTTTGCTCTAAGTGCAGAGACTGTAGCTACAGATGTTTCTCCTGTTCTAGGATATTCTAATTTATAGGGATGCTCACTGAAATACTCTCATCTGCTTCATCTACTAGCTGCCTTGCTGCCTCTTGTGATCATCATCCATTCTTTCGTACTTCCACTTCGAAAACATTGTCGCATTCTCACTCTGAGCGATCGGAGCAAAGGGATCGGAGAATCAGAGAAATTATTCAGCGTGACAAAATAATCTAACACTAATGTATCGTTATCGTTTTCGATCAGTCCAGCCAACTGGGGAGTCGAGCGTCTATCACCGCTCCTTCTTCTTTAGCTCGGTCGAAAAAATTCCAGGAACTGCTGTACGGAAATGATATACTCCCAAGTGAATAATCTAGTCCATAGTTACAACTGTTCTTGTTGATCTTCAATGTATGAATGTAACTCGACAAAATAAAAACTGCGTTCCATGATTGTTTTTCCACGGCCTGCCGTTCTTTTTTCCGAGGCTGGACCGCTTCCACGAGCGGAACAGCATGAAGAATGAGCCTCTCAGGGACAGAAGTATACGGACCTGGTCTAGCGTCAAATCTGGCCGGAATCAATTATTCTGATCAGGCATCGTTCTTACTCGTGGAGGAAATCCGTTCGACGACCCGAAAATATATGACCCGACCGAAGAGCGGAAGAACCTTTGGTATGAGCCGTGGCGGTTCCAGGAACCACACTAGATCCGTCCTTTCCGGCCGAAATCCGACGCTTACCACCATCGACTGACATCGATCTTCATGCGTCAGCTTCCCTCTACTCCGGGTAGTACATAGATCCGCGGTCGAGCACCTTCGTCATTGGAGCAATGCCCGGTGGTACATAAGAAGAAATCACTTCGAAGAACTGCTGGCTCACCGCTGCGGGCCGAATTTGTCACCGCTGATTTCCAAGACGTCATCATTCAGTTCCGACGAGGACTACTCGACGGAAGTTTGAAGTAGGAAGAGCAGGTATTCGCGTCGGCGACGACATCGTCCGTCGTCTGATGCTCGCGGCACAACGCGTCACCGCCCCTTATCAAGTGACGGAGATCGGCGCATCGAGCATATGACCGACCGACGAATGTCGGGCCCGCAAGGCCCGATCACAGGATCGATGACATTGATCGAGAGACCTACAGCAGTCTAAGCAGCTATCCAAGATGGGATTTACACAGTACACAGTCTGTTATTCATCATGCGGGAGCGGCGAGTATCTGGAGACCCGCGGACCTGCAGTTGCAAAGCCGGATCGCAACGTAGCGGCCTCCACGACGGGTTGACCAGCTGAACGCAGGCGCTTCGCGATCGGTCCGTCTGCCGTCCTTGGGACCAGCCTCATCCTCTAGTCCTTTAGACTCTAAAGGACTAGAGTACTTATCAGCCCTTGAGGCGTTTCAATGGTGTAGCTAGCACAGAGATATTTAGTCTTGAGCCACCGGAAGGACAAGGGCCCGCACACTCGTTTGACGCGGCGCTGAAGGCTCCCGAAATCCCGTGCTAATTCACACGATGTATTATGTTTCTCATCCCAACTTTATGCACCCGAAGCTCCATGCCTCTGGCACATTCTTTTCTGGTTGCTGCCAAAGACTTCAATGGGTCGGACTCACCAAGCACGCTGTCTATAAATGCTGGGACTGAAGCACAGACTTGCATGTTTTCCTCCAGATGCCTATTCTCTGAATTCCCACACCTTCTCATCTACTGCGTGCAAATAGGCAGATACATGAAAGAATACCGGAAGACGAGGGAATCGCGAGTTCCCTTCTTCATCACTCCGAAGACGCCATGCGAGGTTCCGAGGTCTCTTTTTTCTGTAACAGGCTACGACGCTACTTACACTCCCGCTCTGTCGGTGATCGGCGAAGTTGCTCGCTACCTCGCGCTCGCCGGAAAATTTGATGATGATCGAAAGCATGAGGTTCTTCCTGAATAGCAGGGCAAGGGGAAGCCCTCCTCGAGTGTTCCTGAAGGAGCGCGGATGGTGTCGCCCGAAGAGCTGACGGCAGCCGAGTCTCCCGAAACAGACAGTGAAATTTTGACACAACGAATCACCGGGCGACCATCCAGAGGGAAATCGAGAGGTTTTCTCCATATACGGCTGGAATTTATTACTTTCTCCTACGGCTTGCGGGTCCCTGGGGCACGACAATAATATATAACAACGTTCCGCACTCGATACTTTCAGCATATTCGGAGTTTTTGCGGTTGATTCCAAAGAGGGTCGGGACAAGCATCAGCGATTTGGGTCCACTCGGTCGGAACGACGGAGGTCTTCTCCATCGAAAAACTTTAAGTCCGAGAGCTCGGAAAGATTCACTCGTGAGGGAAATCGACCGTCATGTGTCCTCTGAATATTTTGTTGGCCCGACGGCTGGGAACGAAATCGTCTATGAGACCTTATCTTCCATCCTAGCCGTTGGCGGTATAAGCAGAGCTCAACAATAAGAAAATTTCAGGGTGAAAACCGTCAGAAGCATCAACGAAGGGTTTCGAGAAAGCCTGAGAAAGGATCTCCAGCCTGCAATTCATGGCTCTCGGTGCCGTAACGACCGCATGCACGTCACCCTTCAGGTGCTCGCAGAAGCGATCTCAGATTCGCGTCGATCAATGTGCGTCGATTCCGATGGAGCCCCAATGCAGGCTCGAGAGAGTTAACTCGAGTCCGGACGATCCGAGATTCGAAGAGGGTCGAATCCATGATCGATGCGGCACAAGAATCTTCGGATCTTCTCGTGAAAACATACGCGGAGACATTCCGTGAAATTTGCGGAGTTCATCCAGGAAAGTGAGGGTACTTTCTAGACTTGCAGACCCCCGTAATAGTCCCATCCACAATCTCCGTCCCCAGTGAAGAACATGAAGCAGACATTGCAGACATCGCAAACTGCTCACGGCGGGGAGTTCGAGTCATCCTCAATCCTTGTGAGGACGACTTGCAGCATGGAAGACCGTCTCATCACGATCTGCTGCAGGCCAGTGATATCGCCCATTTTCTGCATTCCCCTCTCGCTTGGCCCGGGCAGATGATCCCCGAATGCGGCCTCTGCATAGGTTTCCCCGAAGGCAGCATCATCATTATCATCATCATCTGCCGCGATCGGCTCTAGCCCACTGATCTCCAGAATTTCGTTGTTCTGTGATGAGCTCGGGAAGTTTTTACTAACGCCTTGATGCTTCCTGGCGCTCTCTAAGACCCTTTTGATGAGATCGTGTTGTATCTGAAAGGCATTAGTAGAATGCATGAGATTCTCATCGAGTGTGAAATGGAACGAACCCGGAATCACCAGATTAACCCTTCCCACCGAATCTATGACTTCCCGACACGACGTATCGAGCAAGTTCTCCTCTTGGGAAGTACCTGGCGCGAAATTCCTCCTCGCTTATCAGATGGAGTGCTAGGAGCATCACCCGTCATGCGAGACTTGAGGGTCATTTCGTATTTTCTCAAATCTTCGATAATGATGTTAGCTATATCGCCGACGAGATATTCGTTGAATTCCTGTTTGTATTCCGTATTGAGAATCTTCATGAGAGCCATAATCGACGTTGCGACGACTTCATTGTCTGAGGACCTGGATAATCAAAAAATGATGAGACCGCCGCGACGATACCGTAGAAGAGGTGCTCCATCGATGTCAGCTTCCACGGGAATGCCATACTCGTTGGACCATGTTCATGAACCCACCTCGCTTTTAATGACGTGAGAGCCGGCACCAAGGTCTCTACAAGTGTTTTAATTTTGGCAGGAGTGAGAACGAACTTTTTGTTCTCAACTTTCTTCCGCCCTCGTCCGGTCGTCTGAGCGGGTTGAGTTTCAGGTGCTGAAGAGTCCTCTTCTTCAGGAACAAGTTCGTCCTCGTTGTCCTTGGCTGTGGTGTATCGTAACCGGAGTTCCTCGAGGCAAAGGATCTCGAGTAAGTCCATCACGATGGCCGGGCATTGTCTGCAAGGATATTAAACTCAATCGCGGGGTCGATGCCGTTCGACGACGTCGAATCCGAACGTCTCTCCACCTAGAACGGTGCATTTTTATGCTACTCATGGAAACTAACACGTGTAGGTCGCTCTCATAGTCGCCGATCGGTCTAAGGACGTTCGTAACGATGCTCAGTATGAGGAGGTATTTGTGTTCTTCAGTGAGATCCTTCGCCATGAATCGATAGATGGTCTGTCTCTCCAAGGGTTGCTGAGCAAGCGAAAAGGTTTTCTGCTCCCGTTTCGATTGGTGATCTTGATTGTACATCGAATGGCCAGTGAAAGCATTGAGATGAAATACACAGTCGATGAAGTTCTGTACGAGAAGCCGCGTGTGCTTCTTAAAGACGAACTGATGCAAGCCGACGTCGGCCAGATCTCTGACGGTCTTATCCTGATCGCTGACGCACTCTAGAATGTGGTAAAGCTGATGACTCTTCAATTTGATGTAGTCCTCCTTGATGAGTTGGAATATGGTGATCAAAGCTGCGCGACGAATTTCTCTCTCGGGATCCTTGAGCAGACAAAATACAATTGGGTGGAGAATATCGCAGAAAGTTGCGTAGCGGCACGTGAGGTCGGCCGCGACCCGGATGCCATGGATTCGGAGCCCGATGTCATTGGCATGATCGACGCACGCAGCTATAGTCGGAATCAATGACTTCGCGATATCTTCCGAGGTGATCGACACCTGACCTATGACACGCAGTGCAATCCGTCTCGTTGAAACTGTAAAATCCAATGGAGCAGATGCGAATACACCGAAATCTCGAAGCTTTGTGCCACTAAGCGGTCCAATATTGATGACTTACGCGTCTTCGTAGTGTCTTCCACAAGATTACGAAGCCGCTTCAGCAGCCGAGCGGACGGGAGATGCTGCAAGACCAGGACGCATTCCCCAAGCTTGATCAGGGCCAAGTTCACTTCTTCTGCGTCCTTCCCTCTCTCCAGCGTTTTCAGACACATGGGGTATGTGCTCTGACACCACTTCTCCAGGCTTACAACATCCATTTTCAGTAGCACGGTACAGCTCTCGTTCAAGAACTGATATCCGATTCTTTCGTTCTCTGTCAGATTCGTCAGCAGCGATTCTGCAAGACAAAAATACAACTTTCGAGATAGATCAAGTACTAGGTAGCGACGGATTCTTTCGGCATGGAGAGAATCTCGAAGAGCCTCCCTTACCTATGAGCTGTCTGGAAAGCTTCCGTTGATTCGCCAACATGATCAGTCGACAACATTGGGCTTCCTCATCTCTGGAATCGATCATATCACCCGTCACCAGTATGACGAGCTCATCACGGCGGTATATGACTGGCATGATGATAGAATCTTATACACGAATGAATTCCCACTGATACTAACAGTTTGCTAGCCTCAATTCGTTCGATCGTTGTCTTTATCTGGGTGTGTTCACTGAGGTAACACAGAACCTTCCAGGCGGTCGACGCATGCGGGGAATCCAATGCGTCTTTGATGGCTCGAATTTCGTGCGGTGTGAGCCCGTATTTCGCATCGTTCCTGCAGAACTTTTCACAGATTTCCGGGAGGAACGAATCATATGAGCCTTCGGAAGAGATGGAGAGCCTCAGTATCTCATCTGGCCAGCCAGTCAGTCTTCTATCTTGGGGCGATCGAACTCCTCCCTGAATTTTCTCTTAATTTTCCTCCTAGTTTTCAAATTACCCAGATTTGACAGGACTTTCCAGCCCAGCCTCTCTCGTCCCTTTGTAGCTATAGCATTGAAAACAGTTTCCTTGACACTGCACAGAGCTTTCTCCTGCACGGACGCCTCGTTATCAGCCGTGAGAGGGAATATACCCTCTATATATTCCTCATGGAAGTCAGGAGATTTCAAATAAATCTGACTGAGGGAATCCACTGACAGCTTGCGAATGAAAGGCGAGACGTCTCTGCAGCATTGGACGATTTCCTGAGGAACATTCAGAATCCCAGTCTCAAGACTTATCGATAATAATCGTAATATGCGAACCAGGATTTGGAACGATCCCAAAACTTCATCTAGCTTAAGAACCAACCTTCAAATAAGTTTTCTTATTGAAAGAGACGTCATCTCGTAGTATACTGGTGAGAACATTGAGAGCGCTCCGGCGCACAACGAACTTCTCATTGTTAATGCACTCTTGTAGGATGCCTAGCAGGGCGCATATTGTGTCTTCCTTCGTGCACTCTTCAATGAACATTCCAAACAAGGGTCACAGACAGTCTTCCTACGATTCTTATTTTGATAAAAATTCAGACTTCGATAATCTATCTCACCATTCGTGACGAGTTTCTCCATCCAGTTCGGTGTGTTCGTGAATGTAGCGAAGAAATTGAAGGCTTTGCTCTTGACGGTGCACAATGGATCAGTGACCCGCAACAAAGCAGACAAAGCCACAGTACTGAGATGTTTCTGTAGAATCTGGGGACAACGAGAATGAATTCCGGTCGGTCGCCAGCACAGAAATCGCTCTGAACCAGGACGAAGGTGAATATCGACGAAATCATCTCCAGAGGTATTGAGAGCCAATGCCCAACCACATACCGGCGGAGTGATCTTAAGCGAACACAGCTGACTGAAGAGTTCTAACGTGAATAGGCGGTGCTTCGGGTGAACAGAGACAATGAGCGTATTGAACCAATCGATAATCCAATCCAGGGAACTTTCTCCTAGTCTCAGCAATAGCTGGACAGCGACATGAGCTGTGCGTGAACGAATCTGGAACGGATCGAACGCGACTTCGCTGAGCTCTCGAAAGAAAGGGGTATTCCTGAGCTTCGCGTGTGACGATACTTTTAGAGTTTCCCGAGCGTTGGGCGTACATCATGCTTTTCCAGACAATGGAGAGCCAATTGTTGTACAGTTATCACAATGTAGTCGTCTGAATCGACAGTCCCGCCAATTTTCAATAAGAATCGACAGGTAGTGTCACAAAGCATCACTGTTTCCATATCGACGCGGTCCCTGGAATCCACCACATCAAGAGAAAATTAGCCGCATAAATCGGTTAAGCCAACAATCATTCGATATCTGTAGCGGCGACACATCTCTGATACGTTCGAGGCCCGATCGAGGCCCAAGACTTACTTGGAGGCGGCACCGACCATGAGCAAGTTTTTGAACAGTTTCTGGCAACATAGGAGGACGAGATCCTCGAGATTACCGTGGAGTGGGTTGACGAGTTTGAGGAGTACCTTCAAAGAATGATGACTTAGATTCTGTGGATAGAGCATCTGCTCAGGACGCCGGAAGCAACATGAAGGTATCAACTAACTCGGAAAGCTTTTTCCGCGAGGGGCTCGTAAGGCGTCAATTCTACCATCTCATGACAGAGACGATTTTGGAGATCTGTATGTCCTTTCAAGCTCGTCGCTCCGAGGAAGGATTCCAAGCTTCTCAGGGTCTGTAAATCCAACGAAATTCAGCAATCGAGACTGACCGAATGTGCATATCTCCCCGACTCTCCCGACATCTCGAACGGAATTGGGGACTTCAAGGTACCTGTTTTACTTCTCTGATGAGGTCATGGAGGATTTCGGTAGAATACTGCATCTCGTCCGTATCTTCGCCGTCGAAGTCGCTCTTCTCGAAACTTCTCTTGTCGAGTTCCCTTCTTTTCGGCAGACTCATCAATGAGATGGAATTCTCAATAAGAGATGGGAACACCATGTTCACGCCCTGGGCGAAAGGGCAGCGTCATATTTATATATACAGGCTCCTGATTGCCATCTGGCGTGGGAACATGTCAGTCTGCTTCCAAGTTTAAGATTGACTTACTGGTATTGTCACTCGGGCTAGAGCTAAATAAGCTTGAAAACAGAGGAGTCCGATGATGCGGTCACTGATCGGGCGAGTGCGTTCTCCGGCCCCGATACCGGCGAAGGCGAGCCCGAGTAGATATCGGAAGCCCCGATCACACTGCGAAGAGTCGATTCGGAAATCACAGTCCGTTTGATGGTTCCAAATTTGGTCGATCGATCATCAAATATTACGGAGGAAATCTGTATTTCGGAACTTTGCGTCTCGTTCACCGAGCATCGAATGCCCGCTCACAATAATAGCGTGAAAAGGCCGTATTTCAGAGAGGAAGGAAGCGAAACTAGCGAGGTCGTCATCTCTTCGCGATGGTCTGTACGGAATTCTGACAGCTCGAGCACATAGAGCTTTCCGGAACTCGGTGTCACGATTTTCAGGACGCGAAGGAGGAGTCCACTCCAACAAACCTTGGTGGCGGTTGTCCAGAATTGTTTTCGAGCATTCTCAGTTCCCGAAGCTCGATGAAGTAGCTCGATTAGCTCGGAAAGGATTTCTTTAGTGAATTCGTGGTCGTGACTGCATAATTCCACGATGGACTCCGCTGCCCCGCCGCCGTCGGTGTATTGACTTGTGAAAGCGGTGTCACAAAAATCCCTACTCAAACTTGGCAGCCTCTCCAAGACCGATTCAACATCATGACTCGGTTCATTCGAGTCATCATCATAGTCCATGGACATCGTCTGAGCTTTATGGGGAGCCGCTCTGCGGTCAACAACATAATGTCAATAACAGTGCAGCATCATCAAAGTGAAAGTTGAGTTCGTCGGAAATTTCTCGGATGATACTGACGATGATCTTTTCTGTGACATCGAGCGGGAGCGGGCGCTCTCTTTTTCGACGAGTTTCGTTGGGCGCTTCGGTCTTCTCGGTTTCTCGATGCCGACGTGGAAATCCTCACGGTGCCGGGCTTCGAGCGATAAAGAGGAGTCTCAGCCTTCAATCTCATCCCCAGGCGCAAAGTGCCGGCTACACCGTAGACCTAAGAGGCGCAAGGCTCCAATGCTCCGAATCGCCAGGCACTCAAGTCTCTTCCGCACAGCAGCTAGAAGGATTCAATCTATATCTCATCGGGACGTGGCTGGGGAATGCTGGGCGATGAGTCCGCGTCTGCACTCCCTCGTGCTCTTTGGAGTCATCACCGACACTCCGGTCCGAGAGCCGCGAGTCGCATATCAGTTGGCACTGGGCGTTCAATCAATCCGTCGGCAAACGTCACTTGACTTTGTTCGAGACACTTGCTCCTCTGCAGAAACACGAAGAAAAGTTCAGACGAGACACGATGGTGCACCGCATGGTAAACCCTGCTCCGAAGTCGAAAGAAAGCAGAGGGCCCTCGATGAGAATCTGGTTGGATGTGTGAGAGGATTCGGAGCCAACGAGATGGGTCTGACTGACCATGAGTGAGTCAGAGATTGCTTGCGTCGAATGGCGCACTGGCACGTTCTGGCCTCGAGAGTTACGTCCTGAGGTGATATCCTTCGTCTTCGATGCATTCCGTTGTACTCACCTCGATCAGGGCTCAATGGGTTTTGGGAACTCAGGTGCCGTTCCAAATCGAATCCAAGCGAGTTTAAGGTCGAAGTGGGAATTATTGCCGATAGGCTCGGGTTACTTGGGCGGCAAAGCGGAGAATTTTGCTCAGCTTTGCCGCCACATCGGGGAAAAAAGCTTCAAGATGCAGCGATGATCCCAGCAGCAAGATCATGCCTCTACTCCTGGGGATCTTCCTGACGACGTCGAGCGTGTGAACATCCATTGAGGGATATGCGCCTCACGGTGTGCTCGAAAATGAGGCTCACCCTGCAGTGAACACCCAGTACGCTCAGATTCTCTTCGCGCTCCGCTATCCTCGAGCAGAGATCATCATCATGCGCGCCCACGTTCCACGTGTGTTTTGATATCAGGTTGAGGCTCCGAACTTGCGCCGGGTCCGTTTAGAGAATTCAATCAGACAGGACACAGTGGTGCCGTGGAGTGGGTTCGTTCTCTGAGCCAGACTGATTTCATTCGGGCATGCCTTATTCTTCCGGTCCGGCTTCTGAATTGCTCTGGAATTTCTCGCACACCCGCTCTGAATAAGCCTCTCTGATGGAGATCGTCAGTGATCGGACTCCCAGATCCGTGGAAGACGTGAGGTGCGAAGATTGCGAAGAGGCTGATGATCCCACGGTGGCAGAATCGAGGAGCGAGAATGCAGGGACGGACGAATATTCCTACACGCAGAGGGACAATTTCACGTCCGAGATTTTCAAGATCGAGGTCGCGAACCTACCTTTTCACATGTCGCCAAAAGACTTCAAAAAGCTCTTGACCGGTCGCTTACGACTACAGCCTCATAAAATCAAGATGTTCAACATCAAGAGAGCACGATTCGCATTTGTGACTTTTAAAAACGATCAGCTGCGGGACGATGCAATCAAAGCCCTGGACGGCTATCATCACAAGCAGAATACTTTCCGCGCGGAGCTTGCTAAGCCGAGAGCAGATCCTGTCCAACGAGCAAGGAAACAGCGGAGCCATTTGCTAACCGGTGAATCGAATCCAGGAACGCAATCCGTTCTCGACGTAGTTATACCCTGGCACGGCGACCCTTACGACGAGCAGCTCCGACGGAAACAGTCATCAATCGAGGAGGTTCTCATCAAGCTGGAACGTGATCTCAGTCGCCAGCAATCGAAAGATTTCAATGACTTTGTTCGGGCTCTGAAAGAAGACACAGGCAGGAAGACTATCTGTGATGTAGCCGACATCTGCGGGAGTCCTCGAGAGAACTTCTACCGCAACAAGAATGAATTCACGCCGGGTCATGACGAGACGGGGAGGCTGGTGTTAGGTTTCCGGAAAAGTAGTTACAAAAGAGGATCCACTGAAGTCGGTCGAGTCTGTGACGGTATGAAGCACATTCCAAAGCGAGCCCTGGAGGTAGCGGAGCTATTCGAACAATACTTCTTACAATGTGCCGAGGCGCGACCCCCGTATGACGCTCAAGATGAGCGCGGGTACTGGAGGCAAGTCACAGTCCGGACGTCTGAAACTGATCAGTGTATGGTGATTGTATTGATGCATCCCCAAGATCTCACGATCGAAGAAGTTGAGCAGGAAGTCTCGAAACTGAGGACTTATTACGATTCCTCTCTCAGTGGTGTCGTCTCATCGCTCTACTTCCAGCGATTCGACAAGAAAAGTAATGTGTACCCATTGGAGCATGTCGCGGGCTCTGAAGTTATCACGGAAGAATTGCTCGGTATCAGATTCGAGATATCGCCCCCCAGTTTCTTCCAGGTAAACACGAAGGCGGCTGAGATTCTGTACGGGAGAATTTTCGAGCTGGCAGAACTTGCAGCTGACTCCACGGTGCTCGATCTTTTTTGCGGCATTGGCTCCATAGGACTCACCATGGCTTCAAAAGTAAAGAGAGTCATAGGGGCTGAGATAATCCCGGATGCCGTGGACAATGCGCGCCGCGTTGCCAGCCAGCACGGTATCAACAATTGTGAATTCATTGCGGGTAAAGCGGAAGACGTACTCTCTCTCGCTCTACACAAAGTCTCAGACGAAAAGAAGGTCGTTGCCATCCTAGATCCCCCGCGGCAGGGTGTTCACAAGCGAGTCATCAAGCTGCTTAGATCTAGCGAGAACATATCGTGCATAGTATACGTAGCCTGCAATCCCGCCGCGGCGATGCCTAATATCATTGATTTCTGCAAGCAGTCGAGCAACAATTATCGAGGAGGGCCGTGGTTCCCTTGTGTGGCGCAAGCCGTTGACATGTTCCCTCATACGCCTCACACTGAGCTCATCGTTGTTCTGAGGAGATTCAAGGACGTCGTGCTATCCTCGCGAGCGAGAGGCGAAGCCGATAGTGTGAGCTGAAATTCGTGATTGCTGTCTCGGTCGGCCCCAGAAACGCTCACATTTTGGCATAATAAAGGAGTTGGACTCAACGGGATCAAACATTCACGCTCAGTTTATTCGCCCCTGGACGAAAACAGAGACAATCCTGAATGAATATATTCATGTAAAGTAGATAATTCCATAGATCCCTCTCATCCGGCACTCATCGCATCTCAGGCGAAACCTTGTTGTTTCTCGAATTCCGTCCAAGCGTCATTCAATTCCATGAATATCAGTCTCGCCAGTTCCTCCTTGTCGGTGCCTACTAACTGCAAAAGGCAAAAGGTTCCATTTCTAATGGTTCTTAAGCGCCGAACCATCTGAGGTTCGATGATGAGGTCGGATGAATTCAATGGGGAGTTGCATTATTCTCTCGTATGAGCATACCTTATCGGGATGAACTGCCAGACACGCTTTTCGATACATCTTCTTGACGTCACTGACGCCGACTAGCTGATGCATGCCTACCTCTGCCCAGCGAGCATCCGCCCAAACAATTTGATGCAAGGAACATAACAAAGCTCTGATATTACGTTCCTTGCCTTTCGTCCAATCTAGAATCTACAGCGACCATCAGAACGAGCGAAACGACATGAGCGAAATCCGAGGTTCGCGAGAATGCTCGTCCGGATACGCACAAGAACAGAGTCGAATCAAAGCGAGACTTACAGCCAGTTTTGCGGGATCCAGTTCTTTGGCCAACTCGACCCTCTTCATTTCTGCCATAGTTTTCGGTCCTTGATCTCTTCTGCCGAAATTCGCGAAACCCTGCGTTCCCAGAAGGTCGTCAAAGGTGTTCTCGCCAAGATTCTTACGATCTCCATTTGTGGTTGGGGACGAAGCTCTGGGGGTGAATTTGAGCAATATGTTTATAAGCCACTAATTCCATGAGCGGAAGCGCTACGAGCACATCAGCAGATTTCCTACTTCGGTGACGCCATATTCGATGGAGCATCTCCACGACCGAGCCCTCCATTCGGCGAGAGAGCGCTGCCTTTCGGTGAGCTGGCAGCATTCCTTCCCAATCCATGCGGTGTGCCTTGGGATACGAGTAAGAGGTCAGTGACGTCGAATGACGAAGTTCTGCTAGTGAAGAGAATGAAACGTCGACTAGATCCTTGACTAGATATACTAACTGGGTACGCTTTGAATATTGACACCTGATGCTCCGATGTCTTCGCCCATCGGGAGTTGTGATCTTCCGTCGCTAGCGCAGCTGTTCGTGTTCATGAAGTTGTCCCACTGACCGAAGATGTCGTTCGATGGAGAGGTGTCTACGATCAACTCGATTGTTAGGAGTCAGGGGGCAGAATGATTTCTCGATCTTGACCCGGAACCGATGACCTACTTGTTTCTGATGACGTTGAGAAAATATCCGCTGCGGCACCCGATGGTCGGGAGTCTTCGACGTGAGAGGTTATATCTGCACCCAGGCCGAAGGGATCGAGATCCTCGACTACCATGAACTCTTTCAACGGAGCTGCGCCTCCCCCGAAACAACTCCCAGTGGATCTAGCCCCATGTGCCCCAGCTCCCACAGACACTCCCGAAAAGGATGCTAACAGATCATCGCAGCTGTCGAGCAAAAATATATTCCAATCAAAAAGCGCCGCGGATCGATTCAATTCAACGTTTTCCAATTTGAATCTCCTCGAGAAGTCAAATAAAATGATTTCGGAGACAATTACTCTTGCTCGCTCCGATTCGGTACCGCCGAGCCATTGGAGGACGGGTTATCCAAGTTCAGAAGATCTTGCGTTTCGACTGCTTCCGAAATCGGAATCAATGGTGGCTCAGGGCGAACTGGAGGACTTGGTCTCTGCAAACAGATAAGAAAGCTGCGTAAAGTGCCGTATATAAGCGAAGCGGGAGGGATGGCTATATACCGTCTAGCAGAGGGAACATTCTGATCCCGCTGCTCGGATACCCGCGATTTTTCAGCCCGACAACAACAACTCACCGGAGGAGGCGGAGCTGACACCGATGGAGTAGAAGAAGATGTTGGGGGCCTTGAGGGAGCTGGCGAGGAATTCTTCGATCGAAATTGCTCTGCAAGTTTTCAACCGCTTAGAAGCTTCCTTGGGGAAGTCATTGTCGAAACTTTAGGTTCGCCAGGGAAACAATTGCTGCGCTCCCATCGGGAACAAGATCAGCCACGTACCAATGGTTGCGATCATCTCTTCTTTCGAGCTGAATGGCGTCTTCGCTTGTGTGGATATGTTTAGATATTTGTTGAAAGCAGCCAGGGGATCAGGAGACGCCTTATCCGAGAAACTCGTGGAGATCGTGACCTCGAAATTCTCCGGGTACCGATCGGGCTCTTCAATCAAATCAAGCTCATCCGAGGGAAAGCGCAGCTCTTCCGAGGACACATCCACATATCCGGTGTACAATTGGACTTGCGCAATGGGAATCGCCTGGATCCGAGTTTTGGCAAAAGTGGAAGCTCGTGCGTGGTTTATCACAATTGTGACGTCACCGAACGTCTCGATGTTGGGAATGGGGAATTCGACTTTGTCGGAAGAGATCGGATAATGAGTGAGTTTCTCGTACTCCAAGCAGCTTGAATACACGCATTCACTGCCGACATAAATCTTGACGAAAGGTCGACAGCCATCGCGAGCTTTCGTGAACAGAGGAGGAGGTCTCATGGTGATGTTCGAAATCACCATCGGTCTTCCGTGGGGATTTTTTCGTCGGATCAGGTCACTCGCATATTGCAAATAGCGCATCCGAGCCGGGCTGAGACACACGGGGAAACGTCTGACGGCGAATAGGCTCAGAGCGTCTTTGGATGATGCGAATACATGTGAATACAACAGAAATGAGGCAACCAACTGCGCGGAGACTTGTTTCCCGTCTTCGCAGTGCACAACAACAGCGTTCAGTTTGCCATTGAGATAGTTGTACATAAGGTGACAGATCTCGAGCACCGATTCAAGGGAGGGAGACGCTTTCTGATTCCACGGTCGTTCCAGGACTTTGATGCCAGGAAACTTATTGTTGGTATAGCTTCTTCCGGATACATTCACGACCATGTAGTTGCTCTGATGTCGACTTTCGAGGACTGCTCGGACGTCTTCAATGTGGTTCCGGTAAGCGCTTTCGAGCCCCTCAGCCGGATACGACATGACTGCTACGAGGTTGGTGATATAGTGCAGGTCCAACTCGGACTTCCCGATGCTTCTGGAAGAGAGATGGGCGTCCGAATGTGCCCTCTTGAAATTACTCGTGTACATGCAAGCGGACATGTTTAAAGTGAAAGGCGGAGGAAAACTCACTGCTGGGCGATCTGGATCACTTTTGACGAGGTATCGCCGAGCTTCTTGAAGAAGCTTCCCGCACCACCACGGAGAGAGCTCATCAAGTTCGCCCCGTCGGCGTGTTGAGCAACCGGACTCGACTCGGCATTCGTGTTCGCCACAGCTGAAACAGGGAAGCGGGAAATGAAGCGTCGATCCTGAGGCGGGATTCGCGAATACCCGCCCTTCGAGGACCGCCGTTTCCCAGCTGACGAATAGATCATGTGTACGGTTGGAGGACGAGATTAGGAGCCCCTGCCGCTTCCATAAGATTCTCCCGGAGGCAGGCTACCCGTTTCGCGGGAGTGTCAGCTTGCGAAATAGTAAAGAGAGATGAAGCCGAAGGGATGTCTCTGCACGAATTTATTCAAGCCAGCTCTCGTCGATGGAAGTTACGTTCGTATTAACTCTGCGGTACTTCCCCTTCCCGCTTGTGAGATAATTCTTGATACAGAACGCGACCAGCAATACTTTGGCGCAAGCCCAAAATATCCATGATGATAGCATTTGAGCGCAAACTCTACCGGAAGGCAGCGTTCTGAACGCTGCAAGCAAGCACGGAAACTTAGACAGATTGTGCTCCAATTGTCGTGTATCGATCGAGCGACGCTCGCGGAAAAAGACTCGAGTATCACCGATCTCTGGATCTGCTAATATCAACATTCACAATACTGGGTAGCCGCGAAGAGGGAAACTAGCATGAGCTGCATATTTCGGTCGTCTCCGGAAAATCGAAAAAGCCTGAGGCAACTCACCTTCAGGAGCTGCAGTCGCTGGCGGAAATGCGGGCTCGTCCAGAACCAGATTCCTCTGCTGAGCCAGCAGTCGCAGTCTTTCCAGAACTGTTCCGACAGAGGGTCTCTCACGTGGGTCGATTGTCAACATTTCACCTAGCGGCGAGTACTTCCCGCATCAGTCAGACCGGGGGGGAGGGAAATCTCGATTCCCAGTGAAATACGGGATATAATGTCAAGATGTCACTTACGAATCAGAGGCTGGACTTCGACGAATTCCGAGTCGTCTCGCGGAATCGTATACTTGGCATTCAAGATTGCTAATTTCGCCGCATCGGCGAATGGATGCTGTCTGTAGCAGAGAACGTATAGAATACATCCCAGAGCCCATATATCCATACGGTGATCGACGGGAAAGTTACTGTAAGTGTCCAAGCATTCCGGGGCTCGATACATTGGCGTAGTGTTCCGCTGAACCTATACAGGGAAGAAGTTTCTATCAGCCAACTGCGATGACGAATTCCGGCCGTCTCCATATAGCGAACTCCTATTAGGAAACGCTCAGTTCCTTCGATTCTCGAACCTCGTCTTCAACCAGGCTCCTTTTGAGCGCTGTCCATTTGTCGTCGATGATGTGCTCCGTGGTCGTAGAGCTCCCGAAATCACAGAGTTTGACTCGACCGTCTCTAGCGATGAGCAGATTTTCCAGTTTCAAGTCTCGATGAGTTATCGGAGGTTTTTGAGAATGCATGTGCTCGACGGCGAGACAGCATTGATAGAAGACTTTCAAAGTTTGCGCGAACGGGAAACTGCACTTATTCAGCTCGTCCACCACAACCCCGCCGGGACAGAGCTCGGTCAAGATGAGATATTCTCTACGGCCTCCAGAGCTTTCAGAGGGAGCAGAAGCGCAGAATTGGATGATATGAGGATGCTCGTTGAGCTGCTTCAAAACTCGGATTTCCTGCTCTATCGAATCAGCACTCTCTTGATCAACGCTGAACATACGCTGAAAGGGGACTCCGATCATGATTCATGAATCTTCCAGCCAACAAAGGAGTAAACCTGCTCCCATTAAGCTCTTTGGTCAAGACAACCTGATAATCAATCTCCGATACGAATAGGATATCGCAGTGGACGAATGAGAACCTGCATACCTCGATCAGTGGCGTGACCAGGCGCCCACTGCATGGCACTCAAGCCCGAGATAACCCCTCGCTATGTTGGAGTCTCGAAGAGGCGGCGCCTAGTTACGCCACCGACCTTGATCTACATCAAGAAACTAGCTGACTCACCTTGAGAGCGTACGCTTGATTCGTGTTGGAGTCTCTCACAAGGTATACGAAGCCGAAGCCGCCTAAATTGGAGCAAAAGGAATACTTCAGTCGAAAATGAGGAGACCGAGCTTAGCTAGATGGGTTTTGTTCGAATCGTCAGGCAGAGCGTTTTGCCGTCGTGTACGAGCAGCGATGCGAGTGCCGCGACTTGATTCCCGAGAAACCTTCCCTATGCATCAAATCCAGACAATATGTACACCACAGTCCCTCGCAGGGGGCTCCTCGTAGGTTCCATTTGACTAGACATAGGCGTTCGGAACGACGGGCGTATCCGAGTCTCCCCGCTGCCAATCTGCCAAGGAGCCTGTGCTTTGACGGCTCCCGTATTCATCCACCAGGATTCTGAATTTTTAGACCTCGGGGAAGCCTTATTGCCTCGACATTCTCTCCCAATCGGTGACTGCGGACAGAGTCTTTTCCGATAAGCTCCCGAGAGCGGTCTTCCCAGAAAAAAATTGGCGTCCGAACACGAACCTTCGGCGATGACTTTGAGGATCCGAAGCTTGAAATTCGCCAGATTGAGGGATTGGCCAACGAAGTCATTGTCATCTTTGGTGGACGATGTCGATGATGTTCCGGCAGCCGCTGAGGACAGATAGCCGAAGGCTGACTTGAACATTGCCATGGACACGGAAGTTTCCCGCACTTCTTCGGACAAGGAGACCTTCACTCTCCCGATCTCATAATGAAATTACGGAACCGAACACGGGAATCGGCAGCCGAGGAGCTCTCAGCGTTGACCGAGAACCGCTATCGCCGTTCGATGAGAATTCTGTACTGCTCCGAATCGGGGAACTGGAGGACCTCTGGGATCAGATGATCACTTCCATCCAAAGCATGTTCTTGGGGAGCAAGGTGTCAGCTGAGGCAATTGATGCCGAAGACGAAGAGCGACAACCGTCCTCCGCCGCACTTCTCCGACGGCTCGATCCTCCTCGAAACAGAACGGTGTGAGCTATCCGACAGAGAGAGAGGAACTGGGCTCCAGTAGCTGGTGCTTGTGGATTGCTCTCGCCTGGTGCTCGGTGGCTCGAGTCTCTGCTGTTGATAGAGTGGTGTGTGTCGTGTGTCGTCGTCCTCTTCTCAGTCCTCTCTCCCTCTCAGCGCTGTCTTCTAAACAGAAGCAGCACAACACACACACCCCGATAATCTGTAAGCTTTAATGCTATACCGGCGTAATTTCGTGAGCCTGAATACACGCCAAAAGGAGAGTTCAGCTTTCGGTGTTTCGAGTATGTGGGGGAATGATGTTCTGAATGAAGGCGGGACTCAAGTCCCTCAAAATAGGTTTCGGCGACAGAGCAGAAGTAGAGATTGATTGACTGTGATGATGTCGATGATCTATGCTTGAAACCAAGGCATGATCGAGCGATTTTCTCTCAGCACATATCACTCCATTCAATAATGAGAGGCCGCTGGTGTTGAACCCGGAAGCCTTTTTCGCATCTCTCTGAGGATGAGACCACGTGGGGAATCACGCCGGAATAACGTACACGCTTTCAACGCCGATCCAATTTCTGGAAACGATAATCCTCACTGTCAACTCTTTCGCCGGATAGCTTGCGCTTGGAAGCAGCCGCTGCATCTTGCACAGGTATATCTTCTGCATCGGGGCTCCGCGATCCTTTATCGATCCAATGCAGTGGCTGTCCCAGCGAGGCGAATCTGCGAGGTCGAGAGGTGCTTTCCCTCGATGTCCGAGTGATCGCGGAATCGAACTCCTTGAGTCCGATACTCGGTAGACGGAGTAGGAAGCGGAAACCCTTCGGAGTCAGTTCGAATTTGGCGCGTTCGGAGCTGTTTTCATAGCGGAGAAGAAAGAAGAAGACCAAGAGAGTTTTCAGGAAGTGGCGGCCACGGCGTCTAGTGTTTTGAGTGGTGTTCGAGACTCGCTCGTTTCATGGTGACAGTTCGAATGGAGTGGACGACATAGTGAAGTGTCGATGGATCTTCCTGTACTCGGCTCGAAGTACGAAATGGAGAAAATGACTTTTGATATACCGGGCGATCCTTCAGTGAGTGCACCGGCGACCATTCCTTTGGGACGTTTGATAGAGTTTGTACTGCAGAAGACCTATCATGAACTGACGATTTTGGCAGAGCTATTGCCCAGGAAGAGCGACATGGAACGAAAGATGGAAGTCATCGCATTCACGAACACAACACGGCAGTTATTCGTGAGATTGCTCGCCTTAGTGAAATGGGCAGCCAGCGCGGGAAAAGTGGAAAAATGTGCGAATATTGTCAATTTCCTCGATAAGCAAAACATGCTATTCGTGGAGACCGCGGATATGTTCGCTGTGATGTCGCGGGAAACCTTGGTGCAGGCTCGGTTGCCCAGCTTCCACATCCTAGGTGCGGCAGAAATTCTCACGACGGGAACTTATTCGCGGCTTCCGACGTGCATCCGAGACAGGGTCGTCCCCCCGGATCCCATCTCAGCTGGGAGTAAGAAGACGACACTGGAACGTTTGGATCACATTATACAATATCGACTGGTCTCAGCGGAACTACCTACTCGGATGAGCTCTTTAGAGATAAGGAAAGGTCGCGTGACGTTCCGTGTGGAGAACGAGTTCCGAGTGAGTCTGACGCTCATGGGCGACGGTCCACAAGTTCCCTGGCGGCTGCTTAACATCGACATTCTCGTGGAAGACAAGGACACGGGGGATTGCAAGCCTCTGGTGAGTTTCGCTGGACGAGACGAAGTTCCGAGTTATCAAATCGGCCGACCACATTTCGATCTCGGGACCCCATCAGCCACCATCTAAGGACTCCTTTTGTTTTCCGCAGGTGCATCCTCTGCAGGTAGTCTACATCCATCAACTCATACAATCTCGTTTGGTCGATCACCCAAAACCGCTCCACGAAGTTTATCAATGTTTACATTTTTTCTGCTTGAGCCTGCAGTTGGAGGTCCTCCACACGCAAATTATACGTTTGTGTCACGAGCGCTTGGGAGATTCGGTCCGAGTTGAAGAGTATGTCTCGGGGGTGATGCTCAAACTCCACTACTGGAGAGAGCAAAGCTCGATACTCGATGAACGACGATTTCACCTCATCATCCACGTCGATGAGGAGGATCCATGCAAACCTCTACGAGTATCTCATTCGCCTGAAATCACCGATAGGGAGGAGGCTGCCCGCATAGACCCATGCATCAAGTCCGAGTTCCTATCGATAGAAAAGCTTCTCATTCAGACGATACACATACGGTCGCGCCAGAAACTCTCTTATCTCCGAGATGAGTTTCTGAAAGATCTCCTGGCTCCTGGAGTGGAATGCTCATTGGGAGGAAGCCCGTCCCTCCTGCAGATACCGATCGTGCAGCCGTGCTCGTCGTCGGAGCACCTCGTGCTGACTGTTGACACCCACACCGGATACGTCATGACCTTCGTTCCCCAATACGAGCCCCCGATGATTATGGAGCTCCAGGACATCATTAATAGTCTTGCTATCGATGCGTCTCCCCAGATGAAGTCACGTCTGGGATCGACAGTCTTGAGCCTCAAGTTCTGGATAACTTTGAAACGCTGCAAAACGACTGTGCAACATCTCCCCGTCCTTGCATTGGAAACAAATCCGGTCACGGCCATACCCAAGGATCACGCCCTGAATCAGTTATCGAAGTTCACTCTTTTCGTTAAACTCTGCAAACATGCCTTCTACTACGTCATCATCGAGCTTCAGGCAGACAAACCATGCGACAAAATCGACCTCAACTATTACCTCTTGAGCGTGACTGGTAAGGCAAGCCATCGCGCATGCAATTTTTCCGTATTTCGACGCGAATCCCCTCGATACCCGAGCAGATCAGTTCTAATGTTCCTTCTAGCCGACGAAGCCGCATGAGGATCACTCGACGAAGATTGACATGTTTTTCTTGCAGGTGATAATCGGCTAAGTAGTTTCTACCGACTCGACAGTCAATCCATCATTCACGGTCCATGCACCGACATGGATCTATTGGCGAACACTAACGAGTCCGGCACTTTGAAGCGATCGCTGAGTAATCAGGACGGCGCCCCTCCCGCCAAGAAATTTAGGTACCCAGGCTACTTCTTCAGCGAAGTTGCTCATATCGTAGCGTTCTGTGATGACCGCCTGCCCTTCTGTTCTCTCACGCGGGAGTTAGAATCGCGCGGGGTTTGCCATCGAGGCTTGCAGATCGAGGGGGCTCAAACGAACTTCCACGTCAAAATCGTGCAAATGCCGGTGGGAAATGATGTATCCGAAGACGTCGCCGACGAGCTACGGCGGTCCTTGCTCAGCTGCACGTTCCGACTCCAGGTTCGGGGCATCAGAGCTTGGCTTTGTGAGTTGATTTTCCACGATTGCCCGCTGGCCACGAGTCAAATGAGAGAGCGTTGCGCTACGCGACCAATATACTTCATGTACGATTTCACTCAGAACAATACGACAGCTGTGATCGATGAATGGCTTGCTGATTGGGCTATTGTTAGTAAACTCTACAGCGTCGTATACAAATATGCGGCAGATATTAAGAATCAAAAGAATGCTGCTCTGCTCGAAACGTCCGAGGTCAGATCCTATTCTTACAAGCGCTTGACCATTGGCTACGGCTCCGAGAAGAGTTACACGGTGACCATATACTGGCGCCCAGTGGAAAAACGTTTCCAACTCGTATTCGGTGTGGTAGGTCTTTCCGTCAGCTCGACGAATCCCCACACTCTCATTGCGCATCAGCTATCTTACGATTTCAACCAAAATGAGTCTATAACCGATCTCCTCCAAACGCTGAGAGATACTTATCGGCCATTGCTGTCGCTGTCGCGTCTACCCTCCATACCGCAGCTCGGCACGATCCACTCGAAACCACATCTTCCCGTGCAGACGTTCATGGTGATCCCTCAATCATCAACATGCTTCAGATTGGTTTATCGCGCAGCCTACTGTTTGGAAATACAGTGTCGCAAAGGGGACGGCTGCGTGGTCATCAGAGACGGTGCCTTCAGTCATTTCGACAGAGGCCGACACGTCGAGGAATATATGCAAATCCCGGGCCTGAGGACGTTCCTCAGCAAATTCACTCGGCAGACTCCCGATGGAGCACTTAACACGGCGAATGCTCCCGTATCCCCTCTTCAAATGGAAAGCATAGACGCGTTCTTGTCTCCATCGATGGCCAAGGCGAATTCTCCCTCTGGGGCGCGGGCCTCAGAGGGGGCAACGCTCCGCTTCCCTCAACATCACCCAATGACGCCTCCCTCGAACCCGCACACTCCGGCGTCTCCCCATCCCTCGATTTTACCGTCGAGTTACTCGGCGTCTCCTAATCCATCGTTTGTGCATACTCCTTCGAACATTCCACCGAGTTCCCCGCTTGCGCCACCCCCCTCGTCTCCATATCCGGTGAATTCCCCCCATATGACATCTCCGTCTCCGTCACCAGCTCAGCAACAGCCACCTTCAAGTCAGAGTTTCGCTGCGAATGATCCCACGTCACCAGCTTTCCCCCTCCTCTCGGCATCTCCTGCGAATCAGTGGCCCTCATCACCGGCCCCGCCACGTCCCTCGCCGCGGTCCTTCCAACCGTCTCCTGGAGGGCCGTCGCCGGCCCAGCCATCCAGCGCTGAAGTACGACCTGCACCCTCGATGTCGCGTGTGGCGCCGGGTGTTCCCGGCAACTGGACCGCCGCTGTCCCCATTGTGCTAACGCACGAGGGTTTCGATAGTTTGTGCACTCCGTGTACTCCCAGCACACCGAACTACTCGCCCTTGGAGAAATGTCTCGGCTGCGCGTTCATGCGGTACACTATCCAGCGGATAGTTCGATCCGATGAGCACCTCCAAGTGCGCAATTTGAGCGAGCCTGGAATTGTTATCTTCAGAACCGATCAGCTGATATATAGAGTCTCATTGAATTTGCAAACGATGCAATCATTACACGTGAAAATATCCAATACCGATAGCTCTAGTGCAGCGCAGGCGCTCGCACTCGACGACATTCAGGTGATCGAGCGTTATTTTGATACCAAAGTTGCGTCCATACCCTATAAACCAAACGCTTTCCTGTCCTTCACCAGGCTGTTGAGCACACCCCCGCGCATCCAACGAGATTTCATTCAGCTGATGCGCTTAGAATTGTGTCCATCTCAAAATTCCATATTCCGATGGAGTTTCCAATTGTGTCTCACTATACCGCCGGCTACGCCGCAAATAGCTCCTACCGGGACGGTTTCTGTGCTCATAACCCGTGTCAAGATGCTGTTCTATTTCACCCTCACTCCGTTGAGGACTCCAGGAGAACCTCACTCGGCGGGGAATCAGCAATCGATCGCGGTGCCCATGGTGTACGATTTCCAAAGTAACACTGTCTCCTTAGCGGCGGATCGACGATCATCAGAGGCAAGCGCTCACATATCACCGGCGCTGAATTTCATCGCATCCTTCTTGCGGAGCTCTCATGATTACCAGAATGCCAGCGAATGTTCTATATATCCTTCCATAAGGGATCTGGTGACTCAGCTCACTGTGAACTGACTCTAACTGTCCTAGACTCCTTCATCGAATGCCCGTCGGACTTTTCTGAGAGGGAACTCCTGCTCGAACGTGGAATAAAGTCATCCTTGCGAAGACGAAGCGAATTGGGCTGATAATTTTTTGGGGCGGGTTCCAATCTTCGAATTCGGTTCGAGACTCCTCTGAAACTTGGCGATACTCGGGAAACTCCGGTGTTTTTCCGAATGCTTTCTGGTCGCTTACGCTCACCACGAACATGGAGATCGCGGAGATGGAATGTTGAAACCAGCGTGCCGCCTCAATTATTGCTTTCGGTATGCTGACTTCAGTTCAGGAAACTTCAGTTCTGACTTCAGAACCAATGTTCGCTGCCTTCGACTCCCGCGAGTCCTGGTCGAGATAGCGCGACTCTGCATGCGAGAGAGCCGACCGCGATCTCAAACCCGTTGGATCGCGCAGAGCGAGTGCGAGAATACTATTCCGTGTCCTTGCTCCCCTCGGACGAGAAGGCGGACGAGTGAGCCACGTGAAGCAGGAATTCGTCAACATGCATACATGCATGACTTCCCATTCATTCATTGAAAAGATGAGAATTTTTTTTTTCTCACATAACCTGCGGGAATCGAGATAGCAAAAATATTCTAATTGGAGGTCAAGCTCGTCCCTTTGTCGACCTCCCACAACCTGCTCGTTCACTAGAGACTGCCCGCCTATCGGAGATCGCCCGTCTATTTCCTCCGTCCTACAACGAATGAATTTAGTCCGGTCACTGATACTGGTATACTGTATTCAATCGATGGATCATTCACCACGAGCCCACCAGGAACTCACACAAAGCACCCACGGGAGCAGATCTGCCCTCTCCGCGACTCGGGTCCTTGAATGTCTGATCTGTCCCCCCCTCGAAGAGCCCCTTTATTGGAGAGTGCCCGTTTATTTCATCAATCCTCCGAAACCTTCGGACACGGCCCGCTTATCAGAGACTGCCTCTCAATCAGCATATTTACGTAAGCTCCGTCAGGGTTGGTTCAGCCGGGGGGTTCGCGGACATCACTTGTGCAATTTCTCTTCCGAGATTCTCTACATTTCGCTGCTTCAAAAACAGCTGGCGGACCGAGGATTTCCAGTGCGATGGGGATTTTTCTGTCCGATGAGGGAGCCGGACCCAGGAAGCCGGGAATCTCTAAGGGACAAACTTATATTCCGACACGAGTTCTACGCCCTCGAGCATTTTACATCATCGAGAAAAAAAATTGACGTCGGACCATCGGATTCTATCGGAAGCAAGATGTGTTCCCGCAGAATGGGTTCGCCGACTCCATTTATCGCCAAATCCGTTCGTAGACCCTGAATTCCCCCGAAATTCAGCGTCTCTGTGGCTCAAAAAAGGAACTTCAGGCGCGGAAAAACCTAAGCAGCTATTTTCGATGGAAGCGTCGAAAGAGGCGGCCATAGGTCATAGGAACTTCCGAGCTCTAGTGATTAAAGTGATTACGGTGAAGTTGGGGCTAGCCCGCCTCAAGGAACCGTTGCGCTCTGGGCACCAAGGGTGGAGGTGTGAATTCGCTCACTTCGTAGTCTAAGCTTGGGAGAATTGTTGCATCGGCAATGTTTGTGGTTTGATTCTCATTCAGACATTTCATGTGAACGTTCAGTAAATGCAGCCATGCGGGACTTGCTCATTAGGAATTCTAGACGGAACATGAAAGGGCGACCGAAGACATCCCGCATATCTCAAGCGGATCTCGTCAGAGGACTCACAGAGAGAAACCCAGGATACACACGGAAGAGCGGCGCCAACGCAATCCCGACCTCTCTCGGAGAAACGCATAGGTCAATACCCTGGTTTATTAGAATGAATATTACACAATGACGCTCCCAAACTCCACGAGATGATCGATTTAAATAAACAGCAAAACCGACGGAAAGTGACACATATTGCTCGATTGATTCACGTGTTACAACTCGCACGAGTTATTGGGTCCTAGACTGATAAGTTAATCATCGACACGACGAATGAGATTATTGATGTCTGATCGAGGTGAACAGAGTGATCAGGGAGAGCATAACGCTCGATGAAATTTTCTCTGGGACTGGTCTTGGCTCCGGAGTCGGAGCAAATTCTGCCCCCGAGACCACTCCGTCGCCTCGCATCGCTCGGTATGTATATGTTTGTATATATATATATATGTATATTCATATATTTAGACTCTCAAGGTATTTCGTCCGCTCCAGACTCAAAGAAGAATGTACATTTGTTGTGAGTTCTAATTAGAACCTTTGATCTCTACCAAGAGCTAGATCAACGACTAGATCCCACCTGTCATCGGCTCGGTCTGACTCCAGAGACAGACCGTATTCATGTGCATTCAGGTCCTATGGGGAGCTTATTCGATAGTGCGAGCCAGCGAGCAGACGAGCCGAAGTACTCGATGGAAATCAGTGGGGCAACAAGCAGCCTGATTCCGCCCAAGTCCGGCGATTCCCGACCTCCGAGGCTCCTATCGCGAGGCGATAGCAGGCGAATGATCGAGTATTTCCGGATAGCCCTTCTGAATACAGAGCTGAGCGATCCCGCAGCATCCGGTGCGACTCGCGTGAGACGGACCGAGTCCACAGGAAATTCGAAACTCAGTTTCTGATCCGGAAATATACATCACATCCAATCGTACGTGGCGCCTGTGTCGCAGAAACTTGTTCTCAACAGAAAGCGCTGAATTTAGGAGGGCATCTCAGATCCGAAGCTGTGGCATTGTTTCGATAATTTCCCTGCAGCCGGGTTCTTCAGCTCGCGACGCTGCCATCCCTGTACACGGTCTATCGAAGATGCATCATTAAAGTATATATATATATATTCATATATCTTATCTTAGCATGTATACACGCTCGTGAGAAGGTCTCTACGATCTGTTCCTTGGAATCATATATTAGTTCTGTCTCAAAGCCTCGTGAAAGTGTCTGCCCCTATCCGGCTGCGTACTCGCTCCATCATTCAGCCATTCCATTTCGTCCCGGATTCCGGAGTCTCATACACCCGGGTTCCCCGATGAATTCGCGTAACGACTACTCTTGTAGCGAAATATTCATAGAACTTTGGATTCTTATTAGTCAGGCGACTAGTCGTTCCCGGTAACCAGCTCGATCTCACGGCTGTCACCACCCCCCTCCTGCGTTACTTGAAGAGAGTCTCCATCTTCTGGGCTGGCGCTCGAGGCCGATTGCATGACCTGCATCGGTTGATGGTGGTACATAGAGACAGGGATGGCTACCATGCCACTGACAGAAAATGTGCCGCTTTGAGTTCCATCTTCGCCCGTCAGGATGATTTGACTGCCCTGAGAAAGAGCATTCTCCAGGGTGGCCACTGCATCCGTCCCGGCCATTTCGACGGCTTGCGTCTCCACCGCATCGGTCGCCAACACTTGGCTGTCCGTTTGGCCGGAACCTTGTTGAATCGAAGACACTGCTCGAAGCTGCGCTTGAGTTCCGTCCGGCAAAGTGAGCATGGCCGTATTGGGATCGACTTGTATAATAGAAACGGTCCCGTCTGGATTATTGATCGCCTGCACCATTGTCGTTCCGTAGATGCTTCCGTTACTCGAATAAATCGTTTGCGCGTTTGCGAGAGTTTCTGCGCTAACTTGAATTAGCGTCTGACCCTGAGCCGTGCTGACTATTTGAGCAGTCTGCCCTTGTTGCTGCTGCTGTTGTTGTTGCTGTTGAGACTGAGACCTATTGACCGCCGTCACAGTGGTCGACGACGCAGAAGCCTGAATGGCTCTGATAACGGTTGCCTTGTTGTCATCGTCGATTTCCGCCGCAGAGTGCACAACTGTCGGCTGCTGCGATACGGTCGTTTCGCCGAATGCAGGCAGCAGATCCTCCCGTCCGTGGTATCTGGGGAACATTTTGGCTTGAGAATCGACAAGTCACCGATCTTTTCTGCGAAAGTGATTCGCTCGCCGAATTCTGTCGCGATCAAGATTCGGGTGAGAGGGTCTTCCCGCATCTGGCTGAGCTCACCGGTAGCAGTTGATGACAATTTGTCGCAATGCGTGGGTCCACGAAACCCGTTGCTTGTCTTCATCAGATCGCACGTCAGATCTCACGTTGGCCCAGGGCAGATCCTGGGGCCACCACGGAGGCCGCGTACTCTCTCTACCCCAACCGGGCTTGCCTCTCCCAGTTGAATATTTCAGCATCAGCGGGATGAAACAGCGCAGTTGAGCTTGGGTCATCTTCTCCACTGGTGTCGGGATGCCTGGAGAGAAATGTAGACTGAGTCAGTCTGTCGTTCGATTTCCTACTCCGAGCAATATGCGATTTGATTTTCGCCGCGATATCTACACACCATCGATGACCAACGGTGGCAAGTCATGCACCCCGTCGGAGCTTCCATTTGTGGTGACACTCCCCGTCGCGATCGTTCCGGTGCCGTTGACGCTAGCGACCGCGGGTGCGTGTTGCGCCAAAGCGTTCTCTAGTTCTTGTATCACTGCGCTTTTCAGGAGGTCCCGCATCACATTTTCTAGAGGCTGAGCTCCAAATACCTTGAAGTTGTCATTCGGTTTGCCCGGCGTCACGATCATAACGACTGCTTGCTGTCCTATTCTTGTCGTGTACTCGTCGATCGTCGCTTTGAGCTCTCGCAGCAGCCGAGTTTGCTGTCTCCGTCTGATTGACGGGTCAGTTTCGAAGCAATGCGGTCGTTTTCTTTTCTTGCCTAGCAAATTGAAATATCAAGTGAAGTGCGCTGGGCGAGGGGGTCGGAATGGGCTGGTCTGAGGGGTCTTTGCCGAGCTAGAAGGGAGCGTCCGAATACTTCCGATTCAGACCCGATGCTCGCTCGCAGAGAACCCCTCTTCTGCGAACTTATATCGAGAGGGGATCCCCGGAAAGAGCTCACTGCCGAATAAATTCTCCAGAGTAGTAAGCGCCGCGGCGCTTAAGCATTGAGACTATGGGACTTGCAATGCTCGGCGCGGCGCACAACTCTGTTCGGGATCGATAATGCTCGATTACTAGTGGAAGTTCGAGAACACCTCCCTCGAGGAAAATGGCACAGTTCGTAGTTCTTACTGAGCTAAGGGTACTTCAAGCTTACCGGTCGCGATCGCTGCGGCGGCGGCTAGGCCTACGGTCCCCGCCACCATTAGACGCTGAGTGACCTCATCGTTCGCGACGGCGGCGTTTGTGAGTAAATCGGAGTCATCGAATTGCTCGGATTCGGGGGTGGACGGCGGCGATCTAAGCGCGTCATCATGGAGACCGAGACTATTTGAAGTTATAACCGTCGCGCCTCCCGCAGTCGTAGCGACTACATTGGATTGATGGACCATTGATGCATTCACCGTGGACGACAACAAGCCTTGAGTAGGAGACGACGAAGACGACGTCGTTGAGATCACGGCGTTCATTGCCGTCGACTTTTCAAGGCTTTCCTTCTAGCTCACATGATCGGGGATGTTTCAGAGGAAATTTGGAGCGCAGCGTTTCATAGATGAAGCCATTCACTGAAAATATAATGCGAATTCTAATATCGATCCTTGTAGGCTACTTATGGCGCCAGAACGCCGGAGGGGAGGGCGCCAGAAACACGTGCCGTGATCTTGCGACCTTACAGAGACCAAGAGAGGGAAGACGGAAGCCTGAAGAGAGTATCCGGAAAAAAGTGAGATAGAGAATACCCATCTATTCTATGAACTACCAGCCCTGAGGGGTTCTGGGGCTATGAGAGGCTCTTATGTCAATGTTCTCGATGACTGCATGTTGACAAGAGTTCTGCTATTTCCTCAATATCCCCACAAGGACATCCCACCGGGGAGTACGAGCCATCTTTAGCAGGAAGCTTCGGATCGATTGCTGAACACCCATGCCGAATCGGATACGCGAGAGAGTAGCTTCAAGGATAGATGAACATCGTCCGCGGGGTCGGGGAGGGAGCATCCAGCTTCTGACATGTCCGGGGTGAGGTGATTGTTTATCCAGAAGCCATTCGAAGGGGAAGGTATACTATATGTATCATCGAGTCATTGTACTGTTGCGACGCATGACTAGGAGCATGGTGCTACCCACGCAGAAATACTGTCAGTTTTCCATATGAGATTCACGGAAATCCCAAATAGCGGTGACTGGATGGGAGAACGGTTCCGACGAGTCTGGTCTGATTGGAGGGATTGAAGGTCACCTCTGGAGACAGGACCCCTTAAGAGGGAGATGCTTCGCCCGGCGGGGGAGGAGGCATAGGGAATGGACGGCCATGCCCGTCATTCAGAGGGCGCATAGTATCTGGGACTAGGTAGGTAGAGGCTCAGCAAGGGACAACGAAACCGACGAACTCCGGAATCGCCGGGGATGGGCGGCCATCATCAGTAGACGAGGTCGTTCAAAGCAAAGATATTCCCGATGAGCTGGCGGAACCAGTGCAGTACGCGTGAGAGGTCTATGTTGGCTAATAGAAGTTGGAAAACGAATGAGCGCGGTACGGAGTAGGGAGAAGGAAGCATTCATGGAGGCATCGAGACAATTCCCATCTCACGAGGCTGCCCCTTCCGATGAAGTTTTTCGAGAGTCAGCAAGCCGACCAGCCATTCTCTCTGACGTCGGTCAATCTCTCGTTCTAGCTGTCGCTTGAGCCACGAGCCGTCGACAGGATGTCTATGAAGCAAACAAGCAAGCAAGCGGCCCTCCTTTTCGACTGCGCCGCTAGCGATACTTCTGCGATTGCGCTGCGCGTCAGGCCCGTGTGGAGATGCGCCAGCCAGCGAGCAAGCGCAGGAAGAGTCACACGAAAATCCGCTTCGCTGTTACGACTAGTTCTAGATGTCGCTAGTCGCCTGGGTATCGCTCTCGGTGTCAATTTGAGCCAACTAGCCCCCCAAAATACTCCGGATTGACTCACCATGCACGTAACGATTGGCACACATCTGCTCTAAATTCTGTAGTCGTGTTAGGTAGAAGTGTTGCTGCTGCCAGCCACTACAACACGACAGCAGCACCATCAAGGAACAGCAGCGGCGGCAGCGCGTTGAACAGCGGCCATCTTGTGCTCAGAGCGACCGTCGAACGACCAATGGCGACTCCTTAGGCCTAATGGGAATCGAGCAACGTCTAATGTCCGATCGCTCGCGTCGATTCGGTTCGCTCACTTCTCATGCGAGGCTCGCGACAAGTCTGTCTTCTCTATCTACATGCCATGAGGTCAATTTTTATATTCCGAATCCGGCACATATCTCGAATCTCGACGACGGATGAAACGTCGCGGGGAGCAGGCGAATATCCAATACTGATTGTGAGCCCAGCCCAGACCATGGCAAAAAGGAAGTATTATTTCGAGATTCATCTCGAGAATCGCCCGCGATGATGGTGTCCACCCCCACCTTGTGAGCGCGCCTGTCGCGGTCAGGTGCAGAGCTCGGGCGACGAGTGCCCTAGTTGAAGGCCGCGGCGGATTCTCGGACGGAGGAAGTTATCGAGAGATTCCCTCCAAACTCCACACACAAGAAAGAGGACAAGTTCGATCAGAGGAGATCTGGGGTCCGGCTTCCGTGTCAGACATAGACTGTCTATAATCTGGCTCGTTTCAAGCATACTCACAATAATCAGACTTGGATGATACCGTTTTGAACGAACGCTCGGGGTGAAATCCACATGTTATGCTTCTGGATCCGGAGGAGAATTACGCGAATCGGGCAGCGTACTGGAAAATGCCTAATCGTGGCAGCTTGAACATGATCGTTTTTCCTCTCTTCTCGAAGTTAGTTCCGGTATCAAAAGTTTCGCAAAGTTCTCTTGCTTTGAAAGCTCGCTCCTGACCGAACGAATCCGCTCACAGAATCCCAGATTGCCTCCCCAATTCTCACACTGAGTGAGCGGACTCTTCGACAGCTATGCTTTCGCTCGAAGGTTCGCGAAAGATTTACGCAGCGAATGGATATCGAATGGATATCATGTATATCCATATACTTATCATACAACTGAATTAGGGCTTCTCCCGGGATATCTTCCTCAGGAATAGCTTCTAAGGCGATTTCGTTCGACAGTCAACAATCGATCAACCCAAGATAGAGCTCTAAGGAGGCTGCGATGTCAGATTTTCCCTATACCATAGCTTATCAGGATTCGGAAATGCTAAGGCCACAGGAGACACAATGCAGTCTCGCAGAGAACCTTCTTTCGCTAGGAGCAATGCATTAAGGGGAAATCGCTTCACAGAGAAATAAAAACAGCTTCCGATGCTCCTGACAGATATCGAAACCATAATATCCGACCTCGGTACCACTCCCCCTCCCTTAAAGAATGGATGTCCAAGATTAGCTGTCCGAGATGAACGATTTCCTAGCACGCCAAATAACTCAAGTGCACGGGCATACGCCCTTCGCGAGAGAAGGCGGCCGCCGTGAATAGGGGGAACGAGGTTTAAATCCCGAAACCCTCCTGCATTTTTGGGCTTCGAGGGCATCCTCATGTTTTCCACCGACTACTGACCGCCGAATCGTATCGCGGATCAATATCAGCTGTTGACAGGCGGTGATTTAATTGACGAGAAAAACAAGAGAAGGGAATTTTTGCCATCCTGCATGTATCGTCTTTACAACTATATCGAGCCGCCAAGTGGTTTATTCTGCCGCCAGTACTCCAAGAGAGCGCATTGATTCATATTGAATTTTATAATTAGAAGCATGTCAAGTATTCAAGTCGGTACAAAAATTGCACATCTATTCCTCTCTCTAAACTATAGACATATCGAAGGTCGATGGGCTGTTCTCTGTTGCGTGTTCCTGCCGATTCCCATCAGGCGCTGTGAGGGAGATTGTTCAGAGATTAATTCTTGACGAAGTCCCTGTCCCTAATGAATCTTTCTGGGGGAGGCCCCGGAATTATAGTATGGAATGCTTAATCTTCAGAAAACCCACAGGTCACAAAGGTGTATTTCGAATCCATCGTTGCCTCGTCCGTCGGAGAATGTGGTCTGATGGGGGATAGCTCGATGTCCAGAGCACCTCTCGGAATTTCATCGATGCCGATTTCATGCTGATTCTCGCCACAGAATGATTCCTGGCATGAAATCAAAAATTTCATTAGATGTTCCGATTTTGCTTTCAATAGCTCTTATAAGTCAGATTGACCCTCGACCCTTTAGTAACAGATGGCGTGCCGACCTGTCTTCCGTATACACCGGAGAGACTTCCGGATGTGCTTTCCCGTCTGCAAGTTTTCGGAGGTGTGGATAGAGCCGGGGTGTCGATGAACCTTCACAAAGGAGGAATGTTGGGTAAGAAACGCATCGAAAGATTTCGGTATCGCCGCCGGTATTTTCGGGCTCTATGACGATGGATTTTTCCGATTTTCCTCGATCAACTTACGGCGCGTGACCACGAGAGATTTCGGGCCCGCGAAGGTCTCCGTCTGCCGCTCCATCGTTGAAGTCTTCGAAATCCTCCTCGGAGAACAATTTCCGCCTCGAAAGCGACGATATCGAGGTCGGAGAGCTCGAGCAGGACCGGGATACTTCCATCGTTGACGTACGAGTGTCAACCCCAGTGAAAGTTGCGAAAGGCGCTGCCATCGAGAGAACAAGTTTATGAGGAGCATCTTCTGAGAGGAGCCTAGGAACAGAAGCTTGTCTATGGTCGAAACCTCACCGAAAATCTGAGCGATGTCGTAATCAGGAGGGATCGTTACGTCTGTCTGCGTCGTCATGGCTCGGAGGGACGTAGGAAGTGTTTGGCTGGGAGACTTGGTGTCCATCGTCGACTCACGTGACCCCGATGAAGTGATCGCAACTCTCCGCCGAGCTGTCGGAGTTGGCGAAGGCACGATTTTCCTTTGGAAAAAAGCGTTAATCGCTCTCTCGTTCCGCTGCTCGCAGCTGAGAGAGCGAACCGGTGGCAGATATGCCGCTGGATTCGAAGTATCGAATACCTGTTGAAAGAGGAAAATAGCAAATTAGACCAGGCCGAGATGGTGAGCCATTCGATCCGTCGCTTCGTCGAGGAATCTCCGTCTTTCAGGCAGAATACGGACTCTTTCTCTGCAACCTCGTCGTCCGCAGTTCCCCAAGCGGTCCATACGGACCCCCGGGGCCCACTGCGATTCTCGGATCTCACTAAAATCCTGTGAGAAGGGTTCAAAGGGTTCGTGGATCTGATGCGAGGAATACACAGGGGTCCACCGCGGAGCGGAGGGTAGACGATTCTCGGCGCTGATCTATCCGATTTGAAAAAGTATATCTCAACCCCTGAGGGAATTCCCGCGGTCAGTTTGTTCCGAACTCACTGTGGGATTCATCGTCGATTGCCAGTCGATGCACGGACTGAAAGAGTTCTTCTCCTCGAAAGATAGCAGTCGATTCTCGAAGACTTCATGACTGATGAACGGTTCATTCAAGCGGTCGGGCGTCGGGAACGGACAATGACTGACGCAGTTCTTCGGAGTTGACGATCCCCGGCTGAGCAAAAATGAGAGACGGAAATAGGGTTCGATAAAATTCATCGGGGGACGGGGAACCTCTAGAAAATTCGACGTGGCCTAAACAATGTTCGGTGCATACCTTGACAAGTTTCTCCGCAGGAGCATGAAGCCGCTGTGTGGTGTTTGTATATTCCTGTTATTGGTGCCGTTCTCCACAGATTCCTGTCGTCGTTCAGCCTCATCCCTCCGCACACCGTCTAGGATTCGGAATGAAGTTTCAGAGCTAGATACTGCGTGGGTACAGCTTGTAGAAGCTAACCCAGAGTCCGTTGTTTCCGCCGAGATCCGGGACGGTAAGCTCTTCTGAAGCATCGTCGACGACAGTGGAACTTGGTTGAAAATTCTCATCGATTTGTTTGAGCGTGATGAAGGCGTGAGTTCCTGAGGATGAAGAGGTGGCAGGGATAAGCGATTGAGTCCCTAACGATTTCGAGCCTCAGACTTCATCGGAGCCGAGCATTGTCGGCGAGCGGACAATTGAATGATTTCGTCCCTCAAGTAAACTCACCCTGTCCATGTGGGACATCTTCTCTGGCTAGCACGCCCCTAGCAACTGAATAGACATCCGAGATCGAGCACAAAAACAACTAGAGCCCATGTAACGGTTTCCTCTAAGTAAAGGCGCCGGGGGCGACAACAACGATGGGACATTTAAACATCGTCGATCTCATCAAGCTGCGGCTCGTGCCCCTCTCCAGTTCCGCGCCGTACCGGCTCCGCTAAACTCAGCGGGCGAAGGCTGATCGAGAGAGGATGAGCGTTGGAGAAAAAAACCCATTCCTCTAGATAAAACATCCCCGGCGTATGGTCAAGTGAGAGCGATAATGATCTTGCCAATGACTGGAATCGCACTCGGAGCTCAGAGAGCGGTATCGGTTCTGGGACTCGCAATCACAGAACCGCGACACCATCGAATGATGACCCATTAAGTTTCGGCGCGGCAGTTATGCTCAATCTATTGCTCTATTGATAGACTCGCAACGAGAATGAATGCTTTTGCAGAGAACCGGACCACCGGAAAAATATGGCAGGAAAGCTGCGAGGCTCGTGGATCTTCCGCTATATTCGATGAAAGTTCCCTAGGGCGCGATCTTAAATCGTATCTCGAGCGACAGCTACGCTGCTGGTCGAGCGGCCAATAAGTCGGAAGCTCATCTGGGGCTTCGTCCGTGATAATAGGGCGAGCAAATACGTCAAACGCAACCTCTTGTGGAGTGTCCCGGGATGTTCGAGACTCACTTTCGATCGATGTGAGCTCATTCTCCCTTGAGGTTAATCATGAGGAATTTGTATGTCATTGGCAACGGAGGCACCAGACGTGTTCTTGGGAGCTCGAACTTCCGTGGGGTGCAGCATATTTTCCGACTCTCGAACCGGGGAGTCACAAGACACAACGCTCGGAGGCACGAAATCAGTCAGTCTTGCACTTACAATCCACAGTGATGCATGGATGCATGCAATGATATGTATCCATACAACTGAATCATCGGAGACTTCCCGCGTCGAAAGAGCCAGTGGGACGTGGGACCAACCCACGATATCGTCGCTGCTGTTTCTTCCATACTTACCAAGGTCGCATTCCAGCTCTTCTGAGCGACAAGCTGGAATGAGACTCATGTTGAAGGCCCAGTTGGCCTTTGGCGGATCTGTCCACGATTCGATTCGGATTTCCAGACAGGATGCGTCCGTCACGGGAGAAGCGAGCACCATCTCGGAATGAAGTACCAAAGTACATACAAGCTCCTCGAAGCCGGCTTGGAGTGGGAGCAAGAACTCCAGACACTCGACCGAGGTTTCGGAATTCCGTTCTTCAAAGGGGTGTTAGGCAACCGCTAGCTCTACGATAACCTTGGCTACATCAATACGGACGCGACTGAATTTCCGGGAGAGATGCCTGACGTTTTCTCAACTCATCACCACGGGCCTCCGAGCTTTATAACAGCTTGATAATATCGTCCATTCCAATTAGCCTCCCCTCGATTTCAGCAGAAGATCGATGTTTCGCGCGAAGAAGTAGAACTTCCGCATGAGGAGTCGGCACTCTCCGACGGGTGAGATCTCCTCCCTCCTCCGCGGCATTATTCGAGAAGACACTGACAGTAAGCCGAATTGCTCTCCACCGGGGAAAAATGCTCAGAAGTACTGGAATACTTCCGAGTGTTCCTCGGCGCACAAAATCGGTCAGAGTTTCCGGTGACGGAAGTGGCAGACTTGTTCTTCGAGGAATATCTGCATCTGAAGCATAATGCAGCTTCCTCCTTCTTCGAGTGTTTCAGAAGTGAAGACGCTCATACCGGGAACAATCGAATTCAGTTCCTAAGCAGACGCAGTCGTCTACGAGGGGACTCTTGGACAAGACTCCGGCCGTCATGGCCTTGACGAGCGGTAGAAGGAAGATAAGACAGAACCTCCGTCGAACTGCGCCACAGCTATGCCATCGGCCTGGAGGGAGGTTTTCTCGATGAACTCAGCATCACAAGAAAACTTCCGATTTACTCTTCACTGTGAAAATCGTTCCGGCGTGGGGATACGAACTCTTGAATACCGTCGGAGTTTCACGGTTCCGCGGAGAAGCTGGTCACCAGCTTCTGCATTCTCCCGCTCTACGAATGGGATATACGATTCGGATTCCAATAATTACGAAGTTATCGGCTCCCGTTCAGATGTAGAAAACAGCCATCGGCTAGAATATTCCCGATACCCAATCCTGAGAGGAATCCCGCGTTTCGAAGACGCGAGCCTGCGGTGTTCCCTGAACATGTGCGCGCGCGATTCGCGCTCTCAGGTGATGTCGAGAAATACGGCTCCATCGACGGCAGCAGTCTGAATACGCCGGAACGGATGCAATATCCAGGAATTTTCGGGGAGCTGGGTGCTGGATTTCGAGGCCGGCGAGCCGACACAATCGGGGGATGTAGCCAGCGACGAAGGTTACTCTGGTGCAGGCCTCGGACACAAGGGTGGCGACTAGGATTTCTTCTGCGACTGTGTTCTGCTGCACAGCTTGTCAACGGGCGAACCGTCGCAAAGAGTAAAGAACCCACGGTCTTCACAAAGGTTGACATCAAGTACATATCTGGTGCAGGGAGCGGTGGAAGCCGCTCTGCAACAAATGGCATCGTTCAGGAGCGAACAGAAAATTATTGTTCCGCTGAGGACGCGGATTCTGGAATTCTCGTTCGATGCGGAGACGGACCGAAGTTGAGAAAAATACATCAACCTTTACAAGCCCATGATCGATGCCGATGGAGCTACTTTTTCCGAACATGCCAAGGAACAGATCCTGCTCTCAGAACTTAACACGGAACAGTATGACCGCTCCGTTGCGTTAGTTTTTCCAGGAGGACCGGGAACCGAGACGAAGGCAAACGTAATCTGCTTGTTGAAACCACTATTCAGCCAACCCTTCTGTGCTCCTGACCTGAAATCCTAGAAGAACTTGTGGGCAATCTGGTGCGCCTCGTGTACGCTGAGAAGAAGCATCATGTCAACCTCAAACAAGCGGAAGAGGCCATTGAAAATGCCTGGCTCAGTATGGAGTCACGCATTCTTGGGGATCTCGTCGAGAGCATGAAGAGCCACGTGTTCAAAGTTCCAAGAGATCGCGCGCTCCGGGAGGCTCACAGATTACTGAGATTTCAGGTTCCGCCTTGCCCCATGGGATCCGAGTCCTTTTTCAACACAGGACAGCAATATGCGAGGGACATCCTTGGGGTGTCGTGATCCCGTGCGCCAGTTTCGAAATACGAGAAGACGATTGATATTCTTACATGACGATAAAGGCGCGTACAATGGTGTTTTCCTGAGTAGATGATCCTTCTACTCCTCGTCAGCTGTCTCTCCCACGGTAATGCCTCGAGATCCTCCGACTCCGAAGGGATCGGGGGCGTCGTTCGTAGCTGCATCGAACTTCATGTCCGCACTGACGTGGTATTCAAGAAAACCCGTTGGAGGGGGAGATTTTTGACCACATCGCCAACATCCGGGGAAGCACGGATGTTCACGAACTTGATTCGAAGGCGTCCCGGTGACAGAGCGAATTTCGAGGAAACCGAGCGGGGGCTCCGGAAGGATCGAAATTCTCACGCTCTCCGAGCGATCTTCGCGACGCCGATGCTCGGAAGTCATGGTCCTACATGGATCCGCGATACGAGATCACTGCTTGCATTCCTGCAAATGATTCGCAGAATCTTGCCCTATTATTCCCTCCGAACAGTCGGGGGAGCAACCGCCTTATACAGGGGGAGAGGCGACTTGGATTGCTCGGTCAAGTCGAGTTTGATTCCATGACCTTCCCTTCCCTGTACGTCTCGTCTCTTTTACGCTTCTCTTCCTGATCGTCGTTTCACCCACAACGCTCTCCTACGGTAGAGCTCATGATAAGTTTCGGGTGGCGGATTCGGCCGAAAATTCTCTGTCAGGCACGTGAACGGAACTTAAGAGTAAACTGCTCTCCGGAAGCTGTATTAGATATCACAATAATTTGCCTAATTTGAGCGAAGAATCGATGGCCGAATAAACTGGTGTGAGGGAGCAGGCGCGGTCACCACAAGGCAACCACAAGAGTATGTTCTCGACGCTAGACTGGTACAAAATCACGCTAGAATTCGACTGCTAGCGAGCTGCGGACGAATGTGATCAAATGACCACCGCCAAGATTCCGAGTTCCCATATCCGTCAGTACAAGGAGGGACGCTCAGTCTTGTTCTCTCGGGGAAATCGAGGCCCGAATACCCGAGTCGAGCGAAGCTCAGGTCGCTGAGAACAATAATCATACCCCCTATCAGCAGCTTAACAACATCGCGCCAGGATCAGATAGCGACCAGATCGAGAGTTTCCACGAAGGTTCGCTCGCTAGCCGCTCAAGCGCCACGGGAATCTCTCTCAGCCTCTGTCGCGACGAGAACGAAAACAGCGACAAACATTTGCGCCGCAATCGCTGAGAGACGGTGAGTAGACTCGCTTGCGTTAAGAGAGCCAGATGGGAACGCTGAGTGATGTTACACTGTTGTCTACGGCGATAATGCATATGTTGAGCTGGAAGAGTTCCCTCTGAATCGTCTAGATGAATCTACTCAAGCTAAGTTATCGAGTTACTCGGTTGCTGAGCACCAAGCACATCCATGCGGCTTCCGACACATCCCCGCTGGGACGCGGTTTCGCGATTGAGCCGCAAGCAGAAAATGAAGACCAGGATCTTCTGCCGAAGCCGGTGATAACCCGCGTGGATCGGATCAACGAGACAACGCTGTGTGTGAACTTTTCAGACAGTACTCGCTGCAGTTTCAATACTGTGTGGGTGAGTGCTAGAAATACATGAATGAACTTCTGGTCGAATCCTGGTTGATTGAAAGCTCTGGTGCTCCCGTTTCCTTCTCATGAGTGCTCCAAATGTGCGGGACACCCAATGGTGGACGGAGTCCTCCCCTGGGAGGGATTTCCCAGCTGCGACGAATCATTCTCACAGAGGCTGATGAATACCCACCTCAGATCACTCATGGTATTGCAATCTCTTCCGTCCCCTTCCGGAGCCTCTGGGAACCTTCGACGAGGCTGCTCGGGAGGACGAGCGGCCGAAGATTATTGGAGCTGATTGGATGGGGACTCCCTGGAAAAATTGTGAAGCTGAGAAGCCGAGGGGACTATATGGATTGCGGGTAGAGCTCTATTCGTAATGATCAATCCCTCGGACTGAGGAGCTTCTAGCCTCACCGGAGGAGCGAATCGATCGACTGCGCATCCATGATTCGCATTAGCCTCACTAATGTCTGTCAGCCGCATATCTATTCCGTATAGTCGTAGACGAAAATATGGACTATGTATGAATGTAGGACAGCGATATCGGAGACGGGTCGATTTGCTTCAAACCGACTGAGCATTTTCCAGCTTCGGGATTCATGTCGATGTCCTCTATGTGTCCATCCTCTTACCCACGGGAGGAAAGTGGATTGCACCCAGTATAGCCCGGAATTGAATCCAATATCATGGTCGCTGAAGGACTCAAGCGTACTCGAAATTTCTTGGCCGCGTGAAACGACGAATGTCCGAGCGAACGATGGCCAGCATACGAGTAGTTTTTCGTCAGAATGGTGAGCCTCGCAGGATTATGAGGGAAATCTATCACGTATCAGATGCTGCCTAAGTTTTGTTCGCCCCCCGTAGCATACCAGAGAAAGATGTTGACAAATCTTTTACCGACACATAGTATAGCTACCAGCGCCCATGTGAGCGGGACTGCTTTTCGCTTACATCGTACCTTCCACGCAGGCTTTATCAGTTCAGACCCCTATTCGAACGATCTGAAACAACACCTCCAGAGATCACCGAGATAAAAGACGAAACATACGTGCCGCGAGCATCGATTATTCTTTGGAACCGAGAAACCTTCGAGGAGGATCCTCCGGAAGTTAGTTTCGGAGATTTCATGAGCCTGCGCTCAGGTCTGAAACAAGTACTGAAGAACGTCACGAAGTTTGGTTTCTGTCTCTTGAAAGGTTTGTGCTCCCACACTGTCTCTCTCCGGGCCTAACATCCTCTTGATGTCGAATCGGAGACTACCTCCGACTGATAGTGAGAGTCGATCCGAAGAATTCGAGATGAGACTTCCATCCAAGTCCATCGGACGATCCCTGTCAGAGTACAAACCCCTGGCACTCTATACGTCATCGGGCGGGAGAACCCCCTTCAGCCAGACAGGATTTCATTCGCTGAGACCTTTCCAATGGTTTTGAAGATGTGCCGGTCCAAGAAAATGAGGTGTCTAAGATCGCCGTGCGCATGGGCTACGTGCGAGAGATTGGTTGCGGTAGGACGTTCTCCATCGGATCCCCGAGAAAACAGCATCAGAGGGAACAACCGTCTGCGGCTCCGACCACAAACAATCTCAACAGTCAAGCTTATCGGGAATGGTCTCCTGGGGTGCAGCTGCTACATTGTATTCGGAACGACAACCAGACAATGAAGGAATCGGCCGCGATCCATGAGTTCATCGATGGATTCGCGGCTGCTCAATGGCTCCGCTACCATGATCCGAGCTCTTTCGATATTCTCACGCGGACAGCGATAACCTTCAGTTTCCTCGATATCGAGCGTGACGTGAGTACAGCAGCTCTAATGGGATTGATGCTCGGAAGCATCCGATGTGAATTCTACCTTGAATTGTCTTCGTTTGCAGAGATGGCATCGCGAAACAAATCCGATCATATCTTTGGACTCACGCGGTCAAATTCGAGAAGTACATTACAGCACGCTTTCGATGCGACCTCCGCTGCTTCCGACAACGCAGATGAACCTCTTCTACAACGCGTATCGACTGCTGTCGAAGCGCTTGCGAGACACGACGCTGGCGTTCACTATCCAGATGCAGCCCGGAGATTTGGTGATTTTCAACAATCGTCGAATAATTGAGCGCGGGACGGGAGATCTAGAGTCATCTTGTGATGTTTTCATGCAAGGTTGTTATATGGACGCTTCAGAAATCCTAGCCTGCTACGAGAAGATGAAGAAAGACGATGCTATCGATGATCGCGATCATTGAATCTTTATACAATCCACCGTTCATACCTACTCTGGACAATAAACTGTATTTGCCATGGATCGATTGGCGTATCAAGGTTCGTATATCTTGCCCCTGATCGATCAGACTCACAGAGAATCTGGATCTCTTGTGCGTTGTGCGCTATCGGTCGCGCAACAATAGGAGACCAAAGTTTCCCCCACGTACGAGTGAATCAGGGCTGTCCTCATCGAGGTGAATGTACCGACGGCGAAACCCAACGCGCTTTTGGTAGAGCCCTGGCTGAGCCTTGAAAACTCCCCACAACCTACGTTCGAGCTCCCCGATCCGACTAATCCTCGATCGAAGGAGCGGTGCGATATGTATTCCTGAGGGAAAACCCAAACGCGTTTGCGTACCTTTGGCGACCGCCGGCTTCGTATATCCTCCGCTCTCACTTGTCAGAAACTGTCCCGATCGGGCAACGGCACGCGAGTATACACGGATATACAGTATAAGCTCGGTACTACGAACACGGAGGGACCGACGAAACTGGTTCGTTGTACCGAGTTTTCGCTGTAACGAATGCCGCTCAACACTATCCTTATGGCGAGCTGGCTAAAGGAGGAGAAATTCCTTGTTCGTTGTACGGAGAAATTCGTTGTAATGGGGGTCGTTATAACGAGCTTTTACTGTATGTACATATGATACTTTCCGCTCGACTATGCGGGTTATCCGGCGCGGGTGGCTCGGAGTCGCTCGGGACAGCAAGGAGAGATTCCCGAATAGTGGTGCCGATCGAAAGTTTGGAGACTGACTCAGCATCGGATAATGGATGTAGCTTGGGGAAACTTCGCATTGTCGTCGGCGCCTGAAAGCTGGTTGCAACGTGGAGCTTGATCTCATGCTAGTGCAGCTCCTCCTCACGAGCCACGGAGGTCTTCCCAGCTCCCGACCAATGGAGGCATAGGAACCGTCCACGACATGGGAGCGGGTCCCAGAACACACCGAACTCTCTATGGCAGTGATTCCCAACCTTTTTCTTCCATGGTACCCCTAGGGGTTCCGCAGGGGTTCCGTAGGGGTTCCGCAGGTAGACTTTGGGGTTCCGCGCAATCCGCCACGGAACCCAAGGGTTCCGTGGAACCCCGGTTGGGAACCTCTGCTCTATGGAACCTGTAGCTTGTCACAGTAATCGCCGAGGTTCTCGTGCTCGGGGGTCCAAAGAGCTTCCGATCTTGACCCTGCAGCTCCGAGCTTTTCGAAGTTCACTGAAACCTGTCTAATCCAGGCCATCGACAGGGTGGTGGAATGGTGCTTCATCAACGGCATGAGATTATCCTATCACTGTCCGGTCGTCCATTCAATTACACCATCGAGGGCGAGGTGGTCCCTGTAGCCGACCCTGCTTGCGACCTTGGCGTCCACATTCGTCTCAATCTTGATTTCCGAAACCACATTCATCAACTAGTCAAATCAGCCCAGATCATCACTAATACGATATTCCGCTGTCTGATCATCGGAACCCGATCTCTAAATCCGTCTCTTCACATCTCTCCTCATTCCAAAATCTCTCTACGGCGCCCGATCTGGAATCCATCTCACACACAGCTCGGAGCCACCATAAATAGCGTGGAGAGAAGATTCCTACGCAGACTTAAACTTAGGTGTCAATCCAACACGGATTGTATGCCTCTACAAACGCTCACTTACCTCCTTAGCAGATCAGATCTTAAAGTTCTATTCCAGCTGTACCGCGCTGATCCCCTTCACCATTTCTTCGATATCCAATCCAACAACCTCCGAAATAAACTCAGCATCCAGCCTAAATCCATCGCCTGAACGGAGAGGAACAATCAGTTATTTTCTCGGAGAATTTCTCGGCACCTCCGTGGAGCTGATGTTCCAGCGATTTTCTCCCTGTGCGGCTATCACTCCACCCAAAGATGAATTACCCCAACATGGTCTGATTATGGAGGTGGTCTTTATCTCAGGTTACACCGTACGTACGTGAAAGTTCAACCCAGAACTGAGCAAAAAACATAGATATCAATGGGGCTTCGGAAAGATCGGACCGGGAACTAGGAGTCTCAAAATCTTCCTCATCACAATCGGTAACGATCTCTAGTCCCAAGAACTTCATCAGGCAGTCCCAGATTCAAGTCCCGGGACCGGACTTCCTGAGGTCGCGAATCGAGACCATTGCCTCCAGCCTCTAATGGAGGGATATTTGATATAGAGGACCGGCGAATATCATCTCACCGTAGTACTGTAAAAAGTCCTCTCCCCCCTCGCCGAACAGAGGATGGTTGAGGGAGAGGAGGAGCACCGCCAAGAGCATCTGCAGCCGTTTCATCAGCATGGATGGATGGGGCAGAACAAGAAGTAGGAGAGGAAATATCGGTCTAAGAAACCGACATGCAGACTGGTCGTCGGCGGCCGCTGCGGTAGCAGCCGCAGCAACAACAACAAACTTGTGTCGAAGAGTTCGATTGTTGTCACGGTAAATTTATCTCGGAGTTGGGAAGCCAACAAGATGAGCTCGTGGCTTGGCTCAGCTCAGTTCTTCGTACTTTCTATCGTAGTTGTACTGTATGAATTCGCCTCGGCCCGACGGAGATTGGGCACTGATCTCAGTTTGTGGATTGATGAACAGCAAGTCAGAGAGTTCGGCGGTAATTGAATTACGTATAATCTGTTATTATTGAGAAGTACCCTGCTAGAGTTCACGACGGTAGACATAGAAGGCGGTACTGGACTTGGGTCCAGATTCTCCGCGTGGAGATGGAATTCTTATTGGCTCGCTGAGCGCTTGCGGATTTCATGATGCTTGGATAAGCGGACTTTTCGTGCTGCCTTCGGGAGCCAAGGCGCAGATCGGAAATTCTCGCCACACGCTCGTACAAGATCCCTCTTGGATGACATGTTATATCTATGATGATTTGAGCGAGGACCAAGGAACGAGCGAATTCAAGGGGCGTCCGGCTTCCAAGGTCGCAGGAATCGCGTGTGTCTCCTCCTGAGACGAACTTACGGCTCACTTGGAACTCTTGCCCGGGGATGAATTTTGCAAAACTGCATCTGCCCATGAGGATTCGAGCTCATGAATGAGCTCGATGAAGATTCTTGATGACTTGAGAATGAGAAATCCGACTGTAGGTTTGAATGAGCTCCCCGCTTTCCCAGGGTATGGCCGCATCTCCATCATACACGACGGACATACGGAGATGTTCCTGCAAGAGCCCGGTTTCGAGAGCTCTCTCCCGATAATTCCAGAACGCGTTAACTCAGTCAACTTTACGTGGCGATCGAGCGAGAAGAAAACATACTTCTATGAGATATTCGACTTGGATTCATACGATCGTTCAGTGCTGAACGCGCCAACCATCTCGATGCCTCTGCAGGGTCTCGTGCCCAGGAACACGACAGGTAGGTAAGCTATTTGGAGTTCCCATTGCAAGAGCGGAGCACTAGAAATTCGCGAGACCTGGCTGGACTAGACTTATTGCTAGTTTCACTCCATGCCTTGGAACTTCTCCAGGTATAAGACCCCGTAAACATGGAATTCAACCCTTCGATAGCTCATTGCCCGCCTGATTTCTTTTCATCAGTTTTCACGGTGAATATGGAATGCGTCCCGAATAATACCGGGAGCTCGGACCTCTCCATGGCGTTCACGATCCGTACGGTAGACATGAAACCACTCAAGGGGATGCCGATAAAGTTCAGACTCCGTAAAGAATGCCTCAATAATGGTGAGCGATTGCGGATGCTTTACTCCATTTTTCTTCGTGATCTTCGATTCCGTAAGAGATGAGATAACGAAGATACGAGAATATTCTCGGAGGAGGCATTGACTCAAATTTTTTTCGCAGTGCCGGATTCCTCTTGCGCTGAGAGGTGCGCCAACGGAGGCGTGTGCGACTCGAGAAATATCTGCCGCTGTGAGCGGCAATACATGGGCAGGTTCTGTGAGATCCCTATCTGCTACCCTGCCTGTCTGAACGAGGGTCGGTGTGTCGCGCCCGGCGTTTGCGAATGCGTCGGCGGATACATCGGAAATGTCTGCGAAGGAGGTGAGTATTGCGCATGAGCTTGAGGGAGTCGCCTGCGTCCTCGGGAACAGACGAGCGTGATTTATAGTATGCTGACTCGGGGAAGGAATCAGTTGAGCGACGGAGGTCATCGACTGTTATGTTCTGAGAGGACTATTCATATTTATTGAAAACGTTATTCACTCTAAACTCGCTCAGCGATTGCGATCGCTATTTTACATCCTGTTTTTATTGCACACGTTGCGATCGAGTATAGCGGAGCGTCCATTCCCTCATGCTCGATTCCCAGGTCGTGATGATGTTCTTCGTCGTCGCGACACTTTTTTATTATCTGTAAGGGGTGGGTCAGATATAAGTCTTGCGAATACTTCCAAGCCTGGGTCATCCCGCCTGCCATTTATCGAACGAAAGCGAACCTCCAACAGCTCCTTGCCCTCATCGGAATCATCCACTTCGAGCGCTTTCATTTGGGTGTCGTAATGCTCCATGATCACTGTTTCCACGGCTATAGTACAAGCCATTGCCATCTTTTCTCCGAGCAGAGCCGATCCCGCTCCGAGGGCGAAACCTGGAAATTATCTCCTAACTTTCATTCCGCGAGCACTGGCGCCGCTGACCAAGTCCCAACGTCGATTCCGATTCATCCAATCTTGAGCTCACGATCTTACCGGCCACGTTCCAAATGGGCAGGAGAGCACTGGGTCGAGTTCTATGTCTGTCGATCAGATCATTGAACAGCCGCAAATGTTCTTTTTCTTGCTCCCACATGTGCTGAATGGTCTCACCGGCTCCTGAATTTGCTAATATCGTCATTTGGCCGGCGTAAATTCTATCCGCCCCGTATTCCCCTGCATGATCGACTCTGATAACTCGGTCGAACAATTCTCTACGTTTCTCTTGTTGGTGCCGCGCGACGGCAGCGAAGCTCCGGGCTCTAAAGGGGGGTAGGCTCTGAGCAGAGAAAAGAGAACTTCGTAGCACCTGGGACAGCATCTTGTTAACCTGGAAACGAATTCCATGGCGCATTAGAATCCATCTTAATCGAACATTCTTCACTCACAGGGATCTGCGAGCTTCCGTGTTTGAACGGGGGAAAGTGCGTACAGAAAGATATTTGTCAGTGTGGACGCGGTTACTTCGGCAAACGCTGCGAGTTCAGCAAATGCGCTATACCCTGTCAGAACGGTGGGCACTGCATCGGTTACAACAGATGTCGCTGCTCTAGACGATTCGGCGGTTATCAATGCGAGATGGTCGTCGGCAGAGAACCCTCGAGACGTGAGTAATAGTATCGGCGAGAGATAGACGCTGGATCGTATGCCAAGATAATGCACAATCGTTCATTTGAGTCCGCCGGATTCCGGATTAAGTATTCCCCTTGGGATTCCCACTAGGGCCACACCCCCGGAAGGAGAGGAAGGACTTGTTTGTTTGATGGGTTATTTGAATGTTTCATTGTTGGAGAGTTTCTGTGGTCTTTGCGCAAACTCATATATTCTACGTACTGTTACCATAAATAAAGTATATATTGGGTATGACGAAGCCATTGCTTTCGATCTAATGATTGTTGCATTTTCGATGTCTAAGCTGCTTCTATCGAGCGAAGATTCCTCGCCAGAATTATAACCATCACTCATGTTCTCGCTTCGAGATACGTGGTTGTATAGCAGCATCATGGTGCGCGTCTCGTTCCTCCCTTGAGCGTCCAGCTCGAGAATTCCGGTCACTCGTCCCCAGATCGCTACAAAAGTTTCCCTCATCCCCGGGGAGCCTGCAAACTTCTGTGATCACTGCAGGAATCTCGGCGCGGATTCGGGTCAATTCTGTTTCCAGATAGTGAGTGTGCGATTGTCCGAAAACCCGAAAGATATTGCAGAGCCATGCTGAGATTCGGTGGCTCCCGGATACAGGTGGCCGAATGTTCGACTCTGCTCAAGCCACGGCAGGGTCGTAGATTTCCAGCATCTGCCCTTGTGTGTCACGCTAGATAAGAAACGAGTTTCGAGCTTCGAGATGGACGTCTGCATATTTATTTTACCGCAACGATGTCATCCGAGGTAGACATGTGCTCTAGAGATCAATCCTTCATTTCATTCCGTAGGCATGACTGTAATTGTTGGGCGTTTCGTACGTCTCGTATGCGAATTCCTCGTCTTCATCGCTGCGACTCACAGAACAAGCTATGTAGTCGATTTCCAGCTCAAAAGGACCAGAAGTCTTATCCATGAGAGCTATGCCAATTTTCGTGATGTATCTCGGGTCGATGCGATTTTGTTTGTCTTGGATCGATCCTTTATAAGAAATCATAAACTTCGAGAAAGGGATCCGCGTTATCTGCCAGTACGGGCCTCCCCTGGTGTAGAGCGGATACTGGTACAGAAGATGCATGGTGAGATCGTCCTCTTCGCACATGTGTAGGTTGATGCTGTAGTGACGTCCGTCACCGCGGCATCTAATGACTAGATGCGTCCAGTCACCCCAATCCAAGTATACCTTCCGCTGGAAACTCTTCGTTTTCGGGAAGCTTTGGAGAACAGCGATACCGGCTCTTTTCGTGACTCCATCGCGAGGAACACGGGTGTCTAGAACCCCTCTGAACAGTCCGGATCCTTGCCGGGTGCCAACGAACTCGGCCTTAGAGAAACCTTGATTCCAATCACTGTCAGTTATGGTGTAGAAAAGGTCCCTGTCCTTCTGTTCTCTGAAGAGGTACTGCGGCACGACTTCCCCGAGGTGATAGCGCGCTCTATCGAGATGCAGCTTCTCCTTCCATTCGTCGGCAGCTCGTTCGCACTCCTTCACAAATATTTTGCTTCCGTTCCATAGATGCCATAGATTGCCATGGGGGTCTTCGCGATCTCGTCGGGGGTCAGGATTCCAGAAACAATGCCTTTTTGGTTGGTAAAAATAAGGAAGCAGTGCATTGCGCTGAACGAAGTTTCGGAGAGCTCGAGACATTCTGTGGAGAACAACGCCACATGAGCTATCTAGACTTCGCCTACAAGAAATTCCAACCTCCGCAAACCGAAATTCTAGCGAATTAATTCGGCACAGTCGGCTCCTTCGGCTATCCAAAATGCGGGCGAAATGCCCGGCGACACCTCGTCCTGGACTTCCGAAGCTCCCTTTGCACACGAAATTCCGATGCGCGGGATCGGTCCGACTCCCTATCGATTCCGACGCGAGATCGCTCGAGCGGGGAATCTTTAGCTCTCATGATTTCTCATTCAGAGCATCGCGCTACGGTCGTTCTCGAAAGAGACGCACTCTCAGAAGTTTCCGACGGGCGATCGATATTCGCGAGGTAGCGAGGCGCGAGTCAGCTTCAAACCTCGTCCGAAGCAGTAGAGGAAACTCCCCGATAAACGCTGATTCCGTCGGAGTGGAGCTTATGTAATACATTGAGTACCGTGTTTACTCCAATAAGAGTGAGGACGATGCGTGCGCCGCCCTTGAGCAGGACTGAATCTTGTCACTCACCTGTCCTCAAATGTCGGCTCCGGCTACCAGCAGAATTCCGTCAGGACTCCGTTTCTTGTAATGCGAGCGGATATGAAGTTCACATGAGAACGGATGCGACCAGCGCGAAATGCATGAATTCCTCCCGCGTCAGCCGATCTGATCCTCCTGACTCCTGAAGGCTCGTGCGTAGCGCGACGACCGTCGATTATTTTCTGTCTAGGGTATTGAGCAGACGACGCTCACATCGCTCATCATCACGATCTCCGATTTCCGCAGTGAGGACAGGAATTCGAGTATGTATTATATAGGACACTGAGTGAGTCGATCTCATATCGAGCCCAGTCAGCTGAGAGAGCTTCTCAAATCAGCTGAGTGAGAGGGCTTCTGCATCCGGATCCGGAGTTTCCACCGATCTGGGATCACGCGCCAGACGGTGTGTGCAGGTCGACTGTCAGCTCGCTAGCGACTAGCGATCCGCCGTTTAAAAGATACTTATACTCTTACCTCTTACTCCTCTAGTGTGTGTTGTTGTTTCGTCGTGGTTCTGCTACTGCTGCTGATGGAGAAAGAGGAGACCTGTTGTTGTTTTTCTAGCGACGACGACGATAGGTGGTGGTGCTGCTGGAGAAACACCTTCAACAAAACGTTGCAGAAAACGATATTTTCTACCTTTTATAGTTATAACGATCGGTTCTATCGGGCCAGTATTTGGTCGAGCTTGGAACACTCCAAATTCGAGACCAGAAGAACGAATGGTTTGGGGGTAAGTCGCTGTTGAGTTGGACCAGTGGGAGATTCTGTGCGAAACTTCCTGACTGGTGCCAACATCAGTGGTCGCGGTGCTGGTGTCGGTAGCAGCAGTATCAGCATCGCTCTAAGGATGCTATCTGATGGACGAACTTGGCGGAATGCGGGTCTTCGGAGTTGAAAGGCATTGAGTTTGTTTTCTTCTTCGATTATTGCAGATGCCTTTTAATGCGAGGAAAAGCTACGCCTGCGATGCCGAGGACTGCAGACAGGTTAGAAGACCTATCACAGAAATTGATTTTCGATAATCTTATCGGATTTATAGCTTTGCGTTCTATCTCCCCTCGAACTTGACGCCTTCCTGCCGAAGGATCCAATCCGAAATTCTTGCGGATATTTCAGACGTTCAGCACCGCGGATAAGCTGAGTTCTCATAGGAAAACTCACAAAGTCCCGCTGCTAGTGCTTCCGTCTGCGGAACCTCAGAGATCAGAAGGTAAGGTGACGTAGATAAGAAGGGAGAGCCGGCTTCAATATCGGATTGCTCTGTGCGTGCGTGATATGTGAATCCCGCTGTCAGCTCCGAAAACTCTCGAAAATCCCGAACAATCATATGCGGGATACTTCACCTCGAGGAGCGATCAGAATACTTTGCGTGTCGTGTTCCGCTGTATTAGATTCCGTCAATGATCTGTATCGGCTATTCTATGTTCTGTCCAAGGAGCAGGCGATCGCCAATCGAGCACATCGGTCGGACATACAGACAAGCATGTGCGGGGAGTCCGGCAGACAGATAGGCAGGCGAATCCCGGGAAATAAATTCGAATCACTGGTTAGTTAATTCTAACCAGGGATTCGAATTCCAAGCCTTGCTTCGAAGCCGAGGCCTCCTTGAGGCTTGGAAGCACGGTTTCGCCCTGCGTGTGACGTTCGGTAATGACCTTGCTTCGGCTCCGGCTCCAACGATCAGGGAAGGTCTGGAGGGAGTGCGAAGGATTGAGTACACGCTTATCCCGATATAGACAGGTTCCCTCCTCGACATGACGTCCGCTAGAAATATTGACCGTCAAAGTTGATGGAGACTCGATTCGCGGATGTCGCAAACTCGGCCTTGTCCTCACATAGGAATAACCATATCAGTACGGGAGCCGGTCGGCTATCCAGGGTTTTCGTAAACTTTTGATCAGCTCCAAACACCCTCGCCTCTCAGCGACGTCGAACTATGATTTTCTTATCGATGCAGGTCCTCAGCCGGACGATACGCCTGCGAGATTCACCAAACTCATGGATGCAGCAGGCTTGGCGCAAGATCTCTCGAACCCTTTCGATGCTTCCTTCCGGAAAGCCGGGGAGAACCCTCCCCACATGAACTTGATCGATGCAGAAGCTCAAGCGGGGAATATAATTCCTCCTACAACTGCCGAAGTTCTTCAAGAGGTCGTTGAGCAGGAGCAACCCATGTGGAAAAGTGAGACCGGTGAATCGAGGGCTCCCGTAATCACTACGAGGTACTTGATAGGTCACCAGTCATCAAGGAATTCGATCGATCGGTGAAACTTGATTTCCCTCTTTTACGAATGATTCCCCCCACCCCCAGAACATCAGCACATCACCTCCTTCATGAGCTTCCCGAGAATGGCTCCCGAGGTCCTGCAATAGCAGTGAGCAACTTGGATCCAGTGACAATAAAGAACTCAGACTCGCCGCCTCCTTCGAGTCACAACCCAGTCAGTTTACTGGGACTGCCGTCAGTGGCCATCAATCACCAAATGATAGGTATGCTGCATGGAAACTCAAACCTTAACCTGAACAGGCACTTCACACCGCACTTCTCATCTCCGCCACTTGGCACGACTCACGACTCACGTGGTAGGTTTGCTGGTTGATTCCCTAACTGTCGATTCCATAATTCATGATTTCTTCCAATCATATATTCCTGGAATGAAAAGTTCTCGATTTCGTTGAGAATGCTGCATGCTCTCACTCGAGCTGTTCGAATGGTACCTTGGGGTGGCCAACTGCCTCCGGTGATGGCTCCGCGAAGAAAGCAAGGTTCACTTGCGTGAGACGCGGAGAGAAGAATGGAATGTCCCGAGGGGTCTTATCTCTTCCTTCGATCCGATCTCCAAACTCGGAGGCTCATTTTCTCCATCAGATCTCGATTTTCGGATCATGACTGTTCGATGCGATAGAGATCGACGATCTCGGGTACTCCACCTCGACTCATGGGTCCTCGTTCCTCGGCTGACCGATTCGATTCTCCGCGAGGGGCAATTAATTTCCGTAGCATAACTCAAATCGAATTCGAAAATTATTTTCAGGTCAACCGCTGATGATGCTTCCCGAGGCTCCAGCTGGACCGCATCATTCGTCTGCAACGCGCGGAGGAATGTGAGAATCCTGACTGAAGTACCTTTCTCTCGTGGTCTTTTCGAGCATGTTCTGGCATCTGAACTGAGTTCGACGTTTCGTTTCCCAGGAAGCGCAAAAGCGGTGGTGGTAGCAGTGACGATGAAGAGGAGCGGAAAAGAAAGTTCCGAGAGAATAACAAGCTTGCGGCTCAAAGGTTTTGATTTTTTTTTCTACTTTCCGTCTGTATTCTGTTGCTTCATTTTCCACAACTGAGTGCCTTTAGCGATGATTCCGTAAATTCCGTTATGTAGTGTCGTGCACGCGCTTGGGCGTGGGGAATTCACTTGAGGTTGAGTGTGTCTACTCGCGAGGCAGCTGCACTCGATGGACACTCTTCCCCGCTTGGAAGGGACAACTGCTCTCTAGTTCCCGAGCATCGAGACCTGTATGCCTGAAACTTGATCAGTCCGCGCATGACAGGCCTTGTCCGACACAGTACAGTTGAAACATCATCTGTCTCTATTGGCGACCAGATCATCATCCCACCGACAGGTGCTGCCTAGCTTTTGTGGAGACGTGCATTCCATTCCGTGGAAGGCCGCTACGAGGCTGCCCGAACGTGCTTCGGTTCCTCTCTCCGACATATACCTATGCGGGTTCCAAGTAGAGATTCATCTGTTTCCGTTCGCCTACTGGATCCATCGCCGACACTTCGGCGGTACACGACACTTTGAACTTCGGCCGTGTGGCTCAGCCCGAAAATATTCCAGATCTTCATCTCAATAGTTTCTGAGAGGCACATCGATACTTCGCGCGCATACCGCGGAAAAGCTGTCCTCTGTGTAGCTTTCAATGGCCGTGAATCCATGAGTTCTGCAGAAATCGGGCGTGATTCGACAGGCTCATGCGCATAAATGAAACGGAATCCAGCTTTCGAGTATGAGTCTCTTCATCGCATTCCCAACCTTATTCCAAACGTCAAACTAGCGACGAGTCCTGCTATCAGTTAAGAGCGCAACTGGCAGGCGTCTGTGGAGACCACAAAAATGGACCTCGTAGATCTGGTGACAAATCGTCGCTCGAAAACTCGCAGAACAGCCGCCCTGATCGCACCTTGCGTTTCATACCGAGCTTTAGTGATAGGTGATAGGTATCTCATGGCTCAGAGATCTTCATGAGCTGTGAGTATACCGTATCCTCGCTCGGGTGAATTGCCTACAACGAATTTTCTCAACTTTCCAGGTGTCGACAGCGGAAGAAGCAGGAAATCGAGGATACGCGAAAAGAGCGTGATCGGTTGAAGGAAGAAAATCAGAAATTGAGCGCCAAATTAGAACTCTGCCTACAGAACGAGGATAAGCTACGAGAACAATACGAAAAGCTCAAGATCGACTTCGCGGAACACGCGCAGTGCAATGTCACGCTGAAGAAGCGAGGCGTTATACAATACCCGAGTCTTTGAGAACACGGCAGAACTCGCGTGAATTGTTACATTTTCTCCATATCAATCGGCCTATTCCAATATCTCATGAATGGACTTTCCTCCCTTCGTGAGCCAGATTCTAAGTCTCTCAATCCGTCCAGTCGCCTATGTGCCGCAATGTCTGCCTCCGTTCGTTCGGATGAATGATCCCTGCCCGACCGGATCGATACTTCTTACAAACGTGGTGATGATTGCTCGCCGATCGGATGAAACAGGCGGCTGTATACGTGCTGGATGGCGTAAATGGATGCCGACTGGATCAATTAGGGTAAAGTACGAATGCAATTGTCGAGTCTAAGTCATGAAATGCGAATCGCCGTACTCGAGGTTTCTGAGGGGTACACGATTAGCGACCAGCAATTCGAGTAGATAGACACTCGCAATAAGTTTTCTTTTGAAGACTTCATCTTGTTGTTTCGAGTATATATCATTTCTACGATGTACATATTTATACATGATTCGTCACGGTGCGACGAAGATCGGGGATGGCGCATCAGTCCGAGCGACCTGACCTCATCTCCTGTCCCCTGGGGTAAGGCAATATTATTAGGCGAGATGAGGCTCCTCCGGATAGCTGTCTCGCCTGCAGATCGTTAATCCCGTTACGCGTGCATTCGGTACTCGTGAGAATATGGATGAATGCATGTTCGGGGACCCGTTGTATTCTTTCCTAGAGGAGCTGCTCCGGGAATCCGACATGAATTTTGGATGCAATCTTGATTCTTGGAAACAGATTCATATATATATATACACATATATATATATATATATATATACATACACACGGAGTTGTTTACAATTGAGTACCTCGGACAACACGCTCACACCCGAGAGCACCTTCCGTGGTGGCCTCAGGCATACCGTGACTCGCGCTCGGAGCTGATTTCACAAGGGATGAATATCATCCACCATGCATCATGTTACAAGAAGAAAACCGACAACTTGGCGAATCAGTCAGCGCTAGATATTATATTCATCCACAGCTATCTATCTACATATCTATCCTTGAACTCGAGTAGAAGCCATATACATCGAATTTGATATATCGGACTAATCATGACTTTGTACCATATCTGTTTCAATTTGTAGTTTGTTCAGCTATCCGATATCTCGATTGTACAGGAGAAGCTATTACTACCTTAATATACATGGAGATTGTTACGGAAAACCAGATCCCACTCGCTTTCTGAATTCCACTCCCACGGGGTACGATTGGTGTGATCTGCGCTCAATGTTCTTCTGGTGAGTGAAATGCTGATCCACATCATCCGTTACCATTGCTGTTAGGAAGTACTCTATGCGATTCGCGAATTGGGAGCCGCGATTCCCTTTCAACAGGCTCATTCATACGAATGAATCTCTGAAGTGGACTGTGGACTAGTCTCAGAAAGCATCGTACCGCCAAACGGCCAACGAATATAGGTGTCGTATGGTGGAATGACGTTATCTGGGGTGATGTTCGGTCCCGAGTCTCGACTCTCTATCGAGAAAATGGAAGTCTCGAGAAAGACGCTTATGGCAACCAAATCCTTCGGAGCAGGGTCATCCAGAGGCGGTGGTGCTCGGGGAGCCTATAGTGGAGCGCCCGAGATGCCGCAAGCATTTGGAGTCTCGACGACTTCATTTACACGTCGTTTTTGTCGTGACCCTCCCCATATTGCATGCCGAACTTCCGCGCGGAGGCTGTCTCTGTGCAGAACGGAACTCCCCATTGTTAATAGACGAAATTCGCAGTAGAATCGATATCCAATCGATTCCATGAGGCGCCCTTACGATGCAACGTTCACTGGCAAACCTCGAATGACTGCAACATCGTTTTCTGCCGACGTAGCGAGGCACTCCGGATTGCCGCGGCGGCCCGGAAAAGCGTTCAAAGCCGCGAGAGGTGGGAGGCTCACTCAGCTTCATGGATGTACTCGGTACCTACATCCGAACCCAAATTCAGACAGATGAAGGGAGAGACCACGCTCGTGGATTTCGCCGTCCTTCAAGGATCATTTCTGCTGCGAAAGGACGACTTCCGCTCCGCTTCCCTTGAAGCCGTCACGTGCGGCTCGTGGTTCCGTGAGAGAAGCGACCGACGAGCTACGAGGTCCGTCCTTTGGACCAGTGGCGGCGCCAGCGGGGAGCTTCACAAGCTATAGCTTCCCAACCCTCTGGAATCGGGGAGCTCAGCCTCCCAAGAATTTTCAGGGCATGCATTCCATCAGTCTCGGAGTATTCGGACTGCTGCTGTCGATGATGCCGCGTTGAATTCCGCAGAGCCACGAGAGCGTGAATCGCGAACAATCGCCTAGGAACACCACTCGCATCCAGCCGGATTGCGGGATTCCTCCTCCATGATCGGGAATATTCCACCGTATAGCTGACATCAACATCTGGACGCCAGCCGGGAACTTCCAAGCCCGTCGATTCCCGAATTTCCCTCGTGGGACGACTGTCAGGCTCTTATAACAAGGGAAGTCTCCGCTGGTTCAACTAAATAAATATGTATCAATGCTTGCGTCTACGCACGACAGATACTTTCAAGTGTACGAATGACTATAGCCTCATGAAAAAAAAATCGTTGTGCTTTCGAACGCTTCGACTTCCCGATTCGGAGGGGATGCTATATCCGAAAAATTCGAGCTTCCCAAAAAAATTGCTTGCGCCGCCGCTGCTTGGGACCACCCGTGGAAGACCTCCGTATCCTCTCCGGTGCCCTCAAAATCCTCGGACTCTGAAGAAGCACAGCGTCAACGACAAAAATTATTCATGTTTCGTGTCTCTCGAATATTTGTACAGCCCGGAACTTTTTTCACATCTCGATCTCATCGAAGCTTGAGGGCGGCGCCATTCTCACAGGAGTTTGCTGTTTCTTCTTCCGCCATACCGTGTACTTATCGAGCGCTGCAGCGATCATGGATTGCATATGAATGGTCACCTCGCTATTTTGACAATTCTTAGCGACATTATCTCGGAATGGGATGAACCTTCGGAAACGGAAGTTCTCCACAGAGGTTTTGGAATTCTCTAATTTCTTCTCAAGTTCTTTGGTCGTAACGGGAAAACAATGCCAGAAATGTCGAAGAAGCTCATTCAGTTCCATCTGTACGTGGATCAATTCCCGATGCACGGCGTCCGGTAATGTACCTTTCACGCCACCTATCTGAGCTCCAGAGGTTTTCATCAACGATCCGCCAGGGCTCAGATCTCCCAGAGCCGTCAATGCCGATGACGAAGAGAGAGTCTTTGAAGGATTCAGTTTCCAGTGATTGACATCGCTTGATATAGCATTCAAACAGCTCTCGGCCTCCGCTAAGGGAAGCTGACCCACGGGATCGGCTACCGGTCCCGTTTGATACTTATCTGGCTTCTCTGCAATAGAATACTTGGATTAGTGGCAGCATCTCGATCAATCTTTATGGGCAGTATGAGCTTCTCGCCTATCGTTAAACGTGGCTCACTTAGGTCCAAGTTCACTCCCGCAGATTGGCCTTTTTTGAGATCCGGATAGCTGAGCTTCTCTGTGAGCATATTCTTCTTGTTCTCGTTACTTTGCATCTTGTTTGCAGTATTCCTCGACGATTTCACAACCATAAGCGAGTGATGATTGAATCGTCTGATCAGAGCTTGGTTTGGTGTTAGCTTGGAGTTGTCCACTGCCAGGGGAAGTGATGCAAGATCAGAGAAGTCGGTATCCGCATGCAGACGGAGGTCGAACAGCGGGTTGGAGAGTTCGCCGGAAACTGCTGTTTTGAGATCGTTTTCGTCTTGCCTCGAACACTCAGCGAACAAGTCCTTGCTCCCGAGAGTCAATCTATCCCTATGGAAGTAATGAGACTGGAAGAAAGCTGTCCAGAACTCTGACTCGCTCATTCGGTGGGGCACGTAATCTTGGTATTTTGATTCAACGGCTGGATAGGTCTTGAAGATATTGTCTATCGTATCCGTAGTCAGATTGTATTTGTAACCTGCCCCGCCATCACTAGCCTCGGGCTTCACGTCGACAAGGAAGGAGCCAGTAACCCCGATCGACTGTGCCGATTCTTTCTTTGGCATGTAGGTCTGCCAGAATTTGTCAGCCGTGATTATCTTGCCAACAACTAGATTGGTGTACAGTTCGAATAGCTTCGGATCATCCTGCAGTACTCTCTGCTTCTCCTCGAGATCGTTCGAGATCTTCTTCTTGAATTTCGGGAGTAACTGCATCAGTAGGTCTTTCACTTGATTTCGGCTCGCGATCTGAGCTTGCTGTCCCTCGGGATTCACGAATCTGAACGTTGTCGACTCATTGTTGTTCAGAACTACTTGTAGCTGCACTTTCGCCTTGCCTTCCGACGAGATCTTCTGCATTTTTATGTCGGCATAATTGTGTGAGATGGCCAAAACCTGCAACCCGACCCGATATCAGCTCTGGTGCCATTGGCGGAAATATATCATTTCAATGAAATTTCCAGGAGACGAATATCGCTCATCTCAGTCGGCATTTTCCACGATTCCGCCACTCACCTCCTTCCCGTCCGGCATCCAGGCGACTCTCGACGCCATGATATACAGAGCTCCGTCATGTTTCTTGTGTCGGACATTATTCATGACGAGTAGGACATCCTCGGATGACGTTCCCATCTCCCGTACTTGAGCGGTCGCTGAACGACGATACCACTTCTCGAGCATCAGCGGAGCACCGAAGAAGCTTGATTTCGCATCGTGGGGAAAGAGTGGAGGCACCACCGATACATAAGACAGAATCGAAGCGTGTGTGGGTTCCCCTTGAGCTCGATGTCGCGCGCGATCTTCGCTTATTCATTTCCCGAAAATCTAGTCGAGCTCGCACCATGATACGTCGCCAGATTTCGGTCAAAGATGGTTGGAGCTCGATGGGTCCACAAGGGTGTCCGACACGATTCTGGATGCGCGGGGTTAGTTTCTCCGATGGCCTCCCGACAGCTCATTACCATATCTCCGCTTCCAAGCCGGAAGCCTCCAACGGGGCTTCGATGCGATCGAGGTACCGAGCTTCAGACCTCCGGGGGACCGTCGTTGAGCGAGAATCACGAAACGATGCTGAATATAGGAGATGGCGTTCTCCGTCCCGCATGGAGTTGCCCTCAGGCCTCTTGAGCTCGAGTCGAAGTCGGGAGATCTGATCGCTTGACGACTTTCCTAAGAGTAGTCGACCATCCGACAGAGGATAGAGTATTTCGGTACCCTATGCGGTCCTCAATCCTGCTCGATCAATGGAAAAGTCAGGGACGCATGGTCGTCGGTCGTCGCCGGTGCCGCCGTCAGCCTTCCGCCGTCAAATTAGGAAAGGAAGGAGGAGGGGAGCCCCTTGTCGACGATGAAAGGAGGGATTTTAGTCCTTAAACATCTTACGGGGCTGCGGAAGTTTTCAATGGTAGCCTGTCTCGGAAGACCTCACCCACCTTACTGGGACCTAACCCACCTGAAGCGGCTGCGGTCTGCGCATTAAAGGCGGCGAATCGTTGTTTTCCGTTCCCATGTCCAACATCTCCGTCAACTGCCACGAGTCAGCTCTGAAATCGGAGAAGGTACCTACAACTTGATTCCCAGACGGCATCGTAGTTGGGGAAACGCTGCGATCGAGTCCGTGAGCGGTGAGTGCGGGCCAGTCTGTCGCTAGATTTTGCTATCGCAGAGATCGATATCGTCCAGTCGTAGTGCGTGCTGCGGTCTGCGGTCCCGACCTGAGCGAGACTTTTCCAGATCGTTACGGGTCGTCCAGGCAGACGAATGAGGCACACCAAGCACTGGAAGCCGAGGAGGTCGAAAAAGGAGAAAGAGGATAGAAAAAAGACGTTGAAGATATGAATCGCAAGATGCAAACTCTGGTCATCCCGACTCTCGTAGCTGTGGCTGTTCTCATAGGGGCTTTCATTCTACTTAAAACACAAAAACCTTCTCATTATTGAACGCTCTCCCCCCTCAATAAAGCTAGAAGATGAAAACTCTTCCTCGACTTCCGAGCTCGGAGGGTGTGATGTGGATCGAATATTCGAATTTTCAGCGACTCAATGCCACGTCAGAGGTCAGAGATTAGCTTCCACATCACGAGCTGCGGCACGCCCCCTCTCTCACAACTGGCTGTAAGGACATGAAACATTGTTTCGAGCGTAGTAGTTTCCTCGTCGCGGGCAATGGCCGGAGAGGGATTATCGGGAGGGGTAATGGGGATTCGGTGGACCTGGACCCGATCAGTCAGAGAGTCAGAGAGAGTGCCCGCCGTCGTAGATCGAAGCTCGACGCAAGACCCTCACTCAGCTCCAAGGAACTGATGCCTGACGACAGAGGAGGAAATCGCAACGAATCGCACATTCCATCAGAATCAATTGGAATCCGAGAGGGAAGGGGGTCAGTGGTGCCCGACGGAGCGGCCTCCTGTGGCGCCGAGTTGAGCAGCGTGTCGACTCCCGTCTCTGGATTTTCGACCACCACTCCCTCTTCTCGACCTTTGACTTAAGTCAGCGCTTGATTGAGAGACGTCTACCGATAATTCGATATTCGAGGAGTTCCCAGACATCGCTCAAACCACGGCAACTCCATGAGTGTGACCTCGGTGAGGAAGATGCTGACCAATTTCATTGTGGTGCTCAGCTTGGATCGAAGCCTGAGCATCACCATAAAATCGACACGCCTGTTCCGCTTGAGCACACTGATGCGAGACAAAGGGCGAGGCGGATCGCACATCGCACCGATTCCAGCGCTGGAGGACTGGAGGATAAACCTAAAAAATGAGCACTCATATACGCGGAAACGGTGTATATTGGTTGATTTATTAGATCGCGGAGCTTTAATCCGGCTGTTCAGAAGGTTCGATGATCTGCTGGTTCCCGTGCTCATCTTCTATGACAACTTGTTCTCCGGGTGCTATTGGGAGCGTAGCCTGTGTGCCATCAGCGTAGACAACTCTAAAATACTGCAAGCCCGTTTCGGATTGGGGGTACTCGACAGCAACGTTTGGCGGGATGTCGTGGATCTCGACAGTTTCAGTTTCTTCGAATCCTTTCAGATCTATCACGGTACCGTCGCTCACTTCCAAGGGTCCATCGCTTATTTCCACCTCAGTCGACGTCAATGCATCCTCTTCTCGACCCTCGTCGTGGATCTCGTCGTCGATTGCATGCACGTCCTCGTCATCGTAATCGATGTCATCCTCATGGAACTCGCGTTCTCTATCATTCCGCCTGACTTTGAGCAGCTCGGAGGCACGCTTCCTCTTGGAGCCACTCGGTGATTCGTCGTCGATTTCCGACGAGTTCTCTATCAGCTGCTTGATTTCCTCGGTCTGACGCCGTTTCTGTAGTATACTGAGAACTTTGTGGGTCACTGGAGGCAGAATTTTATCTGCCGCTTCAGGTGATTCTTTGTGAAAACGTACGATATGTTGCCAAGTTTTCGCCCTGCTCACGAAACCTTTATTGCATAAAGGACAACGCTGCTTGAAGGCGAACGTATGTTTCACGATTTCATGATCACTGCAGGACGCGACAGTGTGGAAAGTCGCTTCGCAGTACTGGCACTTGTGAGGCCTTTCACCAGAATGTAATCTCAAATGATAGGATAAATGATGAGGCTTGAAGGCTTTGTTGCAAACCGGACATCTATAGAATTCCTTGCCGGGATCGTTGTGGAAAACTATCCGATGCGCCATGAGGGTGGCTTCGAGATCGAATTGCTTGTTGCAAACATCGCAGCCGTAAACTTGATCTGTTTGTTGTCTGGTTTCTTTCTTGAACATAATGCCTTCTTCGATGTTCCTCTTGACGATGTGTTGTCTCTGCAGTCTGTACAAAGACGTTTTGAATGGATTATGCTTGAGCATATGCTTCAGGAGGTCCTTATAGCTCTCCGAGCCTTGATCGCAGATGTCGCATATGTATGGCATGGTATTCTTGTCGTGATTTCTATTTACATGGTCCAACATGGCTGTTTCGGTTTCAAAAACCTTGTTGCAGTGTATACAAACGACACCTGTATTCCGATCGTGTTGCTCTACATGGAGTTCTATCACGTCAGCATTCTCACGGTGGAATGTTCGATTACAGAACTGACAGATCCACCATCGGTCGTCGGGGCCGTGTTTCTCGTTTATGTGTTCCTGTATACCAGCCAGAGAGTCGTTTCCAACACCACACGCAGGGCAACGGAAAGCTTTCTCGTTCTCGATGTGCTCCTTCTGTCGATGAACCTGCATACCTTTCGAGCTGTACGAGCGGAACTCACAGAGAGTACAAAAAATCTCCTCCATGCCCAACTTTTCCAATTCATCCACTGAAAGCGAATCCTTGTGTTTCGTGACAAGGTGCCAATCGCGATGCTTCTCCGATTGATACTTCTGACCGCAGATTCCACACGAATGCTCCTTTATGATACCATGGACTTCACGTAGATGCCGATCTCGATGTAGGCCCATTGCGAAGCTTTTGCTGCAAACCTGACACTTCTTCGGGAACTTCGGGTTGCACTTCTTCTCGTGGTTCAGAAGAGCGTCAGCGGACACGAATTTCTTTGAGCATTTGCGACACTCGGGCGCTTCGAAAACTTCGACGCTGTGATTGTTGTTCATGTGAGTCTCGAGCGCATGTGGATTCATGAAACGCAGTTTTCTGTTTATCTTCAGGCATATTTGACAGTAAATCTTGTCGTCTGAGTCTGCTTGGGTGGTCTTACACGATTCGTCTTGTTCTTGCTCCTTCGGTTCGTCGATTGAGTTTGGCTGAGGATTCTCCTGGTGAAGGGCGGGCGCTTGTTCCTCTTTTCCTCCGACTTCTGCGGGGATCTCTTCCCGATCCCGCTGCGGCAGCTGATGCGATCGCGGCTGATCCACCGAGTCCTCCTCCTGCTGTGGCTCACTTCTCTTTTCCAACGGTCTCAAACCGATGTGCACAACTTTCGAAAGCGGGTCGACTCTGATGTCATCAGCCTTCGGGAAATTCTCGACGTTTCCTTCACCCACGAGAAGCGTTAGAACTTCTCCCCTGGCCAACCCTTGGGGAAACTTCAATTCGGCTGCGAAAGGCAGATGGATCGTGTTGATACTAACGATCATTTTCGAACGAACATTCTCCTCCGGCTTCTTTGTGTATGTCTGTTGTTCCACCACCTCCTCACTGTTATTGTTGTTGTTATTCTCTCTCGGAGTGAGCGCCCGCGCTGCTGCTGCGGCTATCGACTGCTCACGCTTTGGTAGGGATGCGAAGCGAGAGCTGTGAGCGCCCCCACCATGTCTGCTCTCTGGATCACAGATTCGGTGCGCATCGTTTGTCGCCGTGAGTTCCGCGGAATTCCTCGCTGTGAGTCCCCGGAGATTTCCCGATACGAGTCTCCTCGGGGGTACCAATCGGGAGTCCACGGGAGGGAATTAGATGGGGAACGGAATCTGTGATGACAGATAGAAATCGATGCTGATCTTTGCTGACGTGTTGGGCAGACGCGGGCGGCTCTTTCTACTCTTTCCGGCTGGGATCATTGATTTGAGCTAGAAAAGTGGAGAAGATCGCCTTCCCAACTCTATTCACGACTCATCGATTTCTGATCTTCTAATGCTGATGCAGGGTCCTAGGAGGAATCCGCCATGCTTTCGTGCACTGGAGGACTAATCAAGCTGCGCTGAATCCCATCTCTCAACGCGAGATCACCTCCGAATCCAATAAAGGCGTGTTTTCGCAAATCCATTCCACGAAAACGCACCCCTTGACGGAACATTCGCCGAGGAACAGCCATTTTTTTAGAACAGCCATTTTATCAAAGTTGACCGCCGGGAGCCTGCGCCCAGTTAATGCGGGAGCCGAAGGCGGGGTTTTATGGTTTCTAAATCTACATAACATTATCAGATCAAAACAGAGCGGACCAAAATGTCCGGTCTCAAGCAGAACCTTGAGCGCCTGGCGCACATCCGGAAACCGTCGAGAATCGTATCTTCTCCATGATGAACCATGGCGGACAAATCGAATACGTATCTTCGAAACAGCTCTATCTTCGATTTCTTGAGAGAACGACTCGCACTGGGGAGGTTCATTCAGCCTCTCGGATTTATGTACAGATAGAAGGAAAGGCTGCAAATCACTTCAATAAGGACCACTTGAGCTGATCCTTGGCGCTCTGGAGCAGCTGTGAAACATTCTGATCCTCATCGCCCCCTCTGATCGCCAGTCGGCTGAAAACGGCATTTCCATCTGTCTCCAAAATCATCTGCGGAATAATGAGAGTTCGTAGTCGTGAATTCGAACTTCGGGGTATGTGTTGACGATAGCGAACAGTTGCTCGCACAAAGTCCTTACCCCATTGTCGCAGATTTCGTCGAGTATAAGAAAGACTGTGTCGAGCTGGTCAATGAGCGCTCTTTTCTCAACGCTTTTGCGGAACAGTAGCGACAGGGCATCGTAGAAACAATTGAGCGTCGCGCTGAACAACAATGGATTCTGATTTCCAGAGCCAATCACGAAGAGATGGAGATCCACGTTGTACCTTGGGAAGACGACATCGATTGAATACAATCTCGGTTTCGCCGCTCTGGAGGCGCGCAAGACTTTCCTCGAAGGATCGCGGAGCCCCAAGCAAATGGAACCCCTGCATCAGAGGAATCTCCCCGACTCTGAACGAATTTTTAGAACTTACCGGTGAACGCAGGTGAGACCCTCTAACATGCACACCTCCGCAGCACCCATTTTGGTGAATAGAGTCTTCTCGAAAGCCTTTTCGTTAGCCAACGCACCAGCTGAGTCGAAATAACGAGCCAAGATTCGATGGCCGTCTTGATCCATGATGATGATGGCCTTGATAACATCTAGAGTGGGCTCAGAGAGACCTGGATCCATGCTATCGGATGAGGGCAGACTCGCTAGATGTCAAACTCCGACAATCACGGGCCGCAGAGCTGACACGTTCGGAACCCGGCAACGAAGCACTAGCCATAGAATGGGAGGGTCGAATCAGCCGCCGAAACGGCGGAGGACATGGCCGCCAAACACATTTGTATTCGCTGAGATCTATCCTTATCTTGAATCAGCCCCGATCGGAAATCTGAGGAGTGACGACAAATATAGTGTCCCTACTCGACATCTCCGGAAGGGGCCCCTGTGCGGCGTTGGGACTCAACAAAGTCTGCGTGTGTGATTCGAAGTCTTTGACTCCCCGCTAACTTCGGCGTCCTTCAGAGAGGAGCGCTCAATCGATAGCTTGACTCGTCAAGACCGACATCAACGTTTCTCTGCGACGAGGAGAAAAGCGCACCGAGCGGTTGAGCGAGAAAAGCTACCGCAGTCCTCGAAGCGACAACTACGTGTCTTGAGAGTCGCTAATAAACGTACGCATATTCCGCTTTGGCTCATCTAAGATTCCTGCTCTTCGAGCAGCTGGAAGCGTCCGCTCGTTGCTCTGGTTCCGGTGGTTGCGGCAGGAGCAGCGCTACGTCCCTGTCACTCTACGAGCTCGGTGGGTTCATTTTCTTCTCGTGCAGCTGATATCCCCTCCTCGACGCATCTCTGAAAGCAAGATCAAGGCGAACACCGTCTCCGATGTCACGAAAAACAGCTTGGTCCTGCTGGTTTCCGTCACCTCGTTGATTATACCACGAACGTTGCCTATCGCGGTCCACATCCAGAGATCCTGACGGTTGTTTTGAGGTGATATCATCATCATCATAAATTCTGAGGTCAAGCTTCTTCCTCAATGTTCCGGCGCTTCGATGGACCCCCCGCGCAGCGGAAACGCTCTGGGGGTGGAGACGATCTCGGAGGTGGAGTAGCCAAACGATCAAAGACGGATGGAGTTTGGGACTTGAGGTTCCTGATTCCCTCACAGCGTGCCGGAGCTATCATAGGCAAGTCCGGGAAGCAGATAGTGGAGCTTCGGAGCACCTTCAACTGTAAACTCGTCGTCCCGGATTGTGAGGGCGTGCCGGAACGTCTGATGCTAGTTCGAGTAAACAAAGATCTCCTCCCGCAGCTGATCTCTTCGGTGGTTCAGAAAATCACTGCAAACGAAGATGCTACCAATGGCAAGAATCGCGCTGAAATGAAACTCTTGCTGCACCAGAAGGAGGCTGTAGCTTTAATCGGGAAGGGAGGCGCGCGGATCAAAGATATTCGTGAGAAAACGCAGGCGGCCATCAAGATCTTCGACAAAACATGCCCCTTGTCATCGGACAAAGTTGTGAGGATCACTGGTTCAGCCGACGTTGTGACAGAAGCGATTCGGACTGTTTGTGAGGCACTAGAAAATGAAGACGTGCAGATCAGCGATCATTACACGTACGATCCAGCGAATTACGAGCCATACACAGCGTACGAGTGGGGCGGAATGGATCCGGCCGACGAGAACTTTGCACTGTCATCCAATCCAAAAGCCCGAGGCGGGCCTGCTGGGGGAGGCATCGGTGGAGGTGGTGGAGGAGGACTTGGTGCCGGTGTTGGAGCTGGAGGCGGCTGCGGAAGAGGACCTCCTGGCGCTCGGGAATGGCCCCCGTCGTGGCCGCCTCATGAGAGACCTCCTCCTTGCTTCAATGATTTCGATTACAACGACTACCCGGCGGCGCATGAGGAATATGAGAGAGCTGCCAGGCCGCTCCCCCCGCCCAGAATGCCCCCACCAAGGAACTCTGCGAGAATGCCCTCTTATAGACTTCCGCGAAGGACCTACTGATCATTACGTCGATCGGTCGATCGCATGCTGCAGATACTATACAAACTCACTTTCTCCAGTGCAGCTCTCGTCCACAGCAGAGAGTCCTGGATCAACTAAGTCATCATACTCTACGATAAGCATAATTTCGAAGCGTGAGATTCATGAAATACGATCATTTTAACGACACCACATGATACAAATGAATGAGTAACGCCAATTGAACGTGCCTTCGGAAGTGTACCACGCTATATTTCTGATGGCTTTCAGTACTATAAAAATCGATCGATCCATCCATCGATCACTCATTGAACGACTCAATCAGTCATTCGACAGCTGGCGGTGGAATGCATTTGTCTCCTTTACGATAAGCTCTTGGATCTGTTCCGGTTCTGAGGAACCAATCTATTCTATGAAAGTCCGATTGAATAACCGCATGAGGAAGACAATGATTACTGTAGAACAACGACAGGTGACGACGAATAAATGATTTTGGAATCGCGTCTGCTATGACTGCATCTCATGAATGATCCGACTTACAGTTAGCGATAAAGCTCGTTAGGCCGAAAACAACTCTGCGTGGATAACTCTCAACTGGAACAGCATATCGATGCGCTCTGTTCATGTATGCGTATCCTATCCAATCCTTGATCGGGATCGAATGGGAAAGTGGATCGGGTGGATACTTCGAAAGGATCTAGCTCTCGGAATTTTCCGAATCCAGACGACGCTCGCTGTTGTGAACATCACGATCTAGGGAACGCGGGATGAAATCCCAGTCTTGTCCCATAGCCCGCTAATAATTGAGACTTTCGATCTAGTCACACCATTCGGAGAGGAGGGCCGCGCCCTGCCATAAATGTGATGCTCCGAATTCTGTGAGTTCTAGAGCCGGGGTGGGAGCTGTTCTCGCCTAACTCCGATGGATGATAACTCTGATTGAGTCTGATACAGAGGGGATCGATATCAATTGAGTTGCACTCGGACGTCCATCAAATCAATCGATTGTGGGAGCTTCGGAAGTCCTCTCATGTTGCTGCCCCTTCGAAGACGCATTATAAGAGCCGGGCATGGCAGGGAAGATGATTGCTGCGATGATACAGGGAATCGATATGAATCGGATTGCTGGCGCCGCACTGAGAAAATGCTCAATCAATGAAATGTGGTTATAATCTGGGGAGTACCGTGAAAGAGAATTGGGGAAGTCTCGGTCGAGGGCCGAATGCTCCCGGAGTCGGAGAGGATATTGATCTTACTTTTTTTACCATTCCTGGGCTCCCGGTTGAAATCATTCTAAATTTCTGAGCTCCGTGGGGTGTATGAACTTTCTTTCCCGGAATCGTATCATACCCAGCGAATTTCTGGAGAAAATAGCATTTCTGTGGAAATTTCGAGTTGTTACCTCACGCTACTCATTCATGTTTTCCAGAGGGAAGTGAATGATGCTTCACACGACGGCGATTCGCATGATGCTTATCCACGCTCAAGCTGCAATCGGCTCCAGGTCCGCTCAGGGGGCTGATCCCCGTGTCAATCTCAGCCTAAGGACATACTCTGAGCAATACGAGGGAGACTGCCTAGTAGAGAGCAGGTCGAACGATTGAAATAACATCTCCCTCTCTCGTGAGCTTCCCCTATTATGTATTATACAGATTTGGGAGGCGGAGAATTCCTCGTCCACATCTGATATTCCTCGCCGCCCTGCTCTAATCCACGGAAGCCTCCTTCAAAGAATTGAGAAGAGTCGTACTCTGTGCTCAGCTGAACATCGAGTCGCAGGTGTGGCTACTCTTATCCCGGAATCATTTCGGAAACCTCATAAAGTGAAGAGGAGGACTATCCGTCTGGTTTGAGATCGGGAAAAGGCAAAGCCACGATTGCCTTAAAGATTATGTTGACGGAACTCCGGGTTCCCGGGCTGAATCAAAAATGAATTATTGAGATGTCTAGCTCAATCTGGTCTCGATGCGATTTGCCTGTCCTCAGGGGCGGCCTACTATACGCTCGACGGCACCGCCAGCGGGTCGCCGGCACGGAAGCCTTCGCTCTAAGCCTCATCCTAGCATTTCCCCGCATCTACTCGCATCATACCCCTTAGTGTACAGATTCGGGTGAAGCCCACGCGAAGATTCCATAACAAGTTGGCATCGCCATCCTTCTCGACTCCTCAGTTTCCATATCGGGATATCGGCGGAATCTGAAATCGTATGTCCGATCCGCTGGTAAGTTGTTCTGGTCTAACCAGCATCAACTACTACATAAGGGTGGAATCATTGATGGCTGCTCTGAGTGAGGACCGGCAGATGATCAGTGACGTCCGCAGGATTTTTCCTGGAAGAGGGCTAGATCGGGTCTCCGCATGGGGCTGATATCCAGCATGGGGTTTCGCTCGTATACCTTGATGGTACGAGCGCTCTATCGAGGAAAGGGGTCAGGCCCCTCAGCACCTTCCCCCCTGCATACGCGCCCTCTGACAATCTTCGTTCAGCTCTCGGGCTGACTCGCATCTGTCACCAGGAAGAGGGATAACTTTTCCGAGAGAATCGAAGAGAATGAAAGGCTTGGAAATTCGCCTATTAGATCTTATCGAGAACCGAGCCGCACCCGATTGCGCGTTGGATAGGTCGATCGTCGACCCCAGGCTGTTCCAACCCAGGTGACTCGTCCAGAAATGGATGCCGAGAGCGTTGACAGAAGTATAGTCACTCGGGATACACCCAAGTGCTTCGAATTGTGGTAGGATATTGGTACACGTATGGGAAGGATATGAACATCCCACACGCCCATGTAACCGACGCATCTCAACGTCTGTCACTATGTAGAATGTAGAGTAATGGGAACTCCCTGCGTCGGCGCCCGCGCAGCGGTCGACGCTCTGGAGACACAGGACACAGGTCTCGTTTCACACATGTTTTGAAAGTTCATGATTATCAAACATTAAGGACCCTCCGCCCATTCGGATCGTAATTGCCAATCCCGATGTGACCCGATTGAGCTTAGTCCACCCTTTGCATGAGCGTGAGGACGACTTGAAGTACACTCCATCTCTGGTGAGTACAAGAAAAAATGAAAAAACGGCTGTAAGCCGTTCCAAACTTGTGCTTGGACCGTCGAACACGAAGGGCTACTTGCGCCTCGCCGGACGCAGATTTTCGGGGCTTCCTTTCCGTGCCATGTATGATAGGTTTATGATGATTCGGCTGTCCGGACAATGCGGGCGGATATTGGATCCGTGGTGCAGGCCGGCGGGCTTTGCCAGCTCATCTCCAGGATACTCCTTTCACAGCGCTCATGAGCCAGTCTGACCTGATCTCACGATTAGTATGCCAATTCCTCTGCGGAGGATTTAGCGTTGTTCGGTCATCGAGGAGGGCGGGCGGCGAATCAGTGGGAGGAAAATATCGAATAGACGACAACGAGACTGAGTGAGCCTCCAAGGGAATATCGGGAATCACAAGCTTATCGTTCAATGAAGACATGCTCTAACTCGACGAGTCCTGTGACGAAATTCTCTTGTGCTGGGAGTAAGCATACACTTACCCAATCATATCGAGAGATTGGCGGAATATGGCTAGATCGAACTGGGAATGACCGCTCGTGATGTGACAGATGATAGATCATCGAACAAAGAGATCCCCGATCGATCAGACGAACTCTTCTCTGCGGGAGACTTCACCCAATACCATGGATGGATGCTTGTTGTCGGGACTGGTCAACCACCGTACGCTCATACTCCTACGGATGATTCGGACAAAGGCCACAACATCTGTTTCGTTGAATCACTTAGGTGTTGAAAGAATCAAAGACGACTGGCGGCGCTCCACAAAGAGTAATTCTTTTGTTCTCGGGTGCAAGTGAGGTGATCGTACTTCTGTAATGCAAACTCTCTGGTTTAAGGCTGTGAGCCAACAACCGGTCACCGGATCATGCACGACCAGAAAAAGGTTCCCTCACCAATCATCGGAAGCAGTCATCGCTAGATGAGGGAACCATGACACACAGACTGGAAACTCCATAAAACTCAACAGAAGATCACCGTCCGCTCGTCCGATCAGGTTGAGTCCATTATCTGAAGCATATGTTGTACTTGGCTCTCCCAAAGGGTGCCATTCTTCGTTTCTCTGGCCATTCAGTCATTGTTGGGTCCGAAAGCATCGCGCGCTTTGCTGAAACGATAGATTCTATCTTTGCTCTCACTATCTGAGAAGCTTCGCAACGCCATTCGTCGACAGCGGGACCAAGTGCAGAGGGTGCAGGCTCCGCGATAACCGGCTTCGGATGATCCATGTATGAAGCGTATATTGCGTCGCATAATTCGTGTGGATCAGCGAGTGAAGGACAATAAATGTATGAGAGGCCGTTCAATAATCCAGCTGCACCGGATCATTCTGTTTTCATTCTCCCCATTCGTTCCCCTCAAGCCGATGGGAGAGCGTGGTGAGTCATGCCATTGTCTTGGGTCAGCTTTTGACAGATTACGGCACACTACGGGCAGTGTTCGTACATTCCCAATTGATGCTCACTTCGGAATCCTTCGGGACAGAATCTAGCGCGCTCAATGATGCTCCTACTGATGAGTCATCATGGAAGCCATTACGAAGGATAAGCTCGCAACTAATTCTCATCACGGACGAAATTACGGCTGATCGTCACATTATTGTAAAAACAATTTCTAAGAGCAAGCTGAAGGGGTTCAGCTCTCCACTCACGGACAGGATTGTCCCGGCCTATTTCTGATGCCTAAGTATCCATCACACTCACTGACTACAAGCAAGGGCTGAACCCGAATTCTGACACACGATTGCCCTGGGTGTGATCTCATGCCGGATCAAGAGAAGGGATACTCGTCGATACGATGTGCGCCAACCACGCGTCGAATGACCTTATCAATGAGATCCAGTTGAAATCAAAGTAATTAGTTATTATTATTAAAGTTAAGAGCTGATCTCGAAGTCGTACAGTACTGGTTTCGAAACCTTTACAATGAAGAGATGTCGAGCCTATGGCTCTCTGAGATAGAAACCTTCCGTCGCGGAATCGGAGACGTCAATTCATCCCCTGGCAGCTGCGTGTCCGGTAACCACAAGTCTAATTCTTTCGGGTATTGCTAAGATCGATAAACACTCCTGACCGCGAGGAAATGCTCCGATATCCGTCGAACATGGACTCTGTCAGAGACTAGAGAATCGTCTCTGATCTTTCCCTGAAGTTCTGACTGCACATCGCCCAGAGGTCCTACAGCCCCATCCCCGATTTCGGTTCCTGACGAT